AATGTTAGATGAACTTATAGCTAGTTTTTGACTTACACTGAATACTCTTTCATATAGAATAGGGCAGCAGCACATTGCTGTGTATACCTAATCTTGTTAATAAAAAGAAAGATTACTCACACATTTAAACTTTACACCCATAGTACCGAAACAATAGAATATAAAACAACTTAGATTGAATTAATAAATATATATTAGTAAATTATAAAAAAATGGGAAACAATTCTAACACAAACGTTTAAGAAATGTTCCAATTTTTTTTATTTTGGGACATTTTCCTGAAATCCCAAAACAGTGTAGTGGGTGGGCTAAGAGGAGGGGGGGGGGGTAACAGCGCTAGGGGTGAGTGGGTGGGTAACAAGAGTAGGGTAGGGGGGAGGTAAGGAGGGGCGGGGGTAACTAAGCTTCCGGTGGGAAACTAGAGTAAGGTAGGGGGGGGGGGAGATACGAAGAGTGGGAATAACTCTGCAACGGGTAGAGGTAACTAGAGTAGGGTAGGGGGTGAGGTAAGGGGGTGTAGGTAACTAGAGAAGGGTAGGGGGTGAGGTAAGGGGTGTAGGTAACTAGAGAAGGGTAGGGGGTGAGGTAAAGGGGTGTAGGTAACTAGAGTAGGGTAGGGGGTGAGGTAAGGGGGTGTAGGTAGCTAGAGTAGGGTAGGGGTGAGGTAAGGGGGTGTAGGTAGCTAGAGTAGGGTAGGGGTGAGGTAAGGGGCAACAATTAGGCAGCTCTCACGTTACTAAACACAGGGATCAGCCTCCCCATGTCAGCCTAGTCCTGTTTGTTCTCTATATAAGACCTATATATTATAGTCCATCATCTTTACTCACAGTTTTCTGTTATTCCTTTTCTCTCACTTTCGTATTTTGAACGTTTTTTCCTCTTGCATGTGTTCGTTTTCTCCATATTTTTTACCTCTTGCTTACATACGGCTTCAGTGTTTTTATTTTCGTTGTCAACTATTTATCTCTTCCATATGAATTGTTCATTATTTTGCCCTCCTGCTTTTGCCTTCCCGCCTCCTTTCTTCGGCACCCATTTGAAATCCTCAGATTAGGCAAAATTTTAATTAATTTTGTCAATAAAGATGTTAATAATAATAATAATAATAATAATAATAATAATAATAAAAATAATAATAATAACCCACTTCTCGACCCTGTCTTGTGTTGGTGTTCTTAGTGAGCAGGTCATGCCTACCAGCGTCATTATGGAGCGTACAGTATGTCTCAGGTATTGTAAACTAAAGTTATTGTAAACCAGAGGTATTGTAAGCCATAGTTACTGTAAACCATTGGTATTCTGTGGCAATGTTACTGTAAACCATTGGTATTCTGTGGCAGTGTTACTGTAAACCATTGGTATTCTGTGGCAGTGTTACTGTAAACCATTGGTATTCTGTGGCAGTGTTACTGTAAACCATTGGTATTCTGTGGCAGTGTTACTGTAAACCAGAGGTATTGTTAGCTAGAGTTGGTATAAACCAGAGTTATAGTAAGGCAGATTTGTCGTGAATGACGTGTATTGTAAACTATAATTATTATATAGAAGAGGTATTGTAAGCCAGAGATATTGTAAGAAAGTGGTTTTGTATGTCGTCGTATTGTAGTCCAGGGATATTGTAAACCATTAGTATTAATAAACTAAATGTATTTGCAAGCTGGAGGTATTGTAGGTGAGTGTAAAACTAGACGAGCATGATATTGTTGATGAAGAGTTCTGTGTTTCCTTGCCTAGTGTGTTAGGGTAACGTACTAGCCAAGTTACGTCAACGTCACGTCAAAAGTTACGTCAAACACATGTATAAAGATTATATGCTCGGAGTTGAATCGTCTACGTTATGCAGGTGTAGTCTGGATCCAGGTGTTTGTTTAGTCCAGCAAGAGACTTGGGTTGAGATTTATCACCTAACATATTTTAGCGTCTTAACTCTCCAGCGAACCTAACCTAACCTAACCTAAAGGGGGGTAGAAATAGCCTAAGCTACTCTATCCCTTTGAGATGTATTTATTGCTTATCTCAATAAACATACTTGAACCTAACCTAACCTAACCTAACCTACTAACCTAACCTATCCTAGGTTGATGAGGTGGGTGGGATTTGTGGTGTGTGGCTTTGATGGTATTGGTGATATGGCCGTAGTGAGGTCAGGATGATGATTTCGGCGCTGTTGATACGATTGACGGGATGGACGCGGTGGGCGGAATTGGCAGTGTGGGTGTGGTGGGCCCGGACGGTTATGTGGGTGGGACTGGCGAGATATGGGCGTGGTGTGCACGTGTTTATAGTTGAGCGTGCGGGGTGGATTGACGAGGAAGCCACAAGCCTCACTATAACAGTTTACATGTTGGCGGGTCTTGAACATGTGTGTGTAGAAACATCCGTCCTGTGGGTAATATGAGAGCCTACCAGCCACCGCCAGCATCCACACCTCTCATCCTTCCTCCACACCTCTCATCCCTCCTCCACACCTCTCATCCCTCCTCCACACCCATCTGTGCCTCACTCTCAACTTCGCTCTGAGAATCAGTGATGTTGTGACACCCTACACAGCACGTGACACCACTATTATAACCTATATATGCCACAATGTCTATGTATAGCTCGTAGTGACACGCCAAAACGCCTCTCTCTATAACCCCTCACGCAACATCACAAAGCATCGAATATTCGCTCACGAAAACCTCAACGGCAGAAATCGTTTACAATCCTTCATAACACACAGGATAGTGATGGTCTATCCTCAGACACACGCCACACTTCCTATGTGATTAATTTTTGCTGCGGTAGGCGGCTAGTTTATCGTGCATCCAATACTCATCCTGTGAGCGATAGTTTATTGTGGAGTAAATGTTGTGACAGTCTTGTGTTATAACGCTTATATTAATATATACAAGTGCATACGTGGGAGCCTAACAAGGCTCCTCCAGGTGCCATATATTCTCTTCTCATACGAAGGTCCCTACGAACACAGCCAGAGGTGGTGCCCCACTATCTATATCAGTAAACAGAGAATGTCTGTTTATCCAAAGTTGGAGGCCAGTCGCTTGGGGTAAGGTTAGGATAGGTTAGGCATATTCTGTTAATATAAAAACTCGTCGCGTTGATCTGAACACATGTTCAAGACATAGGAGGTAATCGTCTTGACCCGAGAGAGAGGCAAGTGAAGTGACCACGCCGTGAACAGCAACGCCTTTCCCGGCGGCCAATTGTATTAATCTGGTTATATGCCTGACTTGAGGTCTCCAGGGAAGGTACACATACACCACGGCAGTCTCTACCAACACACCGCACATGTTCCCAAACCTCACTGACTTTATTTGAACATTTTCAAATTAATATATCAAGTGAACTTATATTAATGATTATGATTTAAATTGTATAACATTGGTTGGTATTATTATTGTAGTATTAATCATGCGCATTGTTAAAGGATTCTGATGTTCCGAGGAAGGCAGTTGGCAACAGTGGTGGCTGAAGTAAACATGGTCTGGCTTGCCAATGGCCATCCCTCGCTCCGTCACTGACCAGGGTTTCAATTTTCTTAATCAAATCACCATTATTTTTACTCCATCTGTGTGGTCGAGGGGAAACTTCTTTGTATGCGGTGCCCCAACGGGATTCCTTGTGGCTGGAATCGCATCGGCTAGAATGTTATCGGAGAGAGAGGTGGGAATTAGATTTGAGAGTTGTTTTGTCAATCGCAGAACCCGCTTTGCTCTAACTTTCTGTCGTAATACTGTTCTTGTCGCACATCCTTGGACAGAATGATTTCATGTATTTTTGAGACGTTGGACGAGCTAAAGACAAGTTTGACGAAGGCAGTGAAAAGTTTGGGCCAATGATAGGAGTGGGCGTAGCAAGGCTGCCTCCGGCTGTTCCACGCTCTTATGTGTCCTGATGGAAGATTTTTGTTGACACCATTGAGTCTGGAGTAATCCTATATGGTGTGTTCGATGGCAGGTTTACGGATAGGGAGGAAAATTAGCAAAAATTCGGAGATCGCGGGGCGTGTACGTTTGGGGGGAGGGGGAATAATTTAATGTCTTTTTGAAAAGGTTTTACAATATTTTGGAAGGGTCAGTCGGAAAGTGGTTGGTTACTAGTAGGGAGGGGTACAGGAGTTACAACTGTGATGGTCTCATTCCTCTGTTTGCGTTACAAGACGTGTTCTAACTACAAGTTACAGTGTATGGTCACAATTACCGCATCCCGCTAGGCTATGTCGGTAATGAAAGATATCAACAAAAGGGTAAAAACATTTCACTTCTCAACTTCATCTTTTACACAGAGCATATGAGTTTGCTCAGGTAACTGCCAGGTAATCTTCCCATTAATACATAGAATATATTAAGTGCTAGATAAGACTGTGGACAAAGTATGTTTAATTAGTTTGTTATGGACAAGGTGCTCATCCTTGGATAGTCGGATAAAGGTTCATATGATTTTAGCAGGAACTTGACCACAATGTTCTTCACGCTAAGCATTTATAATTAATCATGAACGAATTACAATTTTAATTTACATACATTTTGTAACCAAGGTACAAGTGAAATTCCCTATTTTGAAAATTCCAGTGGGATTTGGGTAAAGTATGACCAATCGCCGTGTTTACTAATTTGCATATTTTCGGTATAAAATGTCGTAGTAAAAGAACATTGGGGGCCCCGGCTCCTAATCCTATTATGTAATCCTCTTCACCTAGCAGTAAGTAGGTACCCAGGAGTTAACGAACTTGTTGTGGGGCTGCATCCTGGTCGTGGTCAGTAAGACGACTCCAGGGAACCTCGATATACGCCTAACATGTAATAAATACACTGGCTGCGTGTCCCCCAACACAATGAATTATTATTATAAAGCTCAGAGCAGTTATCGGTGTTCACGTGAGCGTCGGTTACGAACGCCCACATTCAAGGTTATCAACAGTTATGTTGTCAATCTGAGTTATCTGATTCTATTGTTCCGAGGTGGTAGTTATTCTTGTCGTAACTCCCTCGGAACACTTCACATTGCTGGCCCGCCGAGCAGCTTAGCAACTCGGGTTGGAGTTTGGTGGTGCTTCACAAGAGTCTGTTTCAGTGGCGAAGATAAGAAGGACGACTTGGAAGGAAAGTGTGATGATGAGAGTGAGGCTGAGAACAGCAGCAGACTCCCTGATTGTGCTGACCTGCCTCTTAGCGCTGCTTCCATCCCATGCCCATATTCTTGGTCAGTTAAACAATTACAAACTCATTACTAATATATGCGAGAGAACGGTGTATGGATGATGTGTGTGTGTGTGTGTGTGTGTGTGTGTGTGTGTGTGTGTGTGTGTGTGTGTGTGTGTGTGTATGTGTGAGTGTGTGTGTGTGTGTGTGTGTGTGTGTGTGTGTGTGTGTGTGTGTGTGTGTGTGTGTGTGTGTGTGTGTGTGTGTGTGTGTTTACTAGTTGTGTTTACTAGTTGTGTTTTTACGGGGGTTGAGCTTTGCTCTTTCGGCCCGCCTCTCAACTGTCAATCAACTGTTTACTAACTACTTTTTTTTTTTTTTTTTTTTTTTTTTTTTTTTTTCCACACAACACACACACACACACCCCAGGAAGCAGCCCGTGACAGCTGACTAACTCCCAGGTACCTATTTACTGCTAGGTAACAGGGGCATTCAGGGTGAAAGAAACTTTGCCCATTTGTTTCTGCCTCGTGCGGGAATCGAACCCGCGCCACAGAATTACGAATCCTGCGCGCTATCCACCAGGCTACGAGGCCCCAGGGTGTGTGTGTGTGTGTGTGTGTATGAGTGTGTGTGCGTGCGTGCCTTCGTGCGTGCCTTTGTGCGTGTGTGTGTGCGCCAGTATAAAAAAAATTTGATCAAATGGTTCTAGCACGAATCTTCTTTATATTTGCTATGTTCTTCTCTACGTGAGAATGAGGTTGAAAAATTAACTCTCCAAAGTTTATTTTACAGTTTTATATGACCCAAAGGTAAGAGGTACGTTTCGTTGAATCTGTCAACATTTTCAAAGGCAGACGTTAAGGGAAGTATCAGGATAAAGCGCCAAACTATTACGACTATATAGCACTGGGAAGGGGTCAGGATTACGATTTAGGATGGGACGGGGGGGGGGGGGGGAAGGAATGGTGCCCAATCACTTGGACGGTCGGGGATTGAACGCCGACCTGCATGAAGCGAGACTGTCGCTCTACCGTCCAGCCCAAGTGGTTGGGTTCAAAGGCAGAGATAAAGTGCATTCAATTTAGATTGATTGATGAAGATTAAGCCACCCAAGAGGTGGCACGGGCATGATTAACTCGTTAGTGGTATATATATTTTTTTAGTGAATTTAATTTTTGGTCGTTCAGTTTAGCTGTTGTTATAGATTCAGCTACTCGGAACAAGTTCCAAGTAGCACGGGCTATGGTGAGCCCGTAACTTACCTGGCACAGGAGCGGGGCAAGAAGCACGGGCTATGGCTATGGTTAGCCTGGGGTCAGTTTAGCTGGAACAGTCAAATATATAACCAAGAAGTATGAGGTGAAGTAAGGTGCGGCATGAGCCAATAGGTTTTCTGCAGTGCGCTTAATACGTATGCTGCTAGTGGCAGTATGTGCTGGATATTCTGCCTTGATCATACAGATGGTAGAATGCACTTGAGCGGGAGCTGGCTGTGAAATATTTGGCTGAAATTGTTTGATGTGTTGCATATCGCCGGCATCTGATCATCTTTTGTTGCATCTGTCGATTATTTTGGTGTCGTTGGTTAGGATATCTCTAGTGATGATCTATGCAGTAATCATATGTTCTTTGATGGAGTCTTGTTGTTTGTGCATTGTCAGGCACCTTGAAATATATGTTGTCTTGCCTATATACTGAGATCGTTCCGGCTGACAGTCCCAATGTGGATATGTCATAAGCGACATTCGTCTCTTTTGCTAGGTGCTAGGAGAGTTCCTCATGAGCAAATTAGTGGTCTTCTTGATCCTGTAGTAGACTGTCAACAATATCATCTGGTTGGTGTCAGGAGGGGTCACGTTTCTATCAATGTTTATCAGGACTCTCTTCTCCGTTTTGCGAGCTGTGGAAAAGATGGTCTTACAGAATAATTTAATGGGAGTGGCAGATACTGTGGTGTTGGTCGTTTCGTTCGCTCCAATAGCCAGAATATGGTGGGGAGTTCGACTGGGGTGGTACGTCTGTCAAATAATAACGCAGGCGCCCTAAGGCGCGAACAGAAACCTCGCGTTCAGTAAAACGGCAAATGCTGACTTAATCCTGATTTTCAATAAGAATGCTGACTGCTAAAGCAAGGCCTCTCGATTCTTTTGACTTTACTCTCACTGATACCAGCCGCTCGGGGGGTGCGAGACGCAGGGGGGAGATAGAGTATCACATGTAATATGTTGTGACGACAATAATTACATTTTTTGTTATTTATATTTATATTGAATTAATTTATTTAAAATTGATTGATTTAAATTTAATTATTTTTTAAATGTATTTATTTAAAATCGATTTATTTAAATTTAAGTAATTTATTTAAAATGTATTTAATTTAAATTGATTTATTTAAATGTAAACTATTTAAATGTAGCAAAAATAATTTAAACAATTTAAATGTAAACAATTTCAATTTAAATTGAAACATTAACTAATTATTTTTTTATTTACTTTAAATTTACAATTTAAATTTATAAACTTGAATTTAAATGTAATTTCTAAATTTACATTTAAATATAATTTATAAATTTCAATTTCAATGTAATTTATCAATTTAAATTTAAATGTAATTATAAAATTAAATTTAATTTAAAATGTAAAGGTTTAAATGTATATATTATATATAATAATTTAAATTTTGTTTATTTATATAGTAAGATGCTAGATTATTTTCTGAGGTATTGAACAGAGGGATGGACTTGCGAGACGGAGGGCGGGAATGTGTGTGGATGGTCAGTGTCTGGGGCATCACAGGTGGGAGAGGACCCACCTGCCCCTCCCACCTCCCACACCCACGTCTTCTCCCTGGCAGCTGGCACAGGTGGTGGTGATAGCGACGGTGTAACCGGCAAGGCCACTAGTCCTGTTTTTCTTCCCTCCCGCCTCTGCAAGGTTAGAATATGTGATAAAAAAGGCACATTGTTCCAAACTATATATTTTTTTTTTATTAAAAGCAGGCCATATGTAATGCTTAAAGTGAAATAAATCATAAACTCGCAATTTAGCAGCAATACGCTAAGTTTTTGCAATATTCGTTTTCAAGAGGATCTGATTGAGAAAGAAGGCAACAACCCAACTTAATTTTTTCTAAGTATAGTATATATAAGTACCAAATTAGACCTAAGATTGCTTATGTTAAATCCTGGATTGCTTATTTAGGCCTTTGATAGGTTAGGATAAGCCTATTTCTTTTTTTGTTATGCCCTTTAGGATGTCAGTAGAATGAAACAGACCTTTATTGGGTATAATAATCCACATTTTGTACATTTCAGCCATATTAGGTATAGGTACTATTATTTTTGGAGGATGTGAGGTGGATAATTTACTCATGAAAACATTTTAACAGTTGGACATGTACCACTGGGTGCGTGGAGCGACCTCCCTGCTGCGGGTTCATCAGGTGGAAGCCTCCAGGGGTCGGGTCCTCAGGAAGAGGACCATCTTGGGCACTGACACACCAACACCCTCCTGGACTCACAAACAAATTCACCTCTCTTCTACAGTGCCATTTTTTGTAAGCATTTAACACGTTTGGATTTGGCTTCCAAGCTCTCGAATATTGATTTTGGTTTTACCGATAGTAGCCTAGTGAAGATGATTGCCGATATTTTATGTGGCTGCACGGGGCTCCTTCAGATGCAAAGTGCTCCTTTTAGGTGCAAGGGGGCCAGAATGAGCTTTTATTTCTGTTTTATCTGAATTTACTTTTCTTTGATACTGTATACCCATTCATTGGCTCAGTAGTCGCTTGACAGATAAGATACAACATGCTGTTGTTATTTGGGTAACAATTAAACTTATCACAGATCAGTTCATTCATCAATAAAGTAGAATTCAGCAAACTTCCAATTTAAGATTCAATAGTTGCACAGGTCAAGCCGATAGATGATTTCGTTCTAAACATTAAGAAGCATGTCTTGCGTGAAGTTTCAACCTCTTGTGAACCAATTTATGCAATTTCCGACTCGCTTGGTAGATAGATCACTCAGGACTTCGTATACACGCATCCTGAAATTCTTCTACCCAGACGTCAGATACAGGCCTAGCAGAACATTTCTGATGTAGCAGCACACTGCCAGTTGCTTGAAGTTGCTTTACCATCGCCCAAGTGATGGTAAAGTGTTGCTTTAACATCGCCCTTTGTAGGTACAGTTTTTTTTATAGTTCCCCCGAAAACGTCTCTGAACTGTAACTAAAGATTTGGCTTCCCACAGCCACAACACTCACATTGTTGTCTCCTGTGCTGATGTAATTGTGCCTATTTGTAGATGATCTGCGAAATGACTAAACCAATGTCATGAGTTGTGTTATTAATTATTCCAAACAATATTAAGCCTAAAATATTGAATTTAAAAAGGCTTATAATGTGGCGAATAAAATATGGACACCCTGTATGTTGTTGTCAGTAAGGGGCTGTACTTTCTGCAGTGAACTGTACAGAGTTCACTGTACTGTAGTGAACTTTTTCGTGTGGTTTTTATAATACAGCTGGCAGGAAGGTCAGTCTGGAGGACTAGTGACGCATACTCACCTTCGGTACACTTGAAGTTAAGAAGACTTTAGTAGATACGAGGCTTCATCTGAGGCTTTTAGAAATACTTTTTGCTTTTTGTTTATTCTGAAGTATGATATTAACATACAGGTGCTACTGAAGGGCGAGGTGGAGGCTGGTGGTAATGTGGTAGTGAATAACTTGACCCTCAGCGCTCACTGTCAGCCTCACCCATCGCCTCCCCTAACTCGCTGCAGCGATGACCAGTACTCCTGCTTTTTTGCTGATGTCTGCATTCCAGAGACAAAGGTAAGAGGAAGTGTGTTATCATTTAACCATAAACATAGAGTTAATCATAAATTACAACAAATTTGCTTGTTTTGATGTTGCAAAAACCATGATCATGATTTTTTATCATGATACGTATTTTATATCTTGTTTTTTTATCGTTTCCAATATTAATTGGAAATTATATATATTGTTGTTGTTGGAATAGAACCATTTTTTTTATTTTATATTCCAGGTGTGTGATTTCACTGTAGATTGCCCACAAGGTGACGACGAATCCACATGCCCTGCTACGGACTTCGAGAATGGCCTGTCTGGTTGGTTTGACGCAGGATACAATGACACCACTTACTTATTTCAATGGGTAATGGCAAAAGATGCTCCTTATCCTCAGGGAACTGCCCTAGACTACGATCATACATATTTAAATGGCACCGGACATTTTATGTGGGCACCCGGTTCGTCTTCAGGTAAGATATAGCTGTAAATATATAATAATAATAATTCATTGTGTCGGGGGGACAGGCAGCCAGTGTGTGTATATATACATGTTAGGCTTATATTGAGGTTCGCTAGGGTCGATACCCCACAGGCTGATATAATTCCTGGGTACCCATTTACTGCTAGGTGAACAGACGCATTCGGTGAGAGTAAACACGCCTCAACTATTTCTGTCCAACCCGAGATTCGAACCAAGAATTCTCGACTGTGAGTCAAGAACGAACCCTGTGGTACCGGAACCCACACATGTAATTCTGTCTCCTTCAGAAGTGTTTTATGCAGTTATCAATATCATTAATAGTCGCACAATAATTCATATGCCTTTTATATTAGTATATTTGTAAACCAACTCGGCACATGTGTTTCTTTGTCATACTAACAAATGTGGCAACACTAGCGAGTTCCCAACTAGTATTTTTTCTGCTATGAAAACAAAATATAACCTGGTTAATTAAATACAAATCACTGAAAATTATATATAACGAAAGTTACATAATTACAAGGAATATTGTTGAGGATTTGTGATTCTGCCATTTTTTGCCGGCAAAATTAAAATATAAAAACTGTTTCAAGCTTTTATTTGTACTTCTTTAGTTTTATCTGGTGTGGTGTAAATTTCACAATGCACAATACACAGGGTTAAGTACAGTAGGCTTCGTTCCGAACTCACAATCGGTAATCCTGGGTTCGATTCCCGGGCGGAACAAAAATAGTTTGACACTTTCCTTTCACCTAATGTCTTTGGTCACCTAGCAGTAAATAGGTATCCGGGAGTTAGGGAACTATTGTGAGGTTTCATCCTTGGGATGGGTCAGTAGTTCGACCTTGGGAGCCGGTCGGCCGAGCGGACAGCACACTGGGCTTGTAATCCTGTGGTCCCGGGTTCGATCCCGGGCGCCGAAGAGAAACAATGGGCAGAGTTTCTTTCACCCTATGCCCCTGTTACCTAGCAGTAAAAATAGGTACCTGGGTGTTAGTCAGCTGTCACGGGCTGCTTCCTGGGAGTGGAGGGAGGCCTGGTCGAGGACCGGGCCGGAAAGCCTCGAAATCATCTCAAGATAACCTCAAGATAACCTTGGGAGCCCTCGTTACAAGCCTAAAGTTTACACATACACAAACTCCCTGTCATCGATAAATTTAATAAAATTAAATCAACAGACTTTGCAAAGTTACCAATTGATATTCCGAAAAAATCATGATTAATTATTTTATTAGGAAGAATTTAATATTCTTTGTGGCTCGTGTGGAATATTTTCTTGGCTGGTGTCAGGAAATTACGGACACTATCCTCGACCGCCTAATGCGATCAAACCATTTCTTAGTTACTATAATTTCTGGTGTTATCAGCATCAGTGTTGTTACAGTTATTGTGTATTTAGCACAGTATTAATAGCTGAGAGTTTCTCCCTGACAGATGATAGTCCAGCAACAGCCATACAACAGTCCACAATGGTCGGGCCGGTCATCGTACCGTGTACCATTGTCTTCTGGTACCAGCGTATCGGTACCAACCCTGATCTCAGGCTCATTTTAAATTCAGAATCGGATAGCTATATTTTTCAAGTATATGCACCGGCTAATCTGAATTTAAATTGGAAGAGATTTGAGTATCCGATTGGAAGCTATGATGAAAAAATCTACGTAAGTGTGTCATATTTATATTAATTTGTTGTAACATGATAACAGGACAATATTGCATGATGTAGGTGCTCGTGTTACTGGATCTATCTCGGGCGCAGGTTTGGATTAGGATGTTCCAAGGAGATAACATAAGCAACAGAAGTCGCCACAGCGTACCTGGTTAATTCTGGGCGGTGCCCATCTGCCTCCATCCCATCCCCCTCTCCCTCGTGTAACTATCGAGCCTATTTTTATATCTAGCCGTATCATTTGCCTGTTTGATGCTGGCCAGCAACCTATTCCATTTACCACCATGTTACCAAACTATTACTTTTCCACAGCCTTCTTAAATCTTCTTGAAAGCTCATATCCATTGGTTACGATTTCTTACTGGTCGATAGTTTCTTTTTCCCGCTCAGACGCCTTATCCTCGTTAAGACGTCGATCATATCTCCCCCTCGCCCTGCGCCTCATCAACCCCTTGAGGGGATATATACTGCATTTGTATTTTCACTTGTCCATAGACACTGTATATGAGAAAAGGAGTGAGCACACGCTGTGAGCCTGCTTCTCATATTTAGTTTTATTTATATATTAAATTATTTACAAAAAGGTACATTAGCTTTGTGAGAATACATAGCATTGGTGGTCTTACATTCTTGCAAATCCACTAACAAGCATATGTATGAGTAACACGCAGGCATACATATGCGTGCATGTTATGCATAATATGAATGTTATGGAAGTTGAACATTGCAATATTTCCTTATTTCTTGTTATTATTGTGTTGCATTCTTCGCCTAGAGTAATAACAATCCAGGTGAATGGTTGCAGATGAAAATCATCAGCAACTGGAAGAAGGAGGACGGTGTTTACAACGACTTGTGCCTCGACGACATCGAGCTCAACTGGTGCGACCCCAAGACTCCCCCATTTACGGTAATTTGGTATTATTCATGACACTTTTAAAACTGTTAAGTGCATCTTAACATGGGAAATTAACTTGGATAATTAACAAGTTTTTTCATATAATTAAATTATATGAAAAGACCTATGTTAAACTTTATGTAATTACCACTAGAATTTGAGTCACTCCAGTGAACATTTTACTTGGAAATCATTTAGCATATAAGATTGGTAACATTTTATAGGGGAACTTTTATTAATGTTCATTAGTCCTTGTTTAACTGACAGTTAACAAATACAAATGACTACGAGTGTAATTTGATTACTGTTTTTGATTAAGCAATCGTTTTCTTAACAGTTTTATCTACTACACGTTCTCCTGACATTCAATATATATATATATATATATATATATATATATATATATATATATATATATATATATATATATATATATATATATATATATATATATATATATATATATTAAGTCAAGTACAGGAGTTTGTGTCGGCTAACTTTGAAAGGTGTGATATTTGCTGCCTCCAGGAAGACCTTCGCTGCACCTTCGACACCCCTTGTAGGCTGTTCCAGAGCCATGATGACGACACGGACTGGCAGGTCAGCTTCACCACCTCACACCCTGAAGGCAAGACTTACTTATTATCTTTACTACCATGATATATTAAGTTAAATGGTTTATATTTAGTTAATGTATACCAAATTATATGTAAAATAGTCATTGTGGTGCCTATGCTAGTTATTACTGGTACTTCATTATATTATTTTTTATTTCGTAATATCTGTACAAGAGATTTATATAAATGCTTAAACGTTCACAGTACATATATCAGTTTTGAGAGCTGCTGAGCTGCATGGGATTTCCAGTACTTGCTTATATATATATATATATATATATATATATATATATATATATATATATATATATATATATATATATATATATATATATATATATATATCTGTAAATGAGAGGAACGAGGAGAATGGTAAGATCAGTACCCCCCACATGTTTAAGTTGGTGTTTACATTATCATTTGTTTTTCTATACCTGCAGATAAGTTCATGATCACATCATACTCTCAAAAGGGTGTGGCCACGTTGCAGACTTGGTGGTATTCACCTAAAGTGTCATCTTTCTGCCTCTCCTTCAGGTGAGTGGCTCGACACTAATGGCTCTCTATGCTCCTCATACAAGACTCGAATTAATAGTACACATAAATTTGTGCTACTTTCATAGTAAATGATGAAAGGAGTATGGTGGTGATCTATGCAGGCGATGAGTCACAATAACGTGGCTAAAGTATGTTGACCAGACCACACACTAGAAGGTGAAGGGACGACGACGTTTCGGTCCGTCCTGGACCATTCTTAAGTCTTGAGAATGGTCCAGGACGAACCGAAACGTCGTCGTCCCTTCACCTTCTAGTGTGTGGTCTGGTCAACGTGGTGATCTATACTTAACACCTGTATAGTGTTTGTATAGTATTTGTATACTATAGTGTTGTATACTATATAGTATTTGTATACGAGATAGATGGGCAGTTCCGTCTTTTGTTTTATTTGTGAACTGAACCAAAATGAACACAAACAAGTTTAAATATACTGCCTTCGCCGTTATATATAATGTACACGAGTTATTGAAATGATTGGTAGCTTATATTACTAATATTAATTAAATACTGCTTTATAAAAAGGCCTGAAATCTTGAGCCAATTATCAGAACATATTTAAACATGCTAACTGATAAAAATGTACATGCACGTCTTCTGATCCGCAATTTGAACAATTATGAAGAATATAGCCATCATCAACACACACACGCACACACACACACACACACACACACACACACACACACACACACACACACACACACACACACACACACACACACACTGGATTTATATTCCCCAATATTCTTTAAGGTAATTTGTAGTCATTTGTGGTGAACTACTTACATTTATTTCTATTTTTGAAAGTGTATAGTACCCCTAATATACACAATAGCAAAATGTATTATTGTATGTATTGTGACACTGATTATGTATACACAGTTATGTGGTGGAGAAGATGACTAGCCTGAAGGTGTTGCTGGTGACGGAGGAAGAGAGCGCCGTGCTGTGGGAGCGGGAGAACCAGACAGACATCGCAGTGTGGCGGACCCAGCACCTCCAGCTCGATGTCGACGTTCCGCTTCAGGTAACGTTACAACTTTTTCTCCTCACGTTAACTTCAGTGTTGTTGATGAACACTCAATCTGTACCATACGATGGACCGTATATAGGCATATCTAAAGGCCTCAACAACAGTTTATATATATATATATATATATATATATATATATATATATATATATATATGCGAACAAGCCTGAATGGTCCCCAGGACAATATGCAACTGAAAACTCACACCCCAGAAGTGACTCGAACCCATACTCCCAGGAGCGACGCAACTGGTATGTACAAGACGCCTTAATCCACTTGACCATCACGACCGGACATAATGAGGTGATAGCCGAGGCTATTAGAACCACCCCACCGCCGGCACTCGGATAGTAATCTTGGGCATAGCAAGATTTTGATTCATAGCAAGATTCTCTTGCTATGCCCAAGATTACTATCCGAGTGCCGGCGGTGGGGTGGTTCTAATAGCCTCGGCTATCACCTCATTATGTCCGGTCGTGATGGTCAAGTGGATTAAGGCGTCTTGTACATACCAGTTGCGTCGCTCCTGGGAGTATGGGTTCGAGTCACTTCTGGGGTGTGAGTTTTCAGTTATATATATATATATATATATATATATATATATAACTGAAAACTCACATGCCAGAAGTGACTCGAACCCATGTTGCCAGAAGCACTCTGCAACTGATGTACAGGATTCTGTACATCAGGCTACACAAATCCTTGTGCATATTTCCAACAGGTTCATATTTACATGTGTTACAATGTTCTACATTATTCATTTGTGAGGCCTGGTTATCGTAACTGAACAAATTAGATCATAATTGCGTGTTTATTGATGTCTGCTTGTTACTTGTATTACAACACTTGCACTTAAGGTGAATCAACGTTTTTAAACCTTCAGAAATACTTATTTACATACCTTAATTTTCTCCACCCCGCAGTTACACTTCGTAAGTGAGCAGTCTGGGAACAGTGTGCAGCTTGATAACGTGGAGACGCACGAGGGCAACTGTCCAGCATTTTTTAGCTGTTCATTTGACGATGGTTATGAGACGTGTGAGTGGACGAACTATGAGGACGGCACCGACATCCTCATGTGGATCGAGAGTGATGGTCAGGAGGGTGATGCGAACGCTCCGCCGTTAGTACTCTGACAGTACATGTTACATTAGTGTAGTAATATATATGTCGGCTTGTAACTCTTCAGTCACTCTCAATAACATTACTCCATTTATGCGAAAAAGTTCCTCTGTCACATTCACGACTCTCCAACTCTTAAATTTTTCTTTAGGGGTATTAATTTATGGATAGGACCTCTTAAGTAGTTTGTTTTGACTATTTGAAATAGCTCTCAAATGAACTCTATCAAATTCATTATAAAATTGTATTTTATGGGTCGCAGTAAAAACGACTCGTAGTCCTGAACGTATAGTGATTTATTTATAATAAATGTTATTGACTGTTTTCAAATATAGCTACAGTATCCAAGACAAAGATCTTTATAAATATATTTAAACAAAACAAATCAATGTACTGTATATTAATAAAAATCAGACTCAGCAACTCTAGCGCAAATACTATTATTAACTTTAGTCGAGACCAAAATTCAGACAACAAAATTTAAAAAAAAATTGACGAATATTATTGGCTTCAATGTTAATGGTATAACTGGGCTGCAACGCTGACCATTCGGTGTTTAGGGTGGACCATTCTCTGGAGACGCGGGAAGGCCACTTCGTGTACCTGCCTCTGCAGCCTGGCCAGGACCGCCAGAAGGCTTACTATAAGAGCCCTCAGATCACCACCACCACGCCCGAGGGCGACTGCTTCCACTTCTGGTTCTACCTCATCTCCTACAAGTGAGCTTTTGTATCACTGTCAATGTTAGAATATTAATAATATATATATATATATATATATATATATATATATATATATATATATATATATATATATATATATATATATATATATATATATATATATATATATATATATATATATATATATATATATATATATATATATATATATATATAATCCTTTTGTGATATAAATTAATACTGGCGCAAGATTCAGCATTCATGAAATTATTATCTGCCCGAAACGCTTTGCGTAATAGTGGCTTTAGGCATTGTATGTACTAGCTCTATCTATAAAGCCAACAAACTTTGTAAAATCTCTTTATGTATGTACCTTTGCCTAAATAAAAATTATTATTATTATTATTATTATTTTTTCAGTGCATCAGCACCTGTAGGAGAGCTGGCAGTACGTCTCCTGACCAACGTGGTGTCAGAACGCATATGGGAACACACTTACAACTTCCGCAGTGGGTGGCAGTTCGGCCAGGTTACTGTCAAACACCAGCAAAACTTCAGTGTAAGTTATTGGTGTTTGCTGTGTCATCTTATATTACAGCACAGTTTTCCAACCTTTTTCAACTCGCGGCACACTGAACAAGGTGCTGAAATTGCTAAGACCCGCCATAATTTTTGTTATGAAGACTTTATATATACAGTATATAAAAACGGGTAATAAGATTATTTTTAAAAGTTTAATAGCTAAAATTCTAATCATAGTCTTATTTTTTTTAATAATGTTGATCATGGATTTCAAATGATTGGTTTTTATAATTAATGTTCGTATTTCTTATTATTCATGTTTTTTTTTATATATTCCTGGAACTCCCGCGCCAGACTGGTTAAAAAACACTATTAGAGAGTGGGATGGCTTGAAAGGGTCAGATCAGTGATTCTAGCAAGAATTTTCTACATTTTTTGGTTCTCTTTCACTTGGAAGGAAGTTGAAAAAGTAACTCACTCTCCAAAATTCATTTTGCAATTGTTTTGAGCCTGACGCGTGTCGCTCAAGGACGCATTACATTGAGGCAGTCTGGAATACCATAACAAGCAGAGGGAAAGTAAAGACATGAGGCAGGTTTTGACATTATATACAGCATGCAGGATGAGGCGAGGCGAGGTCCATGTGGGGCCGAAGGCAGGGTGTGAGGTGGCACTTCCGTCCTGATCTTGTGGAAGGTATAAAAGATTGTATACCCTCAAGAGTAAGCTGTAATATGTAGTGCTTCGGCCATATCATGACTAGCAACGCCAAAATAGCTGACAGATTCAGCAAAAATAGACTATTTGGATAGTCTAGAATAGACTAGATAGTCAAAAACTAGATACTAGTCTAGATAGTCAAAAATAGACTAGTTGGAACTCTTCATATCCCACACTCTCGTGTAACTATCAACTTACCTTACACTTAAGGGTATTCTACCGTCCATACGACAGAACTATCAATTTAGTTAAATAATTTAACCTCTTGAATGCAACAAAGGTTGATGATGAAGGAAATTTTAATTTTGTGAAGTTCACATCAACTCAAGGATAAAAATTAATAATTTGGTTACTTCCTGAGTCTATGAAATACCTGGACGCAAATTATTGTAGAGGTGAGCCTCTCGATGATTTTACAAAATGTTGAAATTTCTATATTTTTTTATTTTTTTATTTTATTATTGCCTGTAATTTGGTATTTTTTAGTGTAATGGTATTATACATAAGAATTAAGGAAACTGCAGAAGGCCTATTTGTCCATATTTATGGACAATAACAACTATTTATATCACGCAAACTCATTCATATATTTGTCTTACCTGCGCTTGAAACAATCAAGTGATCCCACATATATTATGTTACCCGGTTATCTGTTCCACAAATCAATAACCCTGTTTCCAAACCAGTATTTCTCCAGTTCTTTCCTAAATTTATCCATTTTATATCCATTGTTTCGTGCTCTATTTTGATGCCTTATTTCTACCCGCCGGGTATTATTATTTCAAAGGGGAGGATGGTATTATTATTTTAAAGGGAATGATGATATTAATAATATTATTATTAAAGGAGAGAATAGTGTAGAGGATTCACCACACCTTATTTCGTTAATGTCTTTGATAGCTGTCATTTACTTTGTGTTGGTTTCATTGTTAGCTATTACTCGTTTCAGAAATTGTATTTTACTAAAATGTACTAATCAAAATCTTGTTATCTACCAACAGATAATCTTAGAAGGTTTACGCAAGACAGGCAACGAGGGTGCCATGGGCTGGGATGACCTGTCCATCGTGCGGGGACCCTGTGGTGACCCGGGGTCCTGCTCCTTCGAGAATGGCTTGTGTGGCTGGGCAGACGAAGGCATGCAGGCCCACCACTTCACCAGCAACAACTGGGTATGGTACACAGCAGAGGATGGCCTCTATGGTCTGCTGGTCGACCACACTACTCTCTCTGGCAAAGGTTTGTTGTTGTGCTTGCTCACTTTCCTCACTGTTGGCTTTTGCCAATTGTTTAGTCATTATACGTAAGGTGAAGAATAAGTAATTATCAGAAGAAGGTGCTAAGCCAGCATACTATATAGTACTAGGAAGCAAAATAATCAAATTGTGTAAAACTGATGCTAGAATTTCAATATGATTTTTTTGTGCAATTTTTGAGTTGACAAATTAATCTGAGATACTTATTTTTGTTAGTCTGTAATAGATAGTCATTATATCTATTATAATGAGCATCGTTATACAGTGTATATGTTGTGGCCACCTTTATCGCCAGTGGATGAAAATAAGAAAATCATATTGAATAGTGCACATAATTTGATAGATTATGGTATTTGTATTCTTTATGGATACAAATGTAGATACACTGTATATATAACCAGAGAATTATCAGAGGACGTTGGTGGGTGGGAAGCCAGCAGCCGTCTACTGGTAAATGTGTGGCCACGTCTGGGGTAGAAAATAATAATAATAATAATAATAATAATAATAATAATAATAATAATAATAATAATAATAATAATAATAATAATAAAATGGTAAAAACAAGGTTGTTGACTGTTATTTAACAACACACAACACTCATTGCCATGATTATTTTCCTTGTGTTTAATGACCGGTATGCGGCCATTTGGGTTATTCTGCCTTTCCATTAGGGTCAGTTGATCCAAACGTTGAGACATCTTGGTAACAGGAGTAATATGTTTTATGTGCTCACTATGTAGAGAAATGCTGTCATGTGAATTCTCGCAACATTTAAATTAATTCTCCTTTGGCAAACAGTTCGATTTCCGGGCAGGACGAAGACATTCGGGCACATTTCCTTACAAACAATGTCTCCGTTCATATAGCATTAATATGGAGATATAGGAGTCAGGCGACTATTGTGGGTTGCATCTTAGGAAAGGTCAAATATTGACCTAGTGGGGGGGGGGAGGATCTCGATGTACCTAACAGTTAAGCTTTCTTTCCTCAATAAAAGGAAAAATATATTTTACCTGGTCAAGGTGGTCATGTATCCAAGCTTTGCCCGGGTCCAAATGCTTAAATGATCCCACTCTTTCCTGGACCAGGATGTTGGCTCTGTCACTCTAACCAGTATATTGGATTTTATTGTTCTAAATTATCCGCAGAATGACAAAAGCCTATTGTTTCGTTAGATAGTAACCTATTTCAATAATTATATGATGTAATTAAGCACAGTTATTTTAGGATTATCAATAGGATTATGTGACTGTCACAAGGCATTGTTTTTCTTCAGGTCACTATATTATTGCTGACCCCAGTGAGTGTACGTACGCCGGCGAGGCGTGTATTGCCAACCTTGATAGCAGCGACATCAGCCCTCTGCAAGAGGAATATTGCTTTTCGTTCTATGTGAATAGCCTTCAAAATAGTGGTAAGTTTTAAAACGCTTTTGCCAATACATTATAAATTAACTGAACTACTGTAGTAGAACATTACATTCTGTTCTTATATTTATTTTAAACAAATATATGAAATTATTATTCTATGCTGTAGTAAATTTTAATTTTAGCATTTGTTTTCTTGGCAAAGGGGTTAATAGTAACCCCTTTGTAATAATCTTACAAAGTATGTTTTTAATTAATAAAACAAATTAATCATGAATAATTCTCATACTTTTATATATTTCTGGTGAGCAAACAACTTTCTGTATCACTGGCGCCAGATGCCAACACGCTGAGCGTTGAGCTGGTGGACGTTACCAAGAATCTGAGCAAGACTATAGACGTGTTGACTCGCGAGCCAGACCAGACCTGGACCTTGCATAGTATGCAGCTCAACCACTTGACCTTCATCTTCCACCTCCGTCTACGGGCTGCCTCCGTCAACACTTTGATTCAGGGAGACGGTGAGTTCTTATCTAAAGGTTATATTGACATGCAGCGAGGCCGAAATATATTATATTATAATAAAACATTGGCTATATAGTCATGACAGCCGCAGAGAAGCACCGAGCTGGCCCACCATGATGCAATAATGTTATGATGAAACACCGGATCTGGAGAAGACTATTGTTTACATTGGGTTTACCACGACTTGCCTATTGTGGTAGAGATTTCTGTATATATGACGTGTTTAATTCAATGTGCTTTAAACTCATGTTTGTGATTTAAGCTAAACTATCTTGTTTATATTAATTCTTATGTTAATATATTTTGATGTTAAGAAATATTTATTTATTGGTAGTCAAGCAGTAACTATCATTCGTGAATATTGTACTCAACCAAGAAAAGTATTTAGCCCCTCCTTGTTTTAAATAACTAAATCGTTAACAAATATTGAGTTAAACGAATGTCATGAAGGAACCAAGTAATTCAGATGACCACTATCCGGTTTTAATTAATATGCCAATGATTTTAAGTTTTGCTTTCATAGTGCGAGAAGAATATACGAATATCAATCATATACACTACATTGATTTGTGATATAACCATGAATTAAAATTTTCATTATACCTGATGAATATGGCATCTAATACTGAGTGACTACCTTCACTCTCTTCCTAAAGTAAACTATATGGTGAGTTCTAGTCTGTTGAGGTAGTTTGGAGTTCAGTTAGGTTGAGGTGGTATGAAGCAATCGTCTGAATTTTACTACATAATGTAGCCGCGTGATAGAGGCGAAGGGTCCCACCTCCAGGGACCCGTCATGAACATGAACAGGTTAGGGCTGACAGCACTAATGGGAAGCCCATAGCAATGCTAAATCTCTTGAAATTAAGGCTTTCTGGTGTAGGATAAAGTTTAGTGAAATTCGACAAAAATGGGGAAGTCAGTGCTAGAAATGGGGAGTTTTATCCTGACGAGGTGATGTCTAGACTGGTCAGGTTCTTATTTTTAACTTTAATACGCGAATCTGCTGAGAGTTTCAGGTAGGTGTGTGTAATAGTACTGTATTCAGCAATTTAGAAAAATAGTAAGCAATAGTTTCTGCTATTTTATGACGTTTTTTGAGTAACCGATACACGAAGGCAGGCCTGGGATTGTTAGTGAGGGAAGATAAAATTTGGGAGCTGAGAGAAATTGTTAGGAGTGAGGTATTGGAATTATTTGTCTTTATTAAAACGTTGGAGTACATTCCCGTATCATTTTGTTTACAATGGGTGTTGGTGTCTACTTAACGGTGTGTCGCGGTGTTTGTATATCTCCGGGTCGCTGAGTAGAGCCAGTAGTTACTGCTGTCAACCTTTTGTCATCTTTTGATACCGCGGGAGGTTGTTTTCCTTGTAAGATTTGTGGAATCTTCCTCAAAGCCAAACTTTATTTCTATAAATACAATCTTCTGATGTGGTGTTTCAACTCTACCTTGCTCTTAGCTCTTAATACTTCCTCCATACCATAATGTTTTTGTAAAGGCTCTATTTTCCCGCGAAACCAGTCTTCAAGTCTAGATAAATATGCTGAATACAACGTTAGATTTATTGCACATAATATTGCATGTTCTTCCATAATTTAGTTATTTTCTATACGAATGTTAGTAAGTCAGATAAATTATGATAGAAAATAAATAGAAAATAACTTGTGTTAACATTGCACTTCACTAGCCTACATTGCTTTGGATGACTTTGAGCTGACACCTGGGAAGTGTAGGTGGTTAACCACCACGCCAAGACCCTCTGCCACGCCTCCTCCTGATCCAGTGCTGACCTGTACCTTCGAGGAGGACTCACTGTGTGGATGGAGTCAAGACCTGACAGACGGGGGCGACTGGGAGCTGGTTACTGGCAGCGTCGCGTCCTCCAGCCTGTACGCGGACTTCGGCCCCGCTGAAGACCACACCACTCACCTTTCTGATGGCAAGTTGTTATGAAACGTTATTTATTTTTGGGCCGGAATGGACTTTAAAGTTTTTCATCTGCGGGTAGTTTGACCCAGTAATTTTATTCAGTTGTATGGTATGAACAACAATTATAATGTAGAATAAGTAATATATCATAATTGATTATAGTGTTACAAATAATCCACATATTAATATTATATTTAGCATTCCAGTTTAGTACAATTTTGGTATTTTTCTTTACAGGTCACTTCATATTTGCGAGCTCAAAAAGTGGTAGCAATATTGTTGTTAGGCTACGGTCTGAAGACCTGCCGGCCGACTCACCCCACTGCTTCACCTTCTATTATTACATGCACGGCTCTGTACCTCCACCTCTCAATATGTATTTATTACAGGGTGAGTGACCTCTTTTTCTTATTGCACATTATCGTAATATTCGACTTACGTATCCGTATTGCATATGTTCTAGCTAGCAATGTTGGCGTTAAGTTTAAGTATGGATAAAACTTGTGAAGTCCGCATGCCACAGTGGTATCACCCCTCGCCTCGTGCTTCACGCCCAATTTCGTCTTGAGTTCGAGCCCTGGTCAGGGAGGTTTAATTGTTCACACCTGTTCAACCAAAAGTATGTGTGTGTGTTATGTGCAACCTGGGAGGGGCTCCAGCTGCTGCTGGTGAGTCCCCCCCAAGCTGTGTACGACTGGAAAATAACATTTTTCTATTACCTGCATCTCTAAGGTGGCCCGCAGCAGCTTTTTCTCTTAATGTGTAAACAAAAAAATTATTGTGACTTTCGGTATCACTCAATAACAGTTTTTCTATAGAAGTGTTTTCGTTATTTCATTTATTACAGTACTGTACATATTTGTAACGGCTTTGAAAGTGGAATAGTTTTAGATATCTTCAGTAATATCGATGGGCATCTGAAGACTTGCTACATCTGTTTCATCTCGTATTCATTTCATTGTACTCTCCTTAAAATTTCAGATGAATTTCGTCCTGATCAGCACTTAGATTGGACTGCTCAAGGGGAGCACGGGGAGAAATGGCACCACATGAAGTTCTTCATTCCAAACACCACAGTATCCAGTCAGTTTATAGTTTTCGAGGCAGTTCTAAGCTACTATAATAAGGATGTCGGCCATACAGCCATTGATGACATCCTCCTCCTGGATGGAGCCTGCTCGTCTGCTGGATTTGGTGAGTAAATCAATAGATGGCGCAGCACAGTGGGTCATGTGCGCGTTAGTTAGTAGAAACTAACTCGGTTAGTTACCGTTGGGTCTGGCCACTAACAGGCTATGTGACTTCTCCAACAGTCTCGTTGTTGGCTAAGGGGATCCCGAAAAACCTAACAGACTTTCTGTCCACGACAAAAGGAAGCCATTTTTGACTATCCAGTTAAGTAGTTATTGTGATGTAAGCTTGTGATATATTTTGTCCAAGCTTTCCTGTATTTTATGCACTTACATTCAAATCTTATTTCAAAATTTTAATGTTATATACATATATTTATTAAATTAACGTATTTTTAACATTAATAATATTTCAGACACTGTAAACTGATAACAGAAATTTAATGAACGCTGGTCATATGTCCCACGAAAATATATTCAAGATGCAGTGTTGCAGTGCCGTGAGCGACAGGTCGATCGTGGGGTTGACCCTGGGACCCCTGACCTGGCACTCTGACCTGGCACCCTGACCTGGTGCCAGGGTCGACCCCAAAGGTTGTGCCGTTTAAGTCATAATCCCTTAGAATGCAATCTGCTATCAGAACATACATTTTGCCTATCAATAACCAACCCATCCTCCAAAAAGATAGCAACTTTTAGCAACTCTTGTTCAAACATACAGTTATGAACTGTTTTACCCACAAATGTTTGCGCTTTCTACTGTTGGAATACTTCAAATGGGAGTAACAATAACTATGCAATCTAATCTAACCTACTCTAGACCTATATAAGCAGTCCTATGCCTAATATATGACACATTAGACCTAATTTATTCCATATATGTGCTATACAAGGCTAGGAAAGTTTAGATTTAGTTGTTGTTTTCGATTTTCGTGCCCTCTTCAACATTAATAGTACAAAAAGTGAACTATTATGGGTCCAACAATACATTTTTGTATGTTTGACTTCATTCATCATTTTTGGATGAAAGATTGCAATGTTGCATATCTCTGGAACACTTGGTATAATTCTATGTACTCGGCGTGCCGTATTTATCGCCATAGACTTCATGGGGGTCGCCATGAGAGCTGACCAATAAAAGTAGCCAATGTGGCCGACTCCGACCCGCCTAAGACAGTCCCCAAGCCCCCACTAGTCACCCTACAAAGTTTAATGAGACTAACCAAACGCGTCTGGCCTCCAACCTTGGACAAACATATATAATATATATATATATATATATATATATATATATATATATATATATATATATATATATATATATATATATATATATATATATATATATATATATATATATATATATATATATGGAGCACATCGAAGGATGTAATTATGATACCCCTTAGCCTTGGAGAAAAGATTTAATGACATTCGAGTTACATGTACAATACTCATATATCTATACTGTACTTACGTCCATTTATATTAAATACAAAATTATTCCCCAGCAGTATTTTAACTGTCCCATTATAAACGTGTGTTTTCCTCATTTTTTTTTATAGGTGCTGATTGTGACTTTGAAGCTTCAGACAAATGTGAATATTCAGTATTTACTGAGATTGGTGGTCCCGGCTGGTCTCAGGGCAGTAACGCTGCCAGTGGCCCCGACACTGACCACACCTATGGTATGTTGTCTGCAACACAATTGTTTCTAGCGATATACTAACGGTATATCTCTAAGATAGATCAGCTAATTATACCACATGGTTGACAGTGGCTGAGTGTGAAGGACAATTTGCAAACTGGCACAATAGTACAACATACGAATTTGACCTGAAATGACCAGATAGACAGTGTTTCCAGTGGCTGACACGCATTCTTAGTCCTGACAAAATCAGGTACTTGTACTTGAGACGTGCGCCTTAAGATTGTTCCAGGACGGTTCCTGACCTTCTCATAAAGTATAACCCATGAAATTGTGTACTCTGGCTCTCAAGCGTTGTTCTCTGAATATGTGTGCTTCATTATATATATATATACTCGTATAATATGACTTGTACATATAACCTACACAAGTTTGATCGTTCTAAACTATGTTTTTATCAGTATGTCTCATCGTTAGGTCTCATATAACGTTACTCTATTTTAATTTCCAAATATTTTCACCGTTGTACACGATGTATGTGAATAACTATACAGTAAATGAATATATATATATATATATATATATATATATATATATATATATATATATATTATGATTTGAATTCAAGAATTAAACATGCTTTTATTTTTATTTGTTGTATTCGCGATGAATAATATATATATGTATATATATATATATATATATATATATATATATATATATATATATATATATATATATATATATATATATATATATATATATGCGAGTTTGCGGTATATTAAAACACTTCTCCTGTAGTAGCTGCTGTATATTAATATATTTACATGTTTTCCAGGCGAGTCAAACGGTCACTACATGTACTTAGGCTATGACAACGGCAGAGAAACAAAGAGTCTGCTCTCTAGTCCCCTCGTAAGAAGCACTGAGGAGTTCATGTATGTATTCATTGTCTTATATATTTGTTTACTGGAATGTTGTTTATCAGAAGAGGAAATACAGTTTAGAATCAAATACAATGGCATTTGAGGGTTAGAAGTGGCAAGCCACGGAGGAATGTGGTGAAGGTGAGTGGCGTGTTTTAGTGAGGCTTGTATGGAACTGTTTACCTATTGTCATTCTTCAGCACTATATTCCCGCCAAACACACACCGAAACTACGACGTTGGTACAACGTTCGAACAAGTTTTAACGCCTAACCAGTTATAACAACCAATATAGCAAGTTGTAACAACGTTCTAAAACGTTATAAACACGTTAAGCCAAGATGTAACAACTTTATTACAAGTTGTAACAAGCGGAAAATAGAGACAGTTTCGGTTTGTGTTTCCAGGGTTGACATGTATGTGTGAAAGTTCTTACACGGTCAATGCAATAAATGCAGGTTGCCCGAAACGCTGTGCGTATTAGTGGCTTTAGGCATAGTATGTACTAGCTCTATCTAGAAATCCATTATTCTGTTTTGTTACTCATCGTGTATGTATGTACTTTTTACCTGAATAAACATTTGATTTGATTTATGTAGGCGATAATCAACCTGGTTATGTATTGTCTTAGGTGCTCGCTTACTTATATATATGCAGGCATCGAAATCCAGCTCCTGGCTCTGTGTATTGAAGAAAAATATACGAATTACATATTTCTGCATGCTGAAATTAAACTGCAGCTTCTGAGTTCCGCCTCTTAATCATTAATCGAATGTTGTGACACCACAATAAACATAATGGCTTAGTGATATTTACACTATAACCCGTGAAGGAGTTAGCCTCCGCTTCTTCCTCTCTTAAAGTGCGCCCCGCTTGCTGTCGTGAAGGGCAGTAGTCTCGCACACTCCAGCAGTGTCTCTGTATACGTCAGTGCATTCTCATGTGTTCTGTTTCCATGTGTTCCCCTCGTCCTGGTGTGACACGTGTCAGACAGACTCATAAACATGACCAGAAGAGCAAAATAAGATGATTTGTGTTTCACAATGGTCGAAACATATTTTTATCAGTTTTCTGTATTATAATGATAATTCTTCTGATTAACGAACTTGATTCGTGTTTTATTATGCTTAAATAATAATTTGACGTACAAGTTTGGGCGCTAAATTCCCTGACGATAATAACTTCTTGCCAGCTGCGTTAACTTGAGAAATACGAATTAAGGTTATGGAAACATTTGTATTTTATTTTCCCGAAAACTTCGTTTTTTCTTGATGTAGCCATTTTAGTTTAATTTTCTGAGTGTTCTGAAATATGTGTAAGGTACTGTATGACTGGCGCCATGTATAAATTCGTTTGTTCATGTTTGTCTTTGACGTGCTTAACTCTGAACATTGCTATCCTGCAGATGTGTGAGATGGTACTACTACATAGAGGGACCAGTGAACATGACAGCCCATCTGAGAGTTTCTGTTAGTAATGAAGACCCTTGGAAGGTTAACACGACTGAAGGAAGTGCCTGGAACCTTGGCCGCTTAACTGCTCAAATTATTGGTGACTTTGATGTAAGCTGACTTACCTTTCTCCTCTTCTTAAAACGTGATATCTTGCTCTTAATGTCCTCGTACTTTATACAGTCTCGCTACACACTTCGCCTAGATCAACCTATAACCTGTTGACTTCCTCCTCGTGGTCCCATCGAGAGAGACACCACATTATTATCACCTGTCAGTATCTACAGTTATTCTTACTTCAATTATTTGTGTGCTTAAATGCAGGACAAATGTACAGGAAATACAATGACTCCAAAAACCTGTCGATTTGCATCACCCTGAATAATAGAGTACGAACGGACCATCTGAACACCGCATTAAGATCATGCCGGTGAGCAGACGTCATCTCTACTTTCTCTCTTAACGAACTCTACGTTATCTTGAGATGATTTCGGGGCTTTTTTTTAGTGTCCCCGCGGTCCGGTCCTCGACCAGGCCTCCACCCCCCAGGAAGCAGCTCGTGACAGCTGACTAACACCCAGGTACCTATTTTACTGCTAGGTAACAGGGGTATAGGGTGAAAGAAACTCTGCCCATTGTTTCTCGCTAGAGCCCGGAATCGAACCCGGGACCACAGGATCACAAGCCCAGCGTGCTGTCCCCTCGGCCGACCGGCTCCCTGGTCCTGCTCCCGACCATTATGAAGGCAATGTTCATCCCTGACAAAAATGACTCCCCACAAATAATCAGGGACCTGTAGCACAGTGGTCTACGTCGTCGGCTCACAACCGAGGGTGTCGGGTTCAGTTCCCTGGCAGGACAGAGGTGGTTGGACACGTTTCCTTTCACCTGATGTTTCTGTTCACCTAACAGTAAATAGATACCTGGGAACTAGACAACTGTTGTGGCTTGCATCCTGGGGAAAGTAAGTATAGTAGTAGGTTAAGGGGGACCTGGATAAGCCTAACTATAGGCGTCATTCCTGACAGCGGGAACCATTGACTCCACAAGTAATTACGTAATATAGTAACTTCGTAACAGAGCCAGTGAGCGACCTCACTCAAGATTCCGTAAAATGGGATCAATATTTGCATAATAAAATGCCAGAAGCGAACTTTTGAGTGTGACTTAGAGCAGCACTAGTCATTCAGAGTTTTAGCCATTGGTTCATCAATACAGTTTTTTACCATTGATTCCGCGTGCTTTAGGACCAGATGTTCGAGTTATAATATATTAAATGTCCTGGAGAATTCCTGATATATCACGTTGTTGAAAATTCTCTGATCTGTGAACTTGGTTATAGCTTCAAGAAATGTGAGCAGGATTGTTAGTGATTATCAATGACAATACAAATTAACTGTTTAGACAAACAGATAGATTAACGTGTTCAAGTTCCAAGGTATTATCCCGTGGAACTTACCGACTCCTACTGTTAGAAAATGTTTTTTTTTTTATTAAAACATTTAGGTACATGTGCATGTGTGCAGCTGCTCTAGACTGTCTGGAGGGGAAGACAGAGTGTGTCAAGAACTGGCTACGTGATGCTCAAAATCTCTAACATGCAGGATAGTTCCTGCATGTTAGTGCATAATCATTATGCATCCTGCATAATCCAGGATGACATGCAGACTACTAATCATGACATATGTGATTAATAATCTGCATGTATTTCGTCAACACCCCTCTCAGTGACTGTATTTGCTATATCGAATGTATTGATAGTGTTTATTGCACAATAGTCTACACTGGCAAACTCTAGCTGTCGAATTCTAGATTAAGAAAACTCTATGTAGAAATCATGCCAGTTTTAGATAATTTTTGCAGAGGTGTGTTGGAGGGAACTTCAGTCTCACCACAAGGAAGAGTCTCCAATACGAAGATATTCCATGAGGTCTCCTGAGACGATGGGGTGTCTGTATTGTCGTGTTTATAGAGTATATATGTTGTCTTTAAAGGCAACATAATTGAGCTCTGTGAGGGTGTCCCACTCTGGACGATCATGTGCGGAATCGATATTGGTACACTTTCCCCTTAACTAAAAGTATAGTTCTGAATGTGGTGGCTCGGTGATGGACGAGTTTAGTCCCCGTTGATATTAAGTTGTTTGTTTAATTAGTGACTTTAGTGAAATTATGTTGTTATTTCAACAGGTTGAGTTTGAAGGATACGTGTACTTCCCTACTGATGACGTCATCATTGCCATTGATGACGTATTGATAGAGGCAAAAGCTTGTCCTGCCGCAGCCTCGTGCAGCTTCGAGGACGGCATGTGTGACTGGACAGACGACGCTGACAGCAACGTGCTCTGGCTCATGCAGTCTGGCGCAGACGCAGAAGAAGCCTCAGGACCGCTCTATGATCATACTTTAAATTCACGTGATGGTAAGCATTTATAGTTTAGTTCCCCCATTGTCCATTGTCTGGGATAGCAGCTAAGTAACTCCCTGGTCTCTGTATTTACTGCTAGGTCAGCATCATGGTCAGAGAAACATTACCCGGGAAAGACAACACGAGCACAGTTATACCTCTGTTTTAATTGTGTTGTGCAGCGCACATACCCAGTTGCATTTGCAGGAAACGAGCTCTAGCTCTTGGACCTTGCTTCTTAACCATTAATTGTTTGCCGTGGTGTCCCTAACCACCTCTGAAAGTAGATGAATTAACGTCTGAGTGCGTACGAAAATAATTCTTAGGTGTATGTGTGTTTAGTAGTTATGGGCTGGGCTCCGGCGGCCAAAGGCAAACATGCCCACTTAATAAGTTAATCTATAATTTGAATGGTGATATGTGGGCCAATTGGGATTGTACCTCACGATGGTGTGGATGTGAGTATATCTGGGGAACTAGCTTTACTCTAATTAGATTCTAACACTCCTCTTGCAGAGAGATTCAAAGAGTCCACAGGATTATCATCCCTCTGTGGTAATATTATGTGTGTTGAACACAATATACGTACATATAATCTTCAATGGACTCTTTCAAAGTAATCCTACTGCAATAAATCAGAAAAAGTGAGGAATTGACTGCCCAATTATCACATTGATGTATTACATTGCATAATGATTATCCTTTCTTTAAATCAATTTATATGTAAGCAACTTTTGTTGTAACTTTTATGTTTCCAGGGCATTACATGTTTATGAGCGCAAGAACGGGGTGGCCCGGTGCAGACGGAATACTCAGGTCATCACTCATAGATGCGGGAGACTACTGTTTTGAGTTCTACTACTACATGAGTGGACAAGATATTGGAGGTAACATTATTTAGGAATTACATTAATGAATAAGTGCTGCTCATGATTTGTATGATGATTATTGTCGTCCGGTGTTGAACTTTTTCAAAGGCAGATATGATATTCAGAAGATGAGGTCTCCACGGCTTCCTCTGGTGAACTCTTTACCCTGCCATCACTTCCAGCATCATCGCATCTCACAACTCTTGAGCAGGCACTCCAGGCAGCCACAGCACCACCATGTCATCTCACTACACGCCCAACATCCCAACCTCAACAACGCCACGCAGCCAGCCACATGTTTATACAGTTCAATATTACCAAGCCACACTCTGCAGCTGCCATAAAAGAGTGCATTCAGAGTGATTACCAACACGTCAAAGTTCGTCATCATAAATCAAGTTCAAGTTCAAGTATGTTTATTGAGACAAGAAAAAATACATCTCATAGGGATAGAGTAGCTTAAGCTATTTCTACCCCCCAGTCATCATAAAATGCCACAGCAAACAGGATAAAGTCGCTTTCGTCAGCGTGAAGGATCCACAGTGCAATGAAACCTGGACGTGTTCGCGGAAGTGTCCCTATTCTCAAGTTATACTACTAGCAGAGCTCACTCTGGTCCCAGTGTCTGAATTAAGGCACGACTTACAGGTGGTTGTAGACTATCTATATTTGTAAAAGCAGATATGACTTGAAACAAAGGGGTCGGGTTCCACTACATTAACAATCGACAACTGGAAAAGCGGGGGCCCAAGAGCTGAAGCTCGGTCGTGTAAACACTGTCAGGTAAGTACACTTGGAACATACAATATATAGATTACAAAATCTCTGTTTATATCTCAGAGTTATATCTCTGGTGCGCCCACATTTGGACTACTGTATCCAAGAATGGAGACCTGTCTTCAGAAGGCTATATCTGTCTTGGAATAAATACAACGCAGAGCTACAAAAAATCATCCCAGAACTATGAACTTACCAGGAAAGGTTGAGGGCCACAGGAAAAAGACTACTGCAAACCAGACATAAGAGGGCAGATCTCATAAAAAAAAATTAAAATTATGATTAAATTGGATGATATTAATCCAAACCACTTTTTTAAAACGGCACATATAACACACACAAGGGATAACAGCGTAAAGCTTAACAACTCACAATGTAGGACAAAAAACAGGAAATGCAATCCTTGGAACCGTCAACCCGCTGAAGCCGTAAATGCCAAAACTACCGAATTTCAAAATCCAGCTTGATAAAATCATCAGGACAAATGAGGGTGACCTTTGACAAGTCGCCAGCTTTCTGTCCTCGTCGGGACCATTAGAAATATACACTGGCCCTTGGGTAAATTATTATTATCATTATTATTATTATTGAGAAAATCCACTAGGGCAATGAGGTGGGCGCAAACCTATGACTTTGGCATTGCCAATCCGCATACTCTACCACTAGACCACCGCTGACTTGTCCAGTCATACAACCGAATTTCTACTGAAATCACATATGAAGTCTGGAGGCCCCTAAAACGCCAGTCCAGGTTTTACGTGTGACCCACAGGCACTCAGAAAGAGAAGGCCACGTGTCACCAGCTGGTACACTGTGATGTAAACAATCCCCAGCATGCTGTCCGCCACGTGTCACCAGCTGGAACACTGTGATGTAAACAATCCCCAGCACGCTGTCCGCCACGTGTCACCAGCTGGAACACTGTGATGTAAACAATCCCCAGCACGCTGTCCGCCACGTGTCACCAGCTGGTACACTGTGATGTAAACAATCCCCAGCACGCTGTCCGCCACGTGTCACCAGCTGGTACACTGTGATGTAAACAATCCCCAGCACGCTGCCCGCCACGTGTCACCAGCTGGTACACTGTGATGTAAACAATCCCCAGCACGCTGCTCGCCACGTGTCACCAGCTGGTACACTGTTATGTAAACAATCCCCACACGCTGCTCGCCGCCCCTCGAAGACATGTCTAGCCAGGTTATCTTCATCTTCCAGTGTCCGACCATAAATAATGACGACACCTGCAAGCAATAACTCTGCGTCCTCCTCCCATCTCCACGCAAGAAATACTACAGAATCACCTCTAAATTCGGACTTTAATCAAAATTAAGCATGTAATATGGTGAAGGTGGGGAGAATAATTCTCCTCGACATTAGTTTATCTATAATCCTGAGCAAGTTTACATTGCTTTGTAACCCAAAATATGCGTTTTGTAAAATATAAATGATGTAATTGAACACGGTTCCCCAAAACTACACCTTGCATACTTCAGTATATGTAGCACTACTTTAACTAATTCTAATTCATTTAGCCTTAATTTGTTGAATGGCTTATACTAGTCCCATTTCCTAATATTCACCAATAATTAGTCTGCTAATGATCTTGGCATTTTATTATGAATGTATTTTTGGAATTTATCCATTCTATCATTTTGCCAGTGATTCTGCACTGCATATCTAGGAGAGTTAGTTTAGTTTAGTTCATTATTATGTACCCCATACCTATCCTGTGGGCAACAGTGGAAAGGGTTACAGAGACACATAATGGGCTCAGGGACAGAACCCCCCCCCCAAAAAAAAAATTCATTTAGCTGTGCAAGTTACAGTCTTGATAAGCTAGTTACAAAATTTAATGTATGTTGTTATATCAACCATGGTTTGAGACCAACTTTAAATACAGTTTCTAAGCAAAGCAACTTACATATATTGTGAACTAGTGTCATAATAGATATGTTTATCCTGCACACCACTCCCCATACAGTGGGCATCAGTGGAGAGGTTTCAGCAAACCATAATTGATAAATATATGCATACTTTTTTCAGGAATAATTTCACTGTGAATAAGAAATCCTTACCTAACCTAAAGAGAGTGATATGTTTGATATAGGTTCATATGGCAGTGTACCATTTGGATGAAAGATAAAAGTTATCACTACATTATTCATTAAATTTTGATTACATTATTCTATGCTTACATAACACAATTGGATAATAAGTATTACCTCCACATGTTTCTCCATAACCAGGTCATGCTAACAATGATGGCAACACCCTCAACACATACATAAACTGTACAAATTAAGTCTTCCTTACTAAGGCTACTCAATAGGTCGGACAATAGAGCTTTGGCCCCACACATGTGGGGTTCAGTGTTCGAGTCTCCTAGAGTCCAGGTGAATAGAATAAACTACACATACATCAGGGCAAATAGAGGGACCTTTGATAAGCCTTCGGCTTCCTCTCCTCGTCGAGACCACTAGTGTTAGTGGCCCTCAGGTAAATAATACATAAGGCATTGACTAATGTAACTAGTTCAGTACCTGGTCCTGTAGGCCTAAATCGCAATATATATTGCTATTCAAATAGTGCAGCATCTGACAGGCCTGTATCCAAATAGCACAACTCTCCAACTGCCTTTCAGATGCTAGAATACTTTACAGCCATTATTGAAAGTTTTCATTAGTTTCATTTATTTTCAATATTATACCCTTTATGTGAGTTATTGTAGGGCACAGTTATTGGAAGATTTTAAGTATGTAAACATGGACTAATTTTAATATACTGGCATTTACACAAATCATTAATACCTGGTACTCACTCTTTTCAGCTCTTCTTGTGTCCATTCAAATAGAAGATGAAAGCCACACTGTGTTCAATAGAACTGGTAAACAAGCAGACGAATGGAGATTGGTAAGCTATAAGAATTATTGTATAGCTTCTGGGGGAGTTTGTCTTGCTTCATGCAGGTCAGGATTCAATCCCCGACTGTCCAAGTGGTTGGGCACCATTCCTTTCCTCTTGTCCCATCCCAAATCCTTATCCTGACCCCTTCTAAGTGCTATGTAGTCTTAATGGCTTGGTGCTTTCTCCTCTCCTGATAGTTCCCCTTCCCCCTTCTGGACTCTTACAGGCTATTCATGCTTGTGCCACCTCTTGGGTGGCTTAATCTTCATCACTCAATCAATCTCTGGATGTCTTAGTAATGCCATAATTCATTGGCATAATATCTTAACTAGTTGTCTGCATTATATATGTCACCTCATCATGCCTAGACATTACATAATAGCTTGGTAAAAATTAAATGAAATACAGTATGAGCATATGTACACTATGTGCAGAACTAGGTTATGTAGTACAGTAATAAAAAAATAAGAGATTTACATTTGTTATTATTTCAGCTGTATTTAGTCAAATGAATTTTACATATAAGCAGTGAATAATAAAAAAGGCTAACAAATTTACAATTCATTTTCCAGGGAAGAATTAGCATAAAGGAGATTTCGGACTTTACTATCAAAGTCATTGGCATTGTAGGCTCTGGAACAGAGGGAGACATTGCCATTGATGACACTTGGACCTCCTTTGGAGTCTGCCCTCATGTCCCAGGCCAGGTGGGTATAAATAACCACTAGAATATGTACAGTATGTGATAAATACTAATATTTCTTACAGAGTAACCACTGAGATGACCTTAAAGGCTTTGTCTGTTTTGGTGTTCTGAGAGAGATTGTTAGTATGGTATTGTACCTGAAAAGCTGTTTCACGAATTAAAATTTATTTAGGACGTAAGATTACTTTAAACAATAAGAACCAAGAGATTTAACAGGATAAACAGTTGTACATTGATGCTTTAAAGCACAAATAAATTTATGAATGATAATAATTGTAATACATGTAATATTTTATGTGTTTTTGTTTGTGGTTTGTGTTTTTATTACTGATTTTGTGTTGCAAAAGCAGTAGTATGTTTTAAATATTTGGAGATTTTTTTTACACTTTAATAGTACTTGTATAATTGTTAATTATTTTCGTATCTTTCAATAATTCATGTGTTACCATTTCTCATTCGGCTGAACTGGTTGAGGGGGTGGGGGGAGGGGTTCATCTTTTTCCCATGGTTTGGTTGTTGCTCTGGGTATGGTTCGGATTTGAGACATACTCAGGTAAGGTATACCTTACCTGAGTCCCACTGATTATTAGCAGATCATATTAATTTCTCCATATATATGTCAGTGATAATATTTTTTGGTTCATAGTATTTTCTCACTGTGTTCCCAATTTACATGTTTTCATAATTTAAAAGTATTTTACTTGTATCACATATACAAATTACTGTATGCAGATTTTGAATTTTTGCATATCCATCTGCCGACGTTTCCTGCTGTCTACATGCATTCTTATCTTTTGCAGTACTTATGTCATGATGGCAAAATAATACCAGAGGAGAAGCTTTGTAACTTTATAGCTGACTGTTCAGACAAAGACGATGAAGAGAACTGTGGAGCATGTGACTTTGAAAATGGTGGGTGACTTATTTTTGTTTGCTTTGAAATGGAAACTCCTACTGTACTTAGTATAGGTTATTTCAGTGACTCTGTCCCTATACTTCACAAAGGTGGTTTGCTGTGGGGCTTCATTTATAAAAAGTAGTGAATTAGATAATACTCTATTAATAGAAATCCAGGATTATGTAAATTAAATGGCTTTATAATTGGTAAGATTTGTGATAGGTACACAATTATGTAAAGCATAATTGTATGTGTAGTACATTTCAAGAATTAGGGAATAGCCTATCCCCCACTCAGTCATGTCACTTCCATTATGCGATAATTGGTTTATGGATCTTAATCAACTAAGGTGTAGGGGCTGTATAATCCCAAACCCATGTCATCCTGTCTGTATTCCTTGATAATATGTTGAAACACAAAAACATTCAGAATTTTAGTTTCATTCTCCCTTTGTGGGTACTTATGCAGAACTGAATTTCATGTTTTTTGTGGGTGTTCTTTCTTATTGTTGTATGGGAAACAAACTGTACAACCCAGAGCCAAGCACTTGCAACGAGGTTGAGCAAAAGTCAGGAGATATCCAACATCCAACACAAATACTAATAACCCAGGTCTTGATATTATCTAAGAACATGTAGCAGAATGCATCAAGAGCAGCATATTTTAGAGCATCATGGTTTGTATGATAAACAGCAAGCTTGCTAAGCTTGACCACTTGGCAAGCAATCTGTGATAAACAAACATTAAAACAGGGTAACCCAGTAGCTGCCAATTCTATACCAAGGCAAATAGATCCACTTCTGGGGAACTGAATGTCTCGTATTTAAAAAGTTGTGTAGTATAGTTGGCTTTGCTTTCGACTCATTATAAAAAATCCCAGGGTCTATTCCTGGGTGAGATACAAATGGTTGAATACAATTCCTTTCAACTAAGGCTCTGTTCACCTAGCAGTAAATATGTACCTGGGAGTAAGGCAACTTTTGTTGGGTTGTATCCTGGGGAAGGTCAGCAATAGTGTACAACCTTGTAGGGATCTCAATATAAGCCTGAAATATATACACAGAATATGCACAGGCTTCCTGTCCTCAACAAAATTAATTAAAATATCCAATGGAAGGATGTCCTGTCCACCTCCTACTCTTGTTAAAATTGGCCGGAAGCAGGAGAGACTATCTGAGAATATGTGAGACTTCTCAAGCGTAGACCCTTGAGGGTTAAATCAAGTGGAGTTAAAAGCAGAACTATCCTCAATTCAAGCTCACAAAAAATCAAGGACCAAGTGGATCCCTTCTTTTCAGGCAGTGAAACAGATATTCAGAATGCCAAGAAGAGTGTTTACATGTGGCTACCTTATTAGTAATGAAAATTTTCTGGAGGGAATAAAGTTATAAAAATATATAGTACAGTACTGTACAATCTAGTAGTTACTTGAGTGAGGTTGAATTATTTACATTATTGATTATTATATGTATGTTAATTCTTCTTCAACATATAAGCCATAAAATTCTGGAGAATTTATGGCTTTTATACAAAATTCACATCTTATCACAGGAAATATTAAACAAACTTAAAAATACTTTTATGTAGTGATTAGGTCTATAGGAACCTATGTGGTATGTTTACTTCTAATTATTTGGTCATACACTACTTATTTAATTACAGGATTCCAAATTGTCACTTCTTTACAGGAATGTGTGGCTGGACAGCAATGAACAATAGTGCCTATTTGTGGGAACTTGGACAAAACTTGAGTAGTGATGACAACAATGGAGAATACATCTATGACCATACACTAGGGACAGACTTGGGTCACTTTCTGTATGTTGTGGAGCAACCCAGTGATGATGGAGGCCCAGCTGCTCTTGTTACTATACCCCACCATGATTCCAAGATTCACTGCATCTTTCTCCTCTGGTAGGATGAATGTTTTGTTTGCAGTTAGTGGAAGTTTGGCTATTCAGTATTTCTTAGCATAATTATAATAACAGTACCATGTGTGGGGTCCTCATGGGTGCCCATGTGAGAAGGCTTTGAATTCAGATTTGGTCCAATCCAGTTTAGAAAGACGCCTAAAGTATGTGGAAAAACTGAGTGACCACAACTAGAAAGGACATAAGATGAACTTAATGGAAAATTTTACTTAGCTTGATTAGCTTAAAACGTGAATTGTCTTCACAAGCAGAAGTGGACAAATGGTTTGAACCCTGAGCAGGGAGGGAAAATTGGGCATCAATCTTTAATGTTTCACCCTTGTTCATCCAGCATTAATTGGGGACCTGGCTGTAAATTGGTTACTAGATCCAACGTTTAAAATAAAATAAGCATTCATGATTGTTAAATTTAAAATTGCATAGTTTCTTAGTAGAAAATATTAATAACATGTTTAAACTTTTTAAAGTTTATTAACAAAAATTTAAATGACATTAAACTCTGAAACCATTTTTTAGTTATTTGTTTAAAAAATATTTATATGCTTTATAATATGTCACTGACCACTAAGACAGATTTTCCTGAGCAAGTCTTATAAGACTGGTTACAGTTTGAATAAGACAACTCTGTGAAAGCCACCACAAATTACTATAAAAACCCTAAAGTGTATTAAATTATTTTAGGTATCGAGAAAATTCGAATGAAGCACTTGACAAAAATATCGAGGTACTTGTGAGTGTTGAGAGATACGGTGATGTTACACCTCTTGCATATTTAGTCAATGAAAACACTGATGATTGGAAGGAGGCTGTAGTAATACTTCATGGTATGTATTACTTCCTTCATCAGTATTGTATTTTGTCTACATATACTGTATTCATGTCCATATTTTAAATACTGCAACTCAAATGAACAAATCCACAAGGGCCGTGACGAGGATTCGAATCTGCGTCCAAGAGCATCCCAGATGCTGCCTTAATCGACTGAGTTATGACATGGTCATGGGCTACGACATGGATTTTGTTCATTTGATGCATCACGTTATTGTGATTTCTGTGTGTACTGTAACTTACTTTTTTCTGGAGGAGCCTCTGGTGATTCCCTGATGTGACCCACTACTGAGTCACATCAGCTGCATGAGTCCTATTTGGCCAACCGGGGACCAGAATCAAAACCTAGCCCTGTTGTAGAGACACAGACAGCTAGGGATTGTTACAATCACCAACATCAAGAAAGAATTCAGAAAGTCAGCAAAGCAAAATAGACAACTGAAAGATTCACAGAAAACAAAGCACTGAAACAGCCAAATTATTCTGCAAATGAATCATTCAAAACAAATGGCTCATTTGAAACTAGCTCAACCCCCCACCCTAGTACAAATGACCACCAACAGATGCTGCTCCATGAGCTCCAGGTTTCCGCCCAGGCCATTAGTTAACCTTGTTGCTGATGTCGGAGCAATCTGTCCTTCCTTAATTGCTTTACCATAGCAAGTCCTACTTATTTAAAAAATAAGTGATGGCCATTCTGTGCAGGGTCATTTGCCTGTACTGTATATCATTACTATACAAGCAACAATGATATGTTCAGCAGTGACAAATTCCAATTACTTTGGTATGGAAAAAAATCAGAACATAATAGGAGTACAGGATATAAGATTCAGTCACTCATAAAATGAAGTAACCAAGTCAATGATCTAGGAATTATAGTACTGTATTATAAAACCTAATATTTAAAGAGCACAATATAGCATGCATAGCAACAGCCAGGAAAATGATTGGGCAGCTAATATAAAAATTTAAAACAAAGGGGAGGAAAATGATTGGGCAGCTAATGAAAAAATTTAAAACAAAGGGGTGTCATGCTATTAAAGTTACTTTTAGAAGCACTGGTGCTATCTCATGTAGAATATTATTTGTAATTCATACCTCACTTTAAGGCAGGTATGAAATCTGATGAATATGAAAAAAACAGATTTATGGAGCTTATAATAAATGCATGGAGATTAGTATTTGGATGCTAGAGAAACATTAATATACAGTAATTCAAAATAAGTTAGTGAAGGGTTTGGTAAAACAATGATATTTCAACATAAATTTTAGAGATTAGTAAGCCAAGAGGAACTTTATTGGTTTTCAGTGATGCCACAGTTGGTAAAGAATGCACACAATTATTGTTTTTAATTTCATGTCTGGCCTGTGTTGAATTTCTTAGCTGTGATTTTTCTGTCCACAGTGTATTACTGATAAATCAAGTCTGGCTTTCATTTACTTGTTGCAATATGGATGCTATTGGATGGATAAATATGGATGCTATTGTGTGGATGTTATTGATAACCCTTAAATTGACTTTAATGTACCTACTTTTTTTTCAAATTTCTTATACAATGTATTTATTTAATACTTTCTTACAATGCCTTTTTATACTTTCTTACAATGTACCTGTAAACATTTTTTATCTTTTGCTAGAGAATATCTTCATAAAATTATATGTTAGATTAAGGATCTGCCCGAAATGCTTTAAAGCACTGTCCTACCCAGTGCTCTAAACTCGCACTGTATCTAGTGCTACCCATTCCCCCAACATATGTACCTAAGCCATACAACCTTACCATTGTAATCATTGCTATCACCTTATGTCATGGTTCTTATATTGAATGCATACTTTATTGCATTATATTGTACAGTACCTTGAAATAATCCTCAAATTATGCTATCATGTACCTGTCTATAACCCTCATATTTTACTTTAATATACTGTACCTACTAATCTTTGTCAAATTTTCTTACAATGTACCTGTTAACCTTTTTTTTAATTTTACTAGTAATTACCTACTTAAAATTATTTGTTAGATTAAGGACCTTCCCAAAATGCAATGCATGCTAGTGGCTTTACAAAAATGTAGAAACATCAATGCTATGTACAGTACTCTCATAAACCCAATGTACGTTCTTGTATATAAATAAATAAATAAATAAATAAATAAATAAATAAAGAAGTTCCACAAGTGTTAAAGCTAATTGACTCTGAAATGAAAATTTGCCAAATAAAATGATAAAGTAGTAAAGTAAATACTGTACTGAATTATGGATGGGATGTGACAGGGTTGTTGCATTGCTTCATGAAATTTCACTCATTGTACAGTAAGTGGGAGTAGGAATATGCCTTTCATATGAAAATGTTTGTACTTAATGAACAGACTGGCTTGGAGATTTTGTTGTGCGTGTGGAGGCCACTACCACTGCCGCTCTGTCGGACCTGTCAGTGGATGACTTCTCCTTTGTGAACTGTGCCATGCCTCATGGGTCGGTTCCGTGCCTCACCAACCAAATCCGCTGTGAACAAACAGGTAAATAAGTGAACTATCAGTTATATTTTACTGAGCTATTATATTTTGATGCTTCCTGAGGCAAGATGACCGAGTGCTTCAGTGGATAAGGTCACGACATTAAGCTAGGATGACATTCTAGACCTGGGAAGGAGGAATATTTTTAGATGTCCTTTTTGTGTTACACTGGTGATAAGGAGTCATTGGAGAACTGTTGTCTAGACTACAGTGACTACAGAAAGTTAACTCATAAACACTAAAAATTCTTTCTCAGTCCTACTTGGTATCACAGGTGTTCTTGTTTCCCACCTTGCCACTTTCTCCAATTGCCACAGGATTGGCAGCACCCTAGGCAGGGCGAGACATATGGGCAAGTCTCCTTACATCCTTACCACTGTTCACCTAGCAGTAATTAGAAACCTGGGTTTTAGTTGATTGTTGTAGGTCGCATCCTGTGGACTGGTCAAATGCTGCATATATCTGAGGTATACTCGAATTTCCCACAAACGCTGCAAGGCACAGCACAAAGAAAATAGCCAAAAGGCTACACATGAAATATGACGCAAGGCAAAGAAACTACAGCTGCAAGGCCACTGCAGCGAGTGGGCCGGTAGATCCCAGAGTCCAAAAAAGGGTTCACACCCAAAGTCAAAGAGTGGGTTCACGCCCAAACAAGGTAACTACTACCTTTGTCATCACCAGGCCTTGAGCCCATCACATTCTTTTGACTTATTTCCATCAGGGTTAGGTAGACTTGAGACTAGATTTCATGCCTTGTTTTCATCTTTAGATAACTAAGTTTTATATGCAGTTGGCTGCATATAAAATGTGTACTTGCTAAATACACATTTTATGTGTTGTCTTAGCAATGTGTACTTTCTAAGGCAACACACACATTTGGAATGCTTCTTGTGTGTCTTCAACAAATCATTTGTGTGTGCTGTGACTTAACTGGCCAGTGACCCCAGTCTCCTTTGATTTTACTATTCGGTTCATGCATTAGTAATGGGTTCCTCCTCTTGAAGCTACTACTACATGCTGGTGCTTTGCTCTAGGACTAGGTGTTTGTGCTAGGTACTCCTCCTTGGGATCTCTTGGCTAGCTCCATTGTGTGTTTCTGTTTGTTTACCCCTCCACTGAGTCTGGCTGTATTGTTTCAGACTGTATTGCTCTTTTTATTTTTGAGTCATTTGCCATCCATACAGTGACCCTTCTATGTTTTTAAGTTAGACATTGTTAAGTTTGGGTCAGTTATTAACTCTAGCTGTAGCTCCCCAGACCGACTCCTTTGCCTTTGTGGCTTGGCTGAATCATGGGACCTATTCCTGGTTTTGGCCATTATTCATCGAATTAAAATGAATTCTCGGAGACTGTTACAGTAGCTGTGTAGAGCTGTTTCTTCTTCCTTGGGTCTGGTGAAAACCCAAGTTGCTTGTGCATTTTTTTTTTTTTTTAGGTAATCACTTCCTTATATATGAGCTAGTCATAATTCAGTTAGGTCAGCCAGTATCTGACTGGGTGCTGTTTACTGATGCCAACCCATGGATAAATATGCATTATAACAAGTAGTAAAAGATGGACGTTTCCCATAAATTTCTATAATGTATAGAAAATTCATTAAGTAAAAGTTAATACAGTATACATAAAGTGGAAAATATTCCATGTTCCACACATTGTCCACATTTCTGTTTAGGAGATGAATCTTGATAGTTTGTGAACACTACAGCATCGCTATTCAAAGTTTGACAAATAACTTGTTGCAGCATAGAGGGTTTGTGTGTGGTGAAATTACCCCAATGTCTATTCCTTGTTAATTATTATGTTTATTAGTAGAAACAATGAAAGCATGTAGAGTACAGCTAAGTGGGAAATTAGTGGTTTGATCATAGCATGGCAGTCCTTGTCGTGGCAAACATGGTTTGGAAAGAATTTAAATGTGTGAGTAAACTTCCTGTAGTCTCTCTTTGGGCGGGCTGGAATTATATTTTCTCTTTTCTCTTTTCTCACCAAGAAATTGGCATTTCATTACAGTCAATGCTGTTTTTTTTTTTTAAATTCAGTGAGTATGTACATTACAATCAAATTGTTTGTTTGTGTAGTAATTTATTTATTTATTTATTTATTTATTTATTTATTTATTTGTTTGTTGAGTGGACAGCTATAGCTCAATTAATATAGATGCAGAATTAAGTTGCTAACATTCTTGTAAAGTCACTAATACTGTATACATAGTGTTTCAGGCAAGAAAATTTTAAAGCAGTTTCTTGTAAAGAGTTTAATTCAGACATATTATATTTTAATGCTGCAATTTTCTTCCTTTTAATCCTATATTTTATTAAAAGATATTTATGGGAAAGTTGTTCAATTAACATTATTACAAATGTTATTTACAGTCTCTGTGGTGTAGTGGTAAGACACTCGCCTGGCGTTCCACGAGCGCTTTGTCATGGGTTCGTATCCTGGCCGGGGAGGATTTACTGGGCGCAAATCCTTAACTGTAGCCTCTGTTTAACTCAACAGTAAAATGTGTACTTGGTTGTAACAACGATTCTTCGCGGCGGAGATCGTATTCCAGGGACCTGCCCGAAACGCTACGCGTACTAGTGGCTGTACAAGAATGTAACAACTCTTGTATATATCTCTCTCAAAAAAATAAAAATTAGTATCTTATTTACCCAGGACTCTGCATTGATAACGATCTGTTGTGTGACAACACAAACGACTGTGGAGATATGAGTGATGAAATAGACTGTGGGATCAATGTTCCTTTGTGCACCTTTGAAGAGGATGACTCCTGTTACTGGGCTCAGGAAGATGAACAGGATGATATGGGTAAGTGAGAAGCATTTTCTTGTTGTCATAAATGTTTGTAATCTGCATATTATAATGCTTCTCTTTCACACACAATGCATTGGTGTATCATGTGCTTTAGTTATTTTTACAAATAGAGTTGTATAGGAAGTTTATGAATATTATGAAACAATTATTTCTTCATTAATACCCAAAAGAAGTTGATATTTAAATGTCACTGGAGATATGCAATCAGGATGATAAGCTGATAATCATTATTGCCTAAAGTCCACCAGCATCAAAACATGGACTAAAGAAGAGCTTGATGACAAAAAACGAAGGCCTTATAATGATCATAAGAGAGATACAGTGCAGTAAGAGAAGATAAAGATAAATCACAATTGTTGATACAGGTATTTGGTCATTCAGTTTGAAAGCAATAGACTGGGAAGCCTACATAGCACGAATGGAGGACTTTTCTGAGGGGGAGCCCTTATGTCTCTTTGAAGCTATCAGGCTGATATGTGTTATATTAGTCTGGGGCATCAGTCAATTGGAGTTCCGCTTACCGGGGACCATGAGCCAGAACCTGGCCCCCTCAGAGAGGCAAAGGGAGCAATGGTCTATAGAAACCCCCATGTGGTTGGGAGAATTCCATGTCTGCCATCAATCTGGGTTGGCACCCAGAAAGGTAGGCATAACAAAACAAACCCCACTTGGTATGAAATTGTGACCAAAAACCGATTAGGGAGGCAGAACTCACCCTACAACTTAAGGAAGCAAGCAAACGTCACACCTCGCTGTCATGTCGCAGAAGCGGAAGGGGGGAGTCCTGGAACCCCTGCGCCGGCTACCCAAGACATCCAGTTTGGAGGCTGAGCATCAAAAGCTAAACGGAACCGCCGACCTGAGGGAGGGAGGGAGGGTTGCCAGGGAGCCTCCAGGTCTCACCCAGAAAATGGCATTTCATTACATTCGACGCTGGTTTCTTGGACTAGCCAATTCATAAACTTCATCCTGGAGACTCTCTCTCTCTCTCTCTCTCTCCCTTTTCCTCCCACTCCCCCTCCCCCTCCCCTCCCCCTCCCCCTCCCCCTCCCCCTCCCCCTCCCCCTCCCCCTCCCCCTCCCCCTCCCCCTCCCCCTCCCCCTCCCCCTCCCCCCCCCCCCCCCCCCCCCCCCCCTCTCTCTCTCTCTCTCTCTCTCTCTCTCTCTCTCTCTCTCTCTCTCTCTCTCTCTCTCTCTCTCTCTCTCTCTCTCTCTCTCTCTCTCTCTCTCTCTCTCTCTCTCTCTCTCTCTCTCTCTCTCTCTCTCTCTCTCCTCTCTCTTCTCTCTTTCCCTCCATTTCCCCCTTACCCTCTTGTGCTCTCTCTCTCTCTCTCTCCTCCCCCCCTCACCCCCAAAGAGATGCCTCTTATTTAATTTCATGCCTCAAAAATGTTGTCTGTACACTTAAACTACAGAGATCAGGTTCATTCATTAACACCAAAAGATTAAATAAAATAATTATAAATTTAGTAAATAAATAATTTATTCAAGTTGAACTTAACCCAAATTTTAGTAAGCCTTTATTCACGCATTAAAAATTTTGATATCTTGACCTTTAGATTGGGAGCGAGGATCTGGTCCCACTCCAGCTGGACGCTACAGCCATATGACGGGCCCTCCAGTGGACCACACAACTCGACTTGCAAATGGTCACTATCTTTACATTACTCGGTTCCCAGGGAAAGTTCATGAGAAAGATATCATCACTAAGCGTAGTTGGCTCCTCAGCCCAGTTTTGCAAACCCATAGTGAGACAAAATGTGTTTTGAGATTTCATTACTACATGTATGGTAAAAATATTCAAGAACTGAATGTATACCTAAGATGGAATTTGTATGGCATAAAAACATTGGTCTTTAGCAGAAATGGAGAGCAAGGACAGTTCTGGGAGCGTGGAATTGCAACATCACCATCAACTCAGTCATTTCAATTCATCATTGAAGGCATTACTGGAAGTTCAGATTATACCGACATTGCAATTGACGACTTATCATTCTCAGAAGGATGCATAATTGTGAATGATACACTCCCTGTAGGCACCACTCCTTCACCTACTATCAACCCTTGTAATGATGATGAATTTAATTGTGGTATTTGGGATGAATGTATTCCAAATAGCCATCTATGCGACTGGCAGAAAGACTGTTCAAATGGTGCTGATGAAATTGACTGTGGAAACTGTAATTTTGAATCTGGTACCTGCACTTGGAATGACGTGAGCCAAGGAGTCTTTTCCTGGAATCTTTTACGTGCTGGTGACCTCACACCCTACGATCATCCACACGTGGACCACTCTTTTGGGGTCAGCACTGGCCATTATATGTACCTCACAGGTGCAGATGGTTTAGAAGGTAAAACAGCAGTGTTTAGTGGACCAAAGCTTTTACATGATGGAGGATATTATTGTGAATTTCACATGTGGCTATATCAGAGGCAGAGTGTTAATGTCCATCTTGCTTTTTATTCTGACGATGAAGAACTTGGTAGTCATATTTTGCTCTACAATTTTTCTACACCAGTTCCAAATGAAGAAAAATGGAATGAGATAATTATTCCTGCAAAAAATGTACTGTCACATTTTCATTTTACTTTAGAAGCAACGCCAGTATTTGATGAAGCTGCTGATTGGGCAGATTCTCATTCTGTACTTGCTGTTGACGACTTTGAATTATTTAACTGTAATTTTGATGTCATAGGACTGAATTGCAACTTTGATGACCCTGACTTTTATCATGGATTTTGTATGTGGCGGCAGTTTAGTGATGACCAACAAGATTGGAAGAATACTGAAATGTTTCCTGAAGAACTTCCTGACCACACCACAGGAAAGACATACTATATCTTTATTAATTTTAATGACCAGATGGCTAAAAATGGAGACAAGGCAGTTTTAGAAAGTACCGTACAGTCCAAAGCAGTAACATTTGACATGATCTTTACACTCTGGTATTATTTCTATGGCGAGAATGTCGGAACATTTAGAATAATTCAGAGAAAGCGAACTCTTGGAGAAAATAACACATATTTTGAATTGAATGATTCACAAGAAAACCGGTGGATGTTGTTTGAAACAAAACTTGATGGTGATGATGATTTCTCAATGATTTTAGAGGGTGAATGGGGAGATATTGGACCAGGAATGCTAGCTGTGGATGATATCAAAATGACTTCAAAGCTTCATTCACCAAAATGCGACTTTGAAGTTGATTTCTGTCAGTGGTCTCCAGGGTCAACAGGTAATACAAAATGGGAGAGGGCCCGAGGAGAAGAGAACATATCTAATGCTCCTCCAGTAGATCACACTACAAATAGTGAAATGGGTTACTATGCTTATCTAAAGCCAACAGGCTCCACTGATGCAAATGCCTATCTTATTACTCCAACTTATGATAATATTGGGATTCAGTGCCTCAGATTTTGGTTCCACATGTGGGGAGAAGGTGCTGGCTCACTAGCTGTTTATGCAATGGAATACAATAACCCTGACTATACTTATATTTGGATTTGGAACAGTAATACATATGAGATGTGGGCACTAGGAGAAGTAACTATTCCTAATATGCACAAGATATCTATAGGTATTGAAGGAATATCTGGAGAAAACAATGAAACAATAATTGCAATTGATGATATTGAATTTATACCAGATTTCTGCCCAGAGAATTATGAATGTGACTTTGAATATGACCTATGTGACTGGTACAACACAAATACTGGGGATGACACTTTTGACTGGGTGTGGTCTTCTGGAGATGAAGGTGGAGGCATCATCGTAGATCACACCATAAACTTTGCGACTGGCCATTACATTGTAGCAAAACTCTCAGGCAAGATAAAGGATGATAATGCTAAATTATTTGGAAGTCAAATTCCTTCCAGCCTGAAGTGTATGACATTTTGGTATTCTATGCAAAATATCGTAAATGCTACATTGAGTGTTACTTTAATAGTTGATAGTGAGGATATCTTAATTCTGAAGCTTTCCAATTCATCCTTAAAACATATTTGGGAAGAAGTAAAATTAACTCATGATGTGATAGCTAGTACCTTTCAACCAATGATCAAAATTTCAGTTGATGAAAATTTTACTTTACTGGAGAATGATGCAGTTGCTATAGATGACATTACCTTTACAAGGGCTTGTGATTACTCTACATTACCTCCATATATAACTACCCCACCACCCACCCATGTTCCCTCATCATATGATTGTGACTTTGAACATGATGAGAGTCAAACCTGTGGATGGACTCAAGATGCAGCAGATGGTCTTGACTGGCAACGAAATCAAGGATCGACACCAACTGAAGAGACAGGACCCAGCACAGACCACACTACAATGACAGAGGATGGACACTACTTATATGTTAGCACATCAGGCCAGTTTCAACATGCTGCTAAGTTAATTAGCATACCTATAGATCTTGAATTCCGTGGAGCATGTCTGTCTTTTTGGTACCACATGCATGGCCCTAATATTGGTGAACTCAATGTGGAATTACAGCCAAGTGGGACAAATAACACTACATCTATATGGCATCGTCAACATGAACAAGGAATTGACTGGTTACAAGCCAAGGTTTACCTACCATATGCAGGTTACAGTTACTTCATGATAGTGAAAGCTATACCTCGGATGGAAGGGAGGGGAGATATTGCAATAGATGATATTATTCTTGATTTTGGAGTTTGCAATTCAGTCAATTTATGTGAGTTTGAAGATGGAATATGCAACTATGAACAGTCAGTTGAAGATGATCTTGACTGGAAGCACGTGTCTGCATCATCCTCTGGAGATGAGGATAGGAGTCCATTAGAAGATCATTCCAGACAGACTTCATTGGGTCATTATTTCAAGTTGTATGGTGAGGGATCTGCCTTAATGTACTCAAATAAAATTCATCCTAAGTTTAAATGTGTCCAATTTTGGCTTTTTTATGATGGAAATATTGACATGGAGCAAGCAGTCCTTCATGTCTACAAACACATAGAGTACACATCAGAAAATGAAAAACTGCTTACAGTTTCTGGCATTTTCAGTCGTGAGTGGAATTTATACAGGCTGCACATTGACAGTACATCTTACTATTCCATCGGTTTTGAAGGCCACTCACACCTATATTCAGTTATTGGTCTCGATGATGTTCAGACAATATTGACTTGTGAGGCCCTACGAGAGTGTAATTTTGAGACAGACCTTTGCATATGGAGAAATGCAGATCCGGGGGTTTCCTCAGATTGGTCTTTGATGACTGGTGACCAACTCTCCAATCCATATGGGCCAAAAGTTGATGTTACTTTGCGTTCTCCATATGGTGGATTTATTTATCTTGATACAGCTAGTGAAAATTTAGAGATAAGTGCACTTCTGGTAACAGATTTACTAGAACGAGGTGTGTGGTGTGTAAGCTTTTGGTTTCATCTGCAAGGATTGGGCAATCATAGCATTAGGCTTATCATAGAAAATGTGAATAATGAAGATTCATTAGTAGTTTGGGAAGAAAATTCTATTATTCATGCTGACTGGAAGTTTGCACAAGTGACAGTAAATGTGACACAATATGGTTCTACATTAAGCTTTTTAGGAGTTTCTGACCATGGGAAAAAAGGAATTATTGCCTTAGATCAAGTTAAAATAAATCCTAACAGTTGTACCAATGGCACTATTCCAGACTGTGCCATTTTTTGTGATGCCAACAAATGTATAAAACCAGATCAGATGTGTAATTTTGTTCAAGAATGCAGCCAGGGACAAGATGAAAACTTCTGTGGCTACAACTGCACATTTGAATTAGCTGATGGAGACCATTGTACTTGGTCTAATGTAGCAACAGATGGGGACTTATCCTGGACACTTCATCAGGGTCAAGAAACTAATAATTCATATGGTCCTTCTTCAGACCACACACTAGAAACAAGTAAGGGTCACTATGTATCAGTTTCTCCAAGAACTTCTGATAACAGAGACTTCAGCAGCCCCATCTTTATGAGCCCAAATCTTTATAATTCAGCTGCCGAGTGTCGCATGATTTTCTGGTATGTGGCATATGAGGTAGCCAGTGACAAATCTTCTAATGATGTAGGAATCTTAGAAATATCCTACAATGTAAGTGATATTACCACACTTTTATTAGAGATAAATGCTAATCAGAGAGACGAGTGGATGTATGGCATAACATACTTGGGTAGAATACGTTCTGAATTTACAGTGTTTTTTGAAGGCAAAAAAAATTTAGATGTTGAAGGTTACATGGCAGTTGACGACATCAGTTTTGAAGAATGTTTCTTACCTTCACCACAAAATGAAATATGTGAAGATTTTGTTTGCACCAATCAAGTTTGTATCTCAATGTTTAATGAGTGTGACTATGTAGATGATTGTGGGGACTACTCAGATGAAGTTGATGCTTTAGCTGGATGTAACAAGTACGTGGGGCGTTGTAATTTTGAGGATGGTTCATCATGTGATTGGCAAAATAAAGAAGATAGCAATTGGCAGATTGGTTCACCAAGCACCCAGGATATTATTCCATCACGTGATCACACTCTGAATTCAGCATTAGGTTCCTTCATCTATATTGAGAGTAACAAGAATCAGATTGAAGCTACACAAAGCATAATAACTAGTCCTGTGATCAGTGTTCCTTCCATACTATGCCATTTAAGGTTCTATTATTACAGTTTTGGCCCTGCAGTAGACAAGTTAGTGGTGTCAATTCAGTATTCATCAAATGGAGTTCAAAAAGACTTGAAAGTAATATCTGGACCCATTGGACAATACTGGGTTCGTGCTGAGATCATGCCTCCAAGTGATGATGCTTGGAGGCTGATGAAATTTATTATTACTGGCACTGTCTTAAATTACACAAGTGGATCAGATTCAGTTATTGCCATTGATGATATTTCATTCAGTAAGGACTGTGCACTTTCTAATGAAACATTGCCCACAGCAACAATCCCCATTACTACAACAACTGAAAATCATTGTCAGAGTGGATATCGTTGTGCAAATCATAACTGTGTTCTTCATTCTGATGTTTGTGATTTCAAGGATGATTGTGGGGATAACAGTGATGAATCTCACTGTGCTGAGTGTAGTTTTGAAGTAGATCAGTGTGGCTGGTCAGATGTAAGTGTTGGGACAAATAAATGGCTTCGGGCAAATGGATCACCATATGGTCGTGATGGTTATGTAATGAAAATACTTCACTTTGGTACAGGTACTCTTGAAATAGCAGACCTTGATACTTTTAATATGGGTGCTACAGATACCACATGTTCAATGAGTTTTTATTACTACAAACAAGGTGGGGAAGATTCAACCCTTCAGCTTGATCTTTTGATGGGTGCCATAGAACTTAATTTGTGGTTTATCTCTGAAGACAAGGGTGAAGAATGGCAGAATCAGACAGTGGGAATTTTAGCCCATGATCTTGGTTGGAAGTTACGATTTAGAGCAGATAAGCTTGAAGATGGTGGAAATATTGTGATTGATGATATTCACTTTAATAATTGTGTTCTTCCTACCCCCTCAACTTGTAAAGATAGCCAGTTCCCTTGCACTAATGGTGTTTGTGTTAATGAGAGTCAGATCTGTGACTTCAGTAATGATTGTGGAGACAATTCAGATGAGGTGCCTGAGACCTGCCAACTATATCCTGAAAGATGTGACTTTGAATTTGGGTTTTGTCATTGGTCGCAAGATTTGCTGGATGATCTTGACTGGATACGCAAAACTGGCGAGATGCTTGATGAGCATGTTGGACCAGATTATGACCATACTTATGGAAATGAGACCGGTTTTTATATGTATCTGCAAAGCGTCAAAGGCTCACAAGGTAAAAATGCCAAAGTATCTAGTGCACCTTTCCTTCCTTCATCAGGTGGTTGCCACTTTAGGTTTTGGCATATGATGAGAGGTAACCAGAATGCTTCTCTGAGAATCTATGTCCAAGAAACATCAAAACCAAATACAATTAGGAGTGATCTTGTACTCTTTCAGACTAATGGTTCTAGTGAATATCTCTGGATTCCTGAAGATTTACCTATTGTGTTTGCAAGGTATTTTAAAATTGTCATTGAAGGTTGGGCTGGAGCAGAAGTGGATGGAGATGTTTCAATTGATGACATATCCTTTTCACCTGAGTGCAGAACTACAATTTGTTCCGATAATGAATTCCTTTGTCCTACTGATGGGTGCATTTCCAAAACAATGGTGTGTGATTTCCGATACGACTGTAATGACCATAGTGATGAAGTACAATGTCCTGAATTCTGTTCTTTTGAAAAAGATGCATGTGGTTGGGAAGAGGCTGTTAATGATGAATTAAACTGGATTTTAGCTCAGGCTAATGACACTAACTCTGGCACAAATCAAACGGGACCATTTACTGACCAAACAGGTGACAGAGAGGGTCATTTCTTGCTACTAAATGAAAAACAAAGGTTACCAGAGCACCAGGTTGGGCAGTCCTTTGCACACTGGTATCAGAACTCCAGACCAGATTGCATTTATTCATTTTGGTTCTATCGAGAGCAAGATATAGGGGCTGACATTTTCCTGCATCTCAACTCCTCAGTTGATACATACACCATCTTGACTTATTTTAGCAGTAGTGTTGAAACTGCAAATACTTGGACACTGAAAAATGTTAACATTGGCCGACGTAGAAATGCTTTCCAGTTGTCTCTATACACGCAGCCAAGCAATGGTTATTCTGGACTCTTTGCCATAGATCAGACTGTCTTTAAGAATTGTGACTACCCATTTCCAGCAGAAGGAGATTGTCAACCAGCATTCTATCACTGCCCTGTAACAATGGTAAGATAATAAATACTTTTTCTCATTTTTGTACCTCATGCTTTAGTTTTTTCTGTTTTTATAAGAAAGATTGGATTAATAGGATTAGCTTTAATGTTCATGGTTTTTATAGTATTCATATAAGTATTGTTATCCCACATCAACTCATTTTGAAACTTCCCAAGCTGAGTACTGGTCCAGTCATAATTTAGGGACATGCACCTAGCCTCTGAAACTCACCCTTACCTTCTGAGAGCCAGTACTAGAATCTGGCTGGCTCTCTATGAAGCAAGGGGGAGTGTGGGGATCAAAGATCAGCCCAGAACAGAAAAAATCCCTGCAAAAAACATAGCCTTTCAACACAAGCAACTACTTGAAGAAAATTAGGTACAACCATCTACCACTCTTTTTGCAAAAGTAAACTTTCTAAAAAAAATTTGGGCAGCTTTGTTTCCTTAGTTTGAATCTATTTCCTCTTGTTCTTAAAGTTGCAGTTTTTAAAATTTCTTCTTTTATAAATTTTATCAATTCCCATTACTATTTCATATGTAGTGATCATATTACCTCTTTTGCTTTTATCTTCAGGCTTTGGTATATTTAACACTTCTAATTTCTCCTCGTAACTCTTGTTTTTTTTTAGTTCTGGAAGACATTTAGTAGCCTGTCTTTGCACTGTTTCCAATTTATTGAAGTGCTTCTTGAGATATGGGCATCATGCAACTGCTGCATATTCTAATTTTGGGCTCAGAAAGGTCATGAACAATTTCTTTGATATTTTATCATCCATGTATATTATTTAAAACCAATTCTATAGTTGGAAAGCGTAGCATATGCTCCACACGCAGTGTTCTTCACGTGGTAGTCTGGTGACAGTTTTCTAGCCAGAACCACTCCTAGATCTGTTTCTTTATCAGAATTCTTTAAAGCTTTTTCACATAATTTGTAAATTGTGTGTGCCCAATTATCTTCTATTCCACATTTCATAACATGGCATTTATTCATATTAAATTCCATTTGCTAAGTATTACTCCTTACTCTTATTTTGTCTGTTTCTATAAGTTTCTTATCTGCACTAGTAGCTTGGCATCATCAGCAAACATATTCATATAATTTTCTATTTCTTCTGTTAGATCTTTTATATAGACAATGAACATTACTGGTGCTAGAACCGAACCCTGTGGTACTCCACTAGTAACATTTCTCCAGTCTGATACATTGCCACTGAGTAATGCCCTCATACTGTATTTCTGTCAGAAAAATTTTCATCTATGTCAGAAGTCTCCCTGTCACCCCTTTAGCATTTTGCAGTTTCCTGAACAACCTTTCATGTGGGACTGTCGAAAGCCTCTTTTTAGGTCCAGGTAAATGCAGTCAACCCAACCATCTCTTTCCTGTAAAATCTCTGTGGCTATATGATAGAAATGAAGCATAATTGTTACACAGGATCTTCCTGTTAAAAATCCATAATTTTTGTCTGTTATATAAATTCTCTCCTGATGTTCTGCTCATTTGATGGGCAAAGACTTTGGTTCTGTAAGCTAGTCATTTCTCAAACATCAAAGGTGTATCTTAGAGGTCTGGTGCATTTCTGTAAGATACGGCTGGATAAATGCTTACCTCAGAGAGTTTACCGAGAGCTACACCAGAAAAGGGCATTTCATTACATTTAACGTTTGATAATGTAATTGGTGTATGTAATGTAATTTTTTGTAATTGTAATTACACCAATGTTATTTTTATTAGTGTATTCTGTAGACTTTAGAGTAATGAGACATTTTCTCTCTATCCTCCTCTTTATATATCCCTATATATTTTCTCTTTTAATCTGTATTCTTTCTGCCTCCCTCTGTCTCTTCTCTCCTCTTCTATTTCTCCTTCTCTTTTTTCTCTATCTCACTATTTAATCATTTGATATTTAGGAAGAGGAACTGTTTTTTTTTTCCTCATTTATATTACCTTTTCATGTAGAATTTGTTGTTCCTCAACCCTGTATCATTATTTAATCTTTCCTGTGTTCTTTATTACACCTTAGCTTTGTGTATCAGAGTTATACGTTTGTGACCTGTCTGATAACTGTGGCTCTGGCGAGGATGAGACACTTGAAGCATGTGCTGGCTACCATCGTATAACATTAGAAGATGACTCTCTTGGTTGGTTTATGCAAGGGGAAAATGGCATCAATGATGATGCTGACTGGTTCTATGGGACAGGATCATCAACTATTATCGGTAACATTGATTTAATACATTTGTATATAAAGTTCTAAAATGTCTTGATTTGATGCAATATCTTTTTGATGTACTTAAGTACTGTACATGTCATTAATTTATTTTGATTTTATGAATATTATTATTTAAAAATTGCAACAGTGTAAATGATTTATGTTTAGCTTATAATTAAAGTCTTTCATTTGCTAGTCATTTTATATATGCATTTCTTGAATAACATTAAATCTCCAGAGTTGTAGAGTCTGTTTAGGCTCCTGACAGGAATCTTATTCAGTTGCTTCAGTGGAATAAAGAAGATCTCTTTATTCCACTGAATAAACTGAAATGTTCCACTGAAATGCCAGCTTCTTATAGGTTTCCTTGTTTAGTGATGTGCGTTTTCTATATGCTACACTTCCAATTTCAGAATTGCTTCTAAAATCATGGATGTTGAAATAATAAAGAAAAAGTTTACAATCATTCTTAGACCAAGGCTGGAATGTACAGTGGTTATATGGTGCCCATATCTTATGATGCACATCAACAAACTGGAAAAGGTGCAAGACATGCAACTAAATGGCCCCCAGAACTGAAGGCTAAGATCAATGAGGAAAAGTTAGAGGTATTAAATATGCCAAAACTAGAAGATAGAAGAAAAAGAGGTGATATAATCACTACTTATAAAATAGTAACAGGAATTGACAAAATTGATAGGGAAAAATTCCTGAGAACTGGAACTTCAAAAGCAAGAGGTCATAGATTTATACTAATTAAACAAAGCTGACGAAGAAATATAAAAAAATTCACTTTCACAAACAGAGTGGTAGATGGTTGCAACAAGTTAGGTGAGAACGTGGTGGAGGCCAAAACCATCGGTAGTTTCAAAGCGTTATATGACAAAGAGTGCTGGGAAGACGGAACACCATGAGCGTAGCTCTCATCCTGCAACTACACTAAGGTAATTACTGAATTTTGAAGTTACTGCAATTTTCTAGAGGGGCCAAATGGAGGCTTGCATAACTAGCCACGCTGAGATAGCTCCACACATGAGTCACATCAGCCCTAGTGAGGAAACCAAGTCAAAACATGGTCCCCTCATCGTGATGCAGGGAACAGGGGTTGTAAAGATCATCCCTCACCAAAGAAACACCCAGAAAGAAAGTGAAGCACATTGGACAATTGCAATATTCACAGAGAAGAAATAAATGAAGCAGAAATCAACTCTGCAAATAATACACCCAGTGATAAATTCAAAAACCCATATTTACTGCTGGCCACCACTAAGTGGCAGCACCACTGGGAGCTACCAGCTCCCCATGTCAACAATACTCAGTCCAGAACCTAAGAAAACAAAACAACACACCTGGTTGGAAAGGGACCAGAGAATCACTGAGGCCCATTCAGAAAGCAGCATTTCATTACATTCAATATTGATTTTCCAGAGAGGCCAAACTATGGCTCCATTTAGGGAACTAAACATAGAGAAGAAATGAAGGGAGGAGGAGAGTGAAGATCTGCCCAGCGCCATACAGGCCCAACCAGGAACAGGGACATTGACCAGGTAAAGAGCTGCCAGGATCCCTAGTATACCCCCCGAATCCCCTAAGCCCTGATATCAGCCCAAGACTTATTAGAAAACACAGAAGGCAGAGCCACAAACTTTCGAACATTGTGGACCCAAGGATAGGCTACAGGCTAGCCAGATGAGATTATGCTGTGAATGCCCTGAGATAAACAAACCCCAGAACAGGGGACCAAGAAAAAGTGATCAACAAACAATGTAACCTGGGGTATTGTGCAAGTAGCAACAAATAACTGCAACTGGACATAACAAATGATGCACCCCTGGTCGAATAAACCACAAATCAGTAACCAAAGGACCCCTCCTGAAGCCAACCATCTCACTCTTCATGAGAAAAGGAGGAGAAGGCTGCAGGCAAAGGAACAAACTCCTCCACTTTCAGTGGAGAGTATGAAGCTCCCCAACCTAACAATTGGAAGCAAGGGCCAACAGGAACAGTCTTTAAAAAATTTGCCTCATTCCTATATTCATTCTTATATATTGTATTGTGGCTAAAAGCTAATTTAGTTCACACTCTTTCAAAGGATGTGGAAACATCAGTGGTAAAATACAACCACCAAGCTCTAACCACACCTTATAACTTCTCTTTCAGTTACAAATCCAAACTATCACATATTCTGTGCTTTCTTTTACAGGTACATGCTTAAACTATGACCATATCCTGTGCTTTCTTTGATAAGTTTAGTACAGACAAAAATTTTGAGTGCTCTCTCTCTTACAGGCTTAGCCCCAAATTTTGACCATACTCTATGGAATTCTGATGGGCACTACGTGTATCTGGATGTGCAAGAGGGACAGGTTCAGATGGCCCAGCTCCTGAGTCAAAAGCTGATGGCTGGACCCGACTGCACCTTTGTGTTCCACTACAATATGTACGGCTCCGGCTTTGGAAATCTTTCAGTCATAATTCGGTAATACATTAGCATTTTTTTATGTTCTTTCTATATATTTATCAATTGTTTAGTAAATATTCAAACTTTTCGATATATCAAGGAGTTAGTTTCTATTTGGTGATACAGTATATGTGGTTTCCCTTTGTCTGAGACAATGTATTGTAGACTCATTGTAGTGCTCTAGCTAGTGACTTGACATTCTCCAGGATGCAAACCATTATTGGTAACTGATTTCCTGGCACTTATTTACTGCTAGTAGAACATAGGCATTTAGGTTTGATTAAACATTCCCAAACATCAGACCCTGCTGGTAATCAAATCCAGGACCAATCGGTCAAAGGTGTCTAGCTTGTCAGTTTAAAAGTCAGTAAACATATAAACAAATAAGTTGTTTAATAGTGTTTTTAGGGCAATGGTGCTATAATCACCATAGTAGTACATAGAACCTCAACAGTTCTTTTGAATGGGAGCAAGAATAGAGGTTTTTATTACAGATGGTAATGTACCATGGGAGAGAGAGCCTGTAAAACACTGATAGATAGATAGCTAGCTCTCATCTTATAACTTATAACTACACCTAGGAAATTACACACAAACATATCATATTTAAGGCAGTATTTAAAAAAGCAATTTGCAATGTTCTTAAAGATAGATTTAGAATTAACACTTTTTTTTAACACTTATTCACTTATTTATATGAACTTATATACAATTTTATATTCAATACAGCCAAGAATTTGGGCCAACAGAGACAGTATTTGAGATACAAGGAACTGCAGATCCAATGTCAGGTGTTTGGCAGAGAGCACAATTGACTGAAGCAGTGTTGCCACAGGAAGATCCCTTCCAGATTATCCTGCAGGGCCAGTCCATGGCTAACCATGAAGGAACAATTGCTCTTGATGATTTTGTATTTCATTCTGACTGCAGGTTGGCCTCAAGATTCTTATGTATGTATGTATGTATGTATGTATGTATGTATGTATGTATGTATGTATGTATGTATGTATGTATGTATGTATGTATGTATGTATGTATATATGACCACTTCATTTCTTCCCAAACCTGGAGGTAGAGTTTGCCAAAAATCATCATTTGCACACCAGGTTTAAGTCACCTTTCACTTCATCATAAGAACATCAGAACATAAGAATGAAGGTAACTGCAGAAGGCCTATTGGCCCATATAAGGCAGCTCATATTTATATCCACCCAATCTCATTCATATAAATGTTTAACCTATGCTTGAAACAATCAAGGGATCCTACTTCTATTATGTTATTAGGTTCCACAAATCAACAACCCTATTACCGAACCAATTTTACCCAGGTCTTTCCTAAATCTAAATTTATCCAATTTATAGGGAGTCTTTTTCTGTGTTTGTTTCCCTCCCGATTTTTGTATCATCGGTAAATTTGCAAATATTGCTGCTCAAACCTGAATCTAAACCATTTATATATATTATGAATAACAGAGGTCCCAGGACAGAGCCTTGAGGCACTCCACTTACAACATTCCCACTCTGACTTAACCCCATTTATACTAACTCTTTGTTTCCTTTGGTATAGCCATGCCCTAATCAAACTTTATATAGCACCCCCAATACCGTGAGCCTCTAACTTTTTAATCAGTCTTTCATGTGGCACTGTATCAAAAGCTTTGCTGAAGTCAAGGTACACAACATCACAAACCTTACCTCTATCAACAGCCTCAACTATGCTGGAATAAAAGATAGCAAATTTGTTTAACATGAATGGCCATTTGTAAAACCATGTTGTGAATAATCATTTATTTATTTATGTTTTTCAAGATGAAGATGAATGGTATTTGCATTTATCGATTCAAGTAACTTTTCCACAATAGACGTTAAGCTAATTGGCCGATAATTTGACACAAGTGATCTATCTCCTTTCTTGAAAATTGTTACCACATTAGCAACCTTCCATGACTCTGGCACTGCCTGACTCTAATGATTTACTAAATTTGGAAGAAAATGGCAAGCAAAGCTCCTCATTGCATTCTTTAAGCACCCTGGTAAACACTTCGTCTGGCTCTGGGGATTTGTTTGGCTTGAGTTTCACTATTTGTTTAATAACATTCTCCCTGGTAACTGCTAAACTAGTCAATGTATCCTCTTCCCCACCCACAGAGACTTGTTTGGCTGAAGGCATAATGTTAAGTTCCTCTTTAGTAAATACAAAGATAAAATATATATTAAAAATACTACTCATTTCTTTGTTATTATCAGTTTATCTGATCTGTCTCAGTTTTTAGTCTACTAGTCCCCGGTAGGCACTAGACATTTTGTTTCCAAAGTAATACTGTATTACTTAATGTATTGGCAGTTTGAGTATTCTTTGTGTAATTACATGTACATGTACCTTTTTTTTTTTTTTTTTTTTTTTTTTGAGATATATACAAGAGTTGTTACATTCTTGTACAGCCACTAGTACGCGTAGCGTTTCGGGCAAGTCCTTAATCCTATGGTCCCTGGAATACGATCCCCTGCCGCGAAGAATCGTTTTTTCATCCAAGTACACATTTTACTGTTGCGTTAAACAGAGGCTACAGTTAAGGAATTGCGCCCAGTAAATCCTCCCCGGCCAGGATACGAACCCATGACATAGCGCTCGCGGAACGCCAGGCGAGTGTCTTACCACTACACCACGGAGACTGCATCAACCTATCTGTTTTGTTTGCATCTCATATTTAGGTTGTATGGGGCAACAACCACCACCACCACCACTACACCACATACTACAATGCATCCTGAAAATTGCACAAAGAATGAATTTAAATGTGATGATGGGACATGCTTACCATTGAGAAAGCGCTGTAATTTTGTTAATGATTGCCAGAATGATGAAGACGGCTGTGGTGAGTAGTTTTGTTTCATGTTACTAGTTTGATTTATATACTGTATTTATTTTGAATTGTTTGAGGAGTTATTTGTCAATTTAGTGGCTTTGAGTCTTGTGAACCAGCAGGTGTCCGTAATACTTTTCTGACTTTCTGGATGCTTTCCCAGGGAAATGGCAAAATGTTATTTGCTCCTTGCTCCTCATGGTAGGGGAGAAGGCAGGTTTTGGCTGTAGTCCCCATAGGCCAAATGAACTCATGTTGATGATGAGTCATAGTTCGGCATTCCGGCAAGAAATATTGCCGTAACAACCGTGGACATCTTCAAGAGAAAACTAGATCATTTTCTCCAAGCAGTGCCGAACCAACCGAGCTGTGGTGAATATGTTGGCCTGCGGGCCGCTCCAAGCAACAGTCTAGTGGACAAAACTCTCATAAGTCAAGCCTGGCCTTGGGCCGGGCTTGGGGAGTAGAAGAACTCCCAGAACCCCATCAAGCATGTATTAAGCAGGTACCATAGTAACGTGGCTGAAAACATGATGACCAAACCACATATCAGAAAATGGAGAAATGTTTTCATTTCTCCATTTTCTGATGTGTAGTTTAGTCATCAAATGAACTCATGCAACTGATGTGTCTGGTAGATTGTAAAGAATACAGGGAGCTACCAGGACTCTACCAGAAAGTGGCATTTCATTACATTCAATGCTGGGTTTTTCTGCAATAAATTTTATTTGAATAAATTTCAATAAATTATAAAATATATTTTAATAAATAAATATTGTAAATTTAATAGTTTTCCTGCTGTGTTAAATCCACTGCTGGGTGAAGCCCCAGTGAGGATATTAATCAACCAAATTGAGCAAGGCTCCCTGGAGCTATCGAAATGATATATGCTATATTAGTCTGGAGCAGTAGTCAATGGAGTTCTGCCTACCGCAGACCACGAGCCCGTTTTGGTTATAGGGACCCAGACTTGGGGGCACTGGTCGCTTCGACCTTGGTTCTATCTGCGCCCCTTTGTCCTCCCCTTGTTGGTGTGGTTCACCATTCTCCTCTTTCCCTGCTTCCGGCTCCTAAACGTCTGAGGGCTTCGGGGTCGGGGCAGGGTTTAGCTGGGGGATAAAACTCAAGCGGCTCGGGGAGTTGCCCAATTCGAGACGGGAATGGAGGCATTCAAGCTAGTTCCTCCTGCAGAGGCTCTGGGTCCTTTAATTCCCCTTGTTGATGGGACCCTTTCTGGGTCCTTTAATTACCAGTTGATGGCAATTATGACATACTGTACTTTAAATGTAAAGTGTTCATAGGCAATTTCTCCCTGTGCCTCTCTGAGCGGGGCCAGGTTCTGGCTCATGGTTCCCAGTAGGCAAAAGGATCACTGTGACTGATGACCCCAAACTAATATAGTACATATCAGTTTCGATTGCTTCAGGGAGCCTCTGGGGCTCACCCATAAAATGGCACGTCATTACTTTCAACGCTGGTTTTTTTAAGTTTTGGGTTGATTTCTGATCCCTAAACTCCCCCCTTGCCTCATTGGAGGAGGCAGATTCTGGCCTTGGCTTCTTGTAGGTTTAAGAAGGTCTTGGAGGCTTAGTGCAATTCCCTGAGAGTTCAGCACCAGTTCGCTATAGCTACAGGACGCTACAGATAGGTCTACCAGAAAATAGCCTTTCATTATTGTTAATGCTTTTGTGCTAGATGGTCATACTGGCTTAGCACTTTCTCTTCATAATTATCTTAACCTGTTAATGCTTCACTTTGTTTTTCATATTTCTGGATAGTTGTAACAACGTGTAACTTTGAGAATGAGCAGTTGTGTGGTTGGGGAATCACAGCTACAGATCATCCTATGTTCCAAGATGGTGGTGAAAATTTAGATGTTAAGAACATTAATGAAGATCAAGTTGGAGCAAGTGGAGTCCTTTTCACGTTAGTAAAATATGGTTGGCAAGTGATGTAGGTTTCCTAGTGATTTTCTCATGTTACTTTGGTGCATCTGCCTGTATTATTCTGTTGTGGATTTAACTGTGTTGCTTCTTTCTGATTCTTTTATATATTTACTTATGTTAATTCCTTTTTATGCATTAAATTTAATGTTATGTTCTGATGCCATCTTCATGTGTTATTTCCTTGCTGTGTGTGTGTGTCATTATTGCTTCTCTTTTACATGTTCCTTATTCTAGGCTCATTTACATAAATTTTAATGTTAATTTATTATGAGTAACTGTATTTGAAATTAGTCTCCATCCAAACATTGTTAAATAGGAGAAGCTTACTATCCTTTGATGACAGTTTACGTCATATGACATATAAGGGTTCACCCAAGTTGAAGGCGGCATATGTCTCCTGCCACTTTTTATTATAGAAATTTAATTAAATTTGGGTTTGCTAAAAAAATTTATGTAATTACCTAGATTTATCTCTGGTGATTATTACTTAATAAAACAATAAGCCTTGTTGTTACACATTAAAAATCATTAATTAAGAGAATTAATAAAATACAGTACAGTACATTTCTCATGCATCACAAAAGTTAACATTTTCAAATGACTTAAGCCAAATGTCCCACTGATGAACTTTACCCTATAAGCTTTCATCTAAGGATTACAAGTCATTTACCGTGAAATATATAATTTCTTACATTTTTAATTGAGATGTATTGTACTAATTTATTTTGAGTAATCAAAGTTGATGATTTCTTTATTTTTCTTTAGTAACACTTATCCTAATTCCATTTTGCAAGTGGGGTTGAATTTCCCTACATTCGCAAGATTTTCTTGAACTAGTCACGTAGAACATTATGGGTAAAGCACAGTTTTATCACCGGGGCAATATTTTAGTTTTATTTATCTCATAAAACATACACAACTGTTTTTATTTCAGATATTTTAATGCTTTAGATATAAAATTGAAGCTTATATTAAGCTCATTTTTTAAAAAGTACCCCATAGCTCTGCCACCTTAATTCCTCCCATGAGCTCCCATCAAGGGGTAGCTATAGCAGAAGTTTCTCCAGGAGGCTCTATCACCACACAAATCTTTCACTCCAGGAGGCTCTATCACCACACAAACCTTTGATTTGTTCAGCTCTCTGACCCTCACCCTTTCTTTCATATATTATTCTGTTTTAAGAGTCATGCTAAATGAAAGCTTCAGAAACATAATACTGGATGTGAATATAAGGTTTTTGTTTTTGTTTTTGTTGTTTTAGGTGGATGTTGATGCAAGGTTTGACCTCCGTGGAGCCTCCCTTCCAGCAATATAAGCCAGAGGTAGACCACAGCTTTGGTAATAACAAAAGCTACTACGCTTATGTTTCTTCTGTGAATGATGATTATGATGATGTCACAGACCTCGCAACTGAATATTTCATTGGTAAGATGGTAGAATGATATCTTACTTTGGTTTCTACTGTTAGGGTCAGTTTTTCAAAACAATCCTATCTTAAAGTAATTAGACTTTAATTTTAATTAAGTAATTGAAAAAATAAGGCATTGAGTGTAGATGAAATGCTCCACTCTGAATTTATCTCTCACTTATTTCGTTAAGCAGTATCTTGCTCCCTCTAAGACATTGCAAACTCCACCCTGGCCCAGTGCGATTTTCTCATCTCTGACGCACCACATATCTTTGCTAAACTTTATTGCCAGGCTTTATTAAGAGAAAGATAAAGTAATTAATTCTGAATTTGCTTGTGTTCAGAAATAAGTTAAAAGTAAAAAAATCTTAGAAGAAACACTGATATTGTTGACCAAACTACACACTAGAAAGTGTGTGGTGTGTGGTTTGGTCAACATATTTCAGCCACGTTATTGTGACTCCTCGTCTGCAAACATCGATATTGTTTTCAAGTCTATGTTGGATCATGTAGTATTCATCATACTCATTTAATAGACAAAAAAATCTGTCTGGTATGAAACAGGAAGAGAACTATTCATGAAAAGTAGTGATCTGATACTTATCATTATACAGTACTGGCTTGCAATGCTTGGTTTATAACTACATATACAACTTCATCAGCATTATACAGTACAGTACATAGAATGACTCTGATAATACAGTACGCATCTTTCATTTGTTTCATATAATGAACAACATTGTGGTTAATTAGTAGGTACAAAAAATGTACATTAAATAAAGCCACTAATTTGCAAAACATTTCTATATCATTTACATTTCTTAGTAACAAACCATCTCTATGAAGCAATAACTTAATAGGTACTGTATCACATTCAAATGTTTGTACTACTGTATATATAAATTAATTAGTCTGAGAGGCTTGTAAATATGATGTAAACTTCAAACATCATTTTATTTTATTATTAGGGGAAACTGCCAAGACCTGTCGTTTTGGTTTCTGGTACTGGTGGACTGGTCCGAAATCTGGGTCACTCCACGTGATAATAACACCCACAGTGGGAGATTCTCGTGAAGCCTGGATGATAGATGGCAACACTGGCAATCAGTGGCAAATGGTAAAGTTTGGTGTTAATCAAATTATTGAAATGTATTTAAATGAATTTACCTGAAGGCCACTAACGCTCTAGTGGCCTTAACATGGACAGGAAACCAACATCTTATCGCAGATTCCTCACATTTGCCTTGATGATTTTTTCCAGTTAGATTTTAAAGCTTAACAGAATTTTGGCATTTACGGCTTTGGTGAGTAAGTGGTTCCATGGGTTTATAACTCTGTGGGGTGAAAATCTCTTTCATTACTCAAATTGTATTATGTTCAGGTGAAATTTACTCCTACACATTTATTTCCTTTCTCATGGTTTTAAATTATTCTTTATTTAATTATGTCCTTCCATTTACAGAATATTATTATTCTCTCCAAGAAACATTATGCTTGAATAAGAGCCACAGTATACATAATGTCAGTAGGTGTTGCTGTTGTCAAAGTGTCTCTTCTGGATACAAAAAAAATAGACATGTCTGCTAATTATAAATTAAAACACTGAAAGTGTATTTGAGGGATTATATGATTGTATAGTAAACCAAAACATGGATATTTGGTGACCTGACTGCTACCAGAGTGCCGAGTGACTTGACCTTGTCTGAGGAGTGGCCAGTATATGAAATAATGAAGCACAGATCATGTGATTTATTAAATTAAATTAAATTCATTTTTTTTATTCAGGTAAAAGTACATACATAGAAGATGAGTTACAAACATAATGTTGGATTTATAGATAGAGCTAGTACATACAATACCTAAAGCCACTAAGACGCACAGCGTATTGGGCAAGGTGTGGGGGGGGAATAAAAACACTTAGACTAAAACTTAATAGTAATTGAGATTAAAGTGTAAATTGTGTTGAAAAAGAAATAAAGAAAAAGGGGAGAACATGGATAGGTAAGGAATTTAGAAATGTAGCTAATAAAGTAGTTGGAATGAGACTAACCAAACTAGAAAGGTTAGATGACATCGCATCACCCACACAATTATTTCAAGGAGGTGAAGAGAAGGAATTTAGAAATATAACCATAACATGTGACATAATTAGTAAGAACATTGACAAACTGAACAACTCGAAAGCCCCAGGTGTGGATGGAATACAATCCAAAGTCATAAAGGAACTGGCTGAAGAACTATGCCTTACACTGAAATTACTTTTCACTAAGCCTCTGGACCAAGGGATAGTCCCTCTAGACTGGAAATATGCAAATGTCACCCCTATTTTCAAAAAAGGCAGAAAGAACTCGGAGGAGAACTATCGTCCAGTCAGCTTGACATCACACATCTGGAAGCTCATAGAGAGAATCCTAAAGGAGAAAATTATTCACCATCTTTCAGTGAACAATCTTGTTAAATCAATATGGGTTTGTTTAAATAAATCCTGCCTTACAAACCTGCTCATATTTTTGGAAACAGTAACCAGCTATACAGACAAAGGACTTCTGGTTGCCATAGTATACACAGATTTTGCTAATTGACAAGATACCACATGAAAGACTGGTGAGGAAATTACAGGCACATGGAATAAATGGAAGAATACTAGAATGGATAAAACAATGGTTAAAACAAAGAAAACAAAGAGTGGTGCTAAATGGGAATGAATCTGATTGGAGAAATGTGGTAAGTGGGGTACCACAGGGGTCCATTTTGGGGCCAACCCTTTTTGTCATATACATCAATGACATAGATGAGAATATTACAAACCACATCATCAAATTTGCAGATGACACAAAGATTTATGGTAAAGTGGGAAATGATAATGATGTTGAAGCCTTACAAAGAGATCTGCAGGAACTCCACAAATGGTCAGATGACTGGCAAATGCTTTTTAATATTGACAAATGCAAGACCATGCATGTGGGGCATAACAACCCATGCCACAACTACCAAATTAATAACATTACATTACAGCAGATTGATGAAGAAAAGGACCTTGGAGTCAAAATCCACCACTCAATGAAAGTTGCACAGCAGGTAGGAGCAGCATAAAAAAAGCTAACCAAACACTTGGAATAATCAAGCGTACCTTTGACTTTAAGGAAAAGAAGGTAGTGATTCAATTGTATAAATCTCTGGTGTGCCCTCATTTGGATTACTGTATCCAAGCATGGAGACCCCATCTTCAGAAGGATATAGCTGCTCTGGAGAAAGTGCAACACCGGGCAACAAAAATCATTCCAGAGCTAAGTCAACTCTCGTATCAGGAACGGTTGAGGGCCACAGGGCTAACAACACTACAAACCAGGCATGACAGGGCGGATCTCATTGAAACTTTTAAAATACTGAACAATTTGGAGGATGTTGATCCAGAAAATTTCTTCAAAAGGTCAGATGTAACACAAACAAGGAGCAACAGTTTCAAGCTCAACAAGCCACAATGTAGGACTGAGAACAGGAGAGGCTTTTTCACCCACAGGGTTATTAACCCATGGAACCACCTACCTGCCAAAGCCATTAATGCCAAAACTCTGTTGGGTTTTAAAGTACAGTGGGAAAAGATCATCAGGGCAAATGGGGGGGGGGGCCTTCGACAAGCTGCCGGATTCCTGTCCTCATTGAGGCCACTAGTGTTAGTGGCTCTCAGGGAAACTCAGGTCAGTGATAACAAACTTGAAGTGGATAGCAATAGCCAGACACTCAAACAACTGGGCACCATGCCATGAGACAAACATAAAAGCATGGAACCACCAGTGCAGAAATAAAGCTCTCAAATCAGAACCAATCTATTTAACTGAATTTTCCTGTTCAAAGCTGGGTGCAAGCATGTAGATGTCAGGTGATAAATGAGAGTTATTGTCTATTCTGATCCTGTAATGGTGGTTGCAAGTTTTATTGGTACATAGTAGAGTAATAACTGATTTTCCATTATTCCAGTTTTCATTTGCCAATGTTTTTAGAGGTTTTCTACTTTTTGGTGTCATAGCAAGCAGTTTTTCAGTGGTGGATTGATATACACTCTCCAGTCTTGCCACCCATAAACCATGTAGGGAGACAGTTTGCAAAGTTTTTGTTGTGGTGACCCTAAAATGTTGATTAGAGCTAGACATGTGAGTAGAGTCCCAGGTGGACCCAGGCCATGGTTCAGGAAGTAACTAAGGTATCCTAGTTCAGAAAAAAGCTTGAGAATCACTATCGATATATAAGTTTATTGTTCAATTTGGCTTCCAATCTTATTTTCTTATTTATTTTCAGGCAGAGGTTGGCCTAGGTGAACTGAATATGGAATTCGTTAGACTTCAGGCTCATCGAGGCATAAGTTATGAGGGTGGTGGAGCTGTTGATGATCTCTACTTTGCAGAGTGTGTTATTCCAGTTATGCCTCCTGATGGTAGAGTGATCATGTTTTATATATCTAAAATCAACTTAATTTGTGTTGGATGAAAACTGAAAGGTATTCAAAAGATAAATCCCATGAATTACTGCACATTTGAAAATGCTATACAGTATATATACAGTATATACAAGCACTTCATTCTTTACAGTGTAATCCTTAGGTTTTGTTGGAAACTGAAGATTTTTATGTATCCAGGCTCAAGTTGTGTAGGAAGCTCTGAGGTTATTCAACATAGGGTTAGTGTTTAGAGTGCTGAGGGTACAAATGGCTATTCCCACAGTCAAGAGATAGCTCTGAAGTTGGATTAACTATTGCAATCCTTATACAGGTATTTATGTTTGGATGTTTGGGATTTGTTCCTGGGACTTTAATTGGAAGGATGTAAATCAAGACCTATTTTCTGGGAGGGGAGCTCTCTGTTGCTTCCCAAAGCTGAGTATGATGCTGGTCAAGCCATGTCTTAGGAAAATTGCACCAGGCCTCTCCGACCTACTTTATTCTACTAAGAGCCAAAACCAGAATCTGGTTCCCTTAAAGAGAACAGGGGAGCCGGGTCAGAGATCAAACTCAATAACAAGAGAAGGCCTACCAGAAAACATAGATGCCTTAGAACAAGCAGCTGCAAAACAAAAACTAAGTACTCTACCAGTAGGTAATGAGATATGAAGGAGCAATTTTTCATATTTGTCTTCCTCACATACTGAAACATAAGATCATGGCCAAGACATGCAAATATCAGTTTAGACCTAGGGTGTTCACCAAAAACCTCAACCGTCAGCAGTGTTAAAACTGGGCACTGTCCAATATAAAAAATTTGTTAGAAGAATGAAGATAGACTCAACAGGTGGATGCCAATGTCATAAAAAGACTATTATATAGGATATAGAGACAAGAAGGGATACTGGGAAAGACACTGAACTGGGTAAGGGAGTACGGGATGGACAGAAAGAAAGGATCATATTCAGAAAGAATGTGTCGGGCTGGAGAGGAGCAGAAAGTGGGATCCTTAAGAACTCTATCTTCAGTCTATTGCTCTTTCTATTTTAAGTTGATAACCTATCTGAAGGAGTAACCTTATACATACATGTTGATGTTTGCAAATAATACAAAGCTAATGAGAGTAAGAACTGAGGAGAACTGTCAAATGCTGCAGATAGACCTTGACAAGCTTCAAGAGTGGGTAGATAACTGGCTGCTGGAATTAGATCCAAACAAGTATTTTGTAATCAAGATGGAAAAATGGGATAGGAGATTGGTAGGAACTACATCATAATGGGTAGAAAACTACAAAATTCAATAAAAGAAAAAGACCAAAAGTGGACATAATACCAGCTCTAATGCCAAAAGTTTATGTGAACAGGATAAAATCAGTATCATATGAGAAGTTGGCAAACATACCAACAACCTTCATGCAAACTGCATGTATTGTGAAGAAGAGAAGGAGAAACATGCCAACAGAATTTATGAATCTAGACCAGGAGGACTGAAAGTTATATACACTTCCTGTGTGTGTGACCATTGTTGGAGTATGTAGCACTAGCATGGAATCTCGTGAAGCAATAAAGGAAATTGAAAAAAAAGTCCAGAGGTATACAACTTGACTACTTTCAGAATTGATAGGGTTCAGCTGTGAGGACAGGTTAAGATAACTCAACCTCACAACCTATAAGGAAAGAAGTAAGGATATATGATTACTACATACAAGATACTTAGAGGAATAGACAAAATATACATGGCCAGTTTATTTAAATTAAGAGAAAGTAAGCCATGAGAGACATATTGTAGGTGGACGCTATATGTGCAATTGAGTTGTAGAAATACACAGATATTTCCATACCCTGTATAAGTGGTCTGTAAGGGAAATGTATTGAAAACAAAAATCAAAGCCATTTCCATTCACAATTTCAAGAAATAAATGTGACATAACTTGAAGATTACTAGAGGTTGTAAGCATTGAGATATAAAAGACTAGGAGGCAGGGCATAAAAAGAGCTCTACATTTTTTCTCAGTAGTCACAAAATAAGCACTGATATAAGCACAATATATAAGTTTACTAATTTAAAATTTATGTTATAGTAAAATGTCATACATTGAGTCCCCATAACAAGGGATATGTATATTTGAGTGTTTCTTCATTATAAAAAAAAAATTGTGTCCCCTTTTAGGACTGACATGTGAAGACATGGACCAATATCAGTGCAGCAGTGGTACATGTGTGATGGAAGACTCTGTGTGTGACTTTTCTGACGACTGCCTCGACAACTCTGATGAAGCCTTGGAAATCTGTAGCTACTTCATTGGCCGCTGCTCATTTGAATATGGATTGACAGTTGATTGGAAAGAAGATGTAGATGACAGCACTGACTGGGTGTTGATGCAGGCCTCTTCTGATAATTCAGGCACTTTGCCTGCATATGATCATACACTTGGCACCAAAAAGGGTAAAGTAGTTTTACTTACTAATATATTATATTCTTTCTTTCTATGTTGCTATGATAATAGAACAATAATGCAGCTTCACATAGCAAAAAGGCTTTACAACATGACTCAAAATTTTGTTATAATTGCCAAATTTGTCATTGTAGTAAATGTTCTGGCTTAGTGTTTTGTTTACCTTTTCACTGTAAGTGTTACTTAAAATTGTTTTAGAGTATTTTAACAAAATATATCTGTAAGGGACAAGGTTATTGTGAGAAATCTTAGCAGACAATTCCAAAAGCTGAATTCTGTTAAATGTGAGAAGTATGGGCGGAAGGTCTCATATTCCAGGGACAGAGGGTTGGTGATACCTAAATATTGTTATTGCAATACAGTATATTGTAAAACCTTAGTCTTACATCCAAGGGAAGTTACAATTTGGAGAATGTTAAGGTAGAACATTTTATATACCAGTACAACATTATACCTATAAAGAGATGCCCAAGTTGAACATGATACTGCTTATATTCATTCATAATCTTACTAATGTGTACTTCTTCTGTTAACAGTAAGCTTACTTTGTTAAATATACTAATTAAGATTTATTGCACTTGAAATATAAACTGTCATATTCCAATAATAATGTTAATAATTCAATTATGACAAAAACAAATTAACAGATACCATTTAACCATTACTATTTTTATTATATCAAACCACTCGAAAAAGAACATGAAACAATGGATACAAACTGGATAAATTAGATTCAGAAATGACTTTTGTAAACACTTTATAAGAAATTAGGTTGTAGACTTATGGAACAAATTACAGGGTAATATAATAGGTATGGGATTGCAGGATTATTTCAGTAATTATGCAGCCATGACTGATACACCAAATTATATACAAATGTTTGACATTCAAGAGTGCTCACTGGGGTGTAAACCCAAGTCTAGCTCTATTTAAAGTGCAGTAATAAACTTGGTTATTTCATATTGTTTCAGCTTTACAGTACTATATTTGATGTTCTTTTAAAGGGTATGATTATTCATATTTTGATAATTTTATTAAAAAAGGTCACTATATGCTACTGGATGTGTCAAGATCAAGCTCAACTCCTTTGGTGGGACGTCTTCACTCTCCAGTGATCCTAAGTGATGTGTCTAAGTGTGCCATCAGGTTTTGGTACCAGACCACGGGTGACAACCCTGGAGTCATCAATATTTACACGTCAGTAACCTGTACCTGTATATTAGAATTATTTAAAAGAAAATATATTATACAGATATAATAAATATACAAGTGGCAATTGCCAAGAAATGTGAAAAGTGTCATAAAAATAGTTTTTATTATAAATGAACTACAGTTATATTTATCAATAATGTATTTGCTTATTGTATAATGGGTCGTATTAATCTGCTGTATATTTTCAGACGCACATCATATTATGAAAGTGGTTCCCACCTTGTTGCCAGTCTCACCAGAACTGCCAAGAATGTGTGGCTCAAATTCAGCATGACTTTTGGTAAATCTGATACAGGTAACTTTCAGGTAAGATAATCATATTAACAAACTTTACGTTTTAAAAAGATACATTTTATTTTTATTTTATATTGATTAAACATTCAAAGCAAATCATATCTTAGAATTCATACAAAATTCACTTTGATGGAGCACCTGATTAAACCTAAAGGTTTAAAAATTTACATCATCAGATAGTTATTAGATTTCAAATTATTAATTTCTAAGAATAATCCTTGCAAAACCCTAAAGTTTAAGCAGTTTTATTGGTTGCCTCAGTCTAAAATGCAGACCAATTTATCATTTATAATTTAGTACAGTCAGCTTAAGACTAATGTCTAAAGTTTTTCTAGTGTAGTACAGTACTACTATGCAAAATATTTGTTATCATTAACCTCATGTCCTCTGCCAAAGAGCATATTTCACTATTATTGGATACCCTTCATTAATATTGTATGATTATCTCTTGAATATATCTAATAAAATATGGGAAAATGCATGCAAACAAAATGTTAACAAACTCCTGTAATTGCAGGTGGTGTTGGAAGGTTATTCTCCAAAGGACAGAAATGGCTTCTTGTTACTAGATGACTTATCCATGACTCCCTATTGTGAAGTGTCTTCCGACCAGCATCTTCCTGGAGAAGATGACATTACAACACCCAAACCAAACTGTCCATCAGGGCAATTGGACTGTGCAAATGGTCAATGTTACAACCCTGTTGAAGCTTGTAACTTTGTAGATGATTGTGGTGATGGCACTGATGAACGAGACTGCAGTAAGTTTGGTTGATCCTTTTTATAAAAGGAAACCATAAATATTAGGAAACTATAAACATTAGACCTCACCTCTGCGCTGCTCGTGCCCGGCCCTCCCCTCCACTCCCTGGTAGGGGAAGGGGGGGGAACCCCGAACCCTTTGCGCTGGCTAACCAGCAACTCCAGTTCGTTGGCTAATACGATTCGGGGCGATTGTCAACTCTGGCCTCTGTTTCCTGGCAGTGTTTTGCCTTAGTGGTATTCTCTGCGACTTAATGGTGTTGTGGCCAGGTGTAAACAAGTGTACCAGGGCTGCATGCACTTAAGGTGGCCTTCCCTAAGCGCCCTGTGGGTACTACCCCTGGGTGCTATGATTCTTTTCCCTTATGCCTTCGGGACGCCATTTCCTTAGGGGTTTTTGCTTCTCGGCATTTACCCCACCCTTGGGGCCAGCTGGGGTTTCGTGGCCCTTGTTTGGCCTTGGGTAGGGAGTGGTGTTGCTGCTGGTTGGAGCATGAAGGTGTTGCACAGCCAACTTACCTACGCAGTGGCAGGTTCCTGTTTTCTCTGGGGGCATTGTACTTTTGCAGGGGGTTTTATTTTATTTTTGTTCTTTACCTGGTGGGGGTCTGCCTTGTGTGGCTATAGATCCATTTGTATTATTTTGGTGGCCCTCCGTTAGCTCCCGAGATTGTACACGTCACAGGGGTTTCAGTGTTTTGATCATTCCCTTGTTAGCTTTTGGGTCTCACCGGTTAGGAACACCTTGCCTGGGCTTCCCTTAGCAGTCAGCCCATGGGCCCTGGAAAACCCTATCGTGGCTGGGTGGACTTATGGATACATCTTCCAAGTTCCAGCTCGCCTCATGCGAGACTGAAGATTGCTGTGCACTTTTGTCTCAGGGTGACAGTCACCATTTTTGCCTCCATCCTGCTGTCTGTTGGGTCAACGACACCTTTGACCTTGTGTCTTGCGAGTCGTGTTCTCTGCTTGTTCTCCAGTTTACCCATTCTGACAACATTGATATTCGGGTACAGGCGGCATCCGCATTGCATGCCAGGTTTAGGTTGCAGCAACACACTAGGTTGGTTTCCCACCCGGATGCCCCGAGGCTGCCCCGTTTTGGTTATACGAACCAGGACTTGGGGGGACGTTAGTCGCTTCGACTTTGGTACCTTCCGCACTCCCTGGTCCTTTCCCTGTCGTTTGTCCTGCTCCAGCCCTTTCCCCCCTTGCTCCTTGCTTCCTAACGTCTGAGAGTTTAGGAGTCGGGGCAGGGTTTAGTAGGTGAACTCCATTGACTAATTCCCTGGTCTATTGTATCGCATATTAGTCAGATAACTCCAGGGAGCCTCTGGGGCTCACCCAGAAAATGGTATTTCATTACATTCAACGCTGTTTTTTTTTTTATCTATTCCACTTGTTTGTTCCATAAGGTAAGATTCTATTGATCAGGATCTTCTGCAGTCAGACCAGGTCAACACACCACACTGACACAGTAGATAAATTTTCAAAACATTCTCATTAGGTCATACTGGTGCTAGGACAACACTGGAGAATACTCAATCCAACCCAGAATGTAAACAGAAAAGTGCTTTACATAAGTTCAAAAGCCTTTCCATGTGTTAGCATAAAGATTGCCAAGCTGTTCCTTGACTAACTACAGTACCTAACTACCCAATAGGACCTTTCCTCTGACTGCCACCAGGTACTAGTTATGAGAACCCTCTGTTCTTGGAATGCCATGAGAGGACATGGGAAGGCTCTTTAGTTTATGATTACACTTTATGTTGGTTATATGTAGCTGGTTAAGTGATCTTCAGTAACACCTTAGCTCTTGATATGGTCAACTGAAAATTACCTGTGGTGCTAGTCCCTGAAAGTTATCGTGCTTGATAGTTCATGATCCTGATCTATAGACACAGTCGAGCTTGCCTTAGGAGCAGCCAAATGATTCTGCTCAGAATAGTGCTCTTCATATTCAGTAGTATTGTACTCTCATAGCCAGATTTTTTATAAGCTTGACTTTAATTGAATTTTGTAGCCAAAGGCTTAATTCAATTACAGTGCAACCACGATTCAACGAAGTATATGGGACCAACCACACTAAGCGAAATTTTAATTTCAACCTGTCATATGAAGGACAAATATGAGAACCTGCCTTTAAAGAGATTAAACCACATCTTGGATATTTCTCATGCCCTAGCCTCAAAACCTCATTTTTAGAGGAAACCAGGCCCATATTTGTGAACGAAAACTGGGAAATCTCAAAATGAAAATGAACCAAAGAATTTGGTTTGAAATATGATTAATGGCTTTTCCAAGGACCCAACTGTTTCTTGTAATATTGTATTCATTTACCAAAATCATTAAAACATGATTTGAGCCTTATTAAGAGCGTTATCAATCATACCCACATATTTCCCATACTCTATGGGCCAGTTCCACTAAGGGGATCTTTAATTTTAACCTATAAAAACATTAGCAACTTTTCCATCAATCTGTGAACTCCGTCCCAGCATTCTAAGGAAATTCGCACATCTTCTGCTTCAGCAAACTCTTGTTTGTCGAATCGGGTAAGTAAATCCGGCCTGGAAAGTGTGCATTCCAACTGGAGATTCATTGAATCAAGGTTCATTGAATCGAGGTTCCACTGTATTTATTATCATAGATTTTTTAAGTACAACATTTAATTGATATGATTTGTTTTGTGTATTTTGAATAAGTAATACTTTTATAATTTATCATATTGAAGCAGATTTTTTTTATCATAATTTAATTGTCTTCAGGCAAAACATGTGATTTTGAAACGGATTTGTGTGGATGGTTCGAGAACAGTGCCAATTCTATCCACTGGGCTGTTACTGGCTTCCCGGCTGGTGCTCCTGGTCCAGATGCTGACCACAATGGTGATGTTTCCAAACATGACCTCAGCTCCTCCAAGAGTGCGGTTAGAACCATTTTTATATATTTGTAATTTAAACTAAAACAATATTGAATCTGATAAAGATGCATAGTTTTGGAAAAACTATGCAAAATTGGAAAAGATGAGAATTGGGACAAATTGGAATATACAGTGGAACTCCCATTATGTGGATCCCCATTTTCTGAATTCTCATATTATCTGGATATACAGTACTGTTCCATAGAAATTTCAGGTTCTCCTTCCCTGTTGATCGGAGCATGTCTGGTTAACCCCCCCAATGATGACTCAAGGCTCTTTTTAATTGTCTCTTAAAAAACAAAACATAGTCCAGCCTAAATGACTGACAAAGGGACATTCATTAAGACAAATTCATTTCTGAACCCTCTATTGATTTGACTGCCAAATAAGGGCTTGCTATCTGCCTGGCTAATTTTGCTCAGGTGGCAGCCTTTTGGTGTCCAAACCTTAGAAATATTTTCTTCCTGTAAATGTGTTTTATGTGCACAATGGCCTATGCTTGAAAATTCCCTGCAGCAGCATGATGATTCATGATGACCCTGCTTGACTGTCTATAGCCATCGAGAATCTTAACTTACAGATTTTAGTTTAGTTCATTTACCTTAGATAGCATCCAAATAATTATAAATTTTAAAGCAACTTCTCATGTAAATTCAAGGCCCTCCTATTTTAGTTAACTAGGTTTGTCAGTGCCATAATCTGAGTGTTAATATTCATACCAGCATCCTAATACTGTAACACTTTCTTCGTGCAGAGCTTATCTGGACAGACAGCAATATTGGAGTCTCGGGTATTCTCTGCTGCTGGTCCAAATTGTGTCTTGACCTTCTATTACTACATGGGAAACACTGAAAGTGAAAGTTCTTCTTTGTCTCTCTTTAGGAAGACTGAGTCGAAGGTGGTATGTATACCTAGTTTATTGCTGATAAATCAATACAGTACAAGTTAAACTGGCTGTTCTATTTACATTTACATTCTTTGTTATATTAATTTATTTATTTATTCATATACAAGAAGGTACACTGGGTTGCTAAAGTATATATGTTTGTGGTTGAGTAGTACATTCTTGCAAAGCCACTAGCATGCATATTATTTGCTATTGTCTTGCTATTTTTAAACAATGCTGTTTGTTCTCCAACTTGTACAGTTGCTGATTTCTGCCATGTTCCCCTCCCTTTTTATTCCTTTATTCAACATAATTTATACCTAATCCCATTTACTACTAAGTTTTAGTCTAAGTGTTTTTTCCCCCCCCCCCACCTTGCCCGAACCCGAAATGCTATGTGTATTAGTGGCTTTAGGTATTGTATGTACTTGCTCTATCTATAAATCCAACATTATGTTTGTAAATCAACTATGTATGTACTTTTCCTAACTAAAAAATTTAATTTAATTTAATTTAATTTCCTAAGCTAACAGATAAATGTAATGATAGGTACTGTACTTTGTAATAGAATTTAAATTCACATGATAACTACATCAGTATAAGGAGAAAAAATAAAATTATACCTATGAAGTTGCATTTCTTCAATTTAATGTACTGGGTGAGTAGGTAGCACAAAATACTATTTGAGTTAATAGCACAAATTGGGATACTGTGAAGAAGAAACTAGGTACATTACTGCACTTCATAGATCTACTTTTAAATAAAGTATAGGTTTAATTCTGATTGCCTTTGTAAATCAGAGAATTTAATTATGAATTTAATTATGTAGTTCATTAAATAATTTGATAACCTAATCCCTAACTAATACAGATAAGGACCACCGCTATAGCATGTATGAGATACAATGCACTTATTGTTATTGTAGGAGATCGCCGCACGTCACACAAGTAACGACTTGACTTCTCCCAGTTTCTGCACACCACAGAGTGAACGAGACCGCTAGCGCATCAGTGTCCAACCACTCGGTTCCAATTGTTTCATACACACTTGTCTCCCAATAGTTCATTTATATGTCTTATAAAGTTCCAGGCTATTTTTCAACATTTAACACTGTTGTTTCTATATATTTTCCAGCACTGAATATACTTTTTAAACATGTATTACTTCTTGCTGTTTACACTGTTCTGGGGATGACGCTTTCCTGCTGTGACAACACTCTGTGCATGTGCAGAACTGACTATTGTACCGGTGGGGATTCCAAATGCATGAATTAAACAAAAGTTCCAGACTGTTTTTCAACATATAACATTTTCTATGTCTCTCTCCTGGGTTATATACTTCACAAGGGTCTCTCTCTTACATTGGCCTGGGTTCATATCCTGGCTGGGAAGGATTGACTGGGCACAAATCCTTAACAATAGCCTCTATTCACCCAGTAATGAATGGGTAGCTGGTTCTTAAACAATTTGTCGAGTCATATTCTGGGAAAAATTTGGATCAAGGACCTGCCCAAAATGCTATGCATGCTAGTGGCTTTACAAGAATTTAAGAACTCATGCACAATTGTATATAGAAATAAAATAAAAAATAAAAAATTACCATATAGAAAAACATCTGGCAAATGGAATTTAACATGAATAAATGCCACATTATGGAATGTGAAATAGGAGATAATAGCCCACATACAGCCTACAAATTATGTGGAAAAGCTTTAAAGAATTCTGGTAAGAAAGAGATCTAAGGGTAGCTCTTGACAGAAAACTCTTACCTGAGGACCAAGTCAAGAAAATTGTGGGAGGAGCATATGCTTTTCAATTTCAGAATTGCCTTTGAATACATGGATGATGGCAAAATATTAAAGAAAATGTTCACAACCCTTGTGAGACCAAAGTTGGAATATGCAGCTGTTGTATGGTACCCATATCAAACAGCACATGAGCAAATTGGAAAAGGTGCAAAATCATGCAAGAAAATGGCTCGCCTCAATTGTCAATCACTGTTGGTTTGATGGGTGTTTTTTAAATATTGCAAAGGAATGTAAAGTGGTGTACATGTATTTTAATGGGAACTTTTGAATTCTTTTAACTCCTTTAAACACACATCATGTTACAGTACCATTTTAATTTCATGCTATAAACATGTTATATATTGTTACACAGCAGTGTACTTGACCAGTCTTCTGTGTTACAGGCAAATGGTGTTCAACCTGAACTACTGCTTCAAATGTCAGATAACTCACAAAAATGGGCCCAAAAATATGTAAATATTGGCAACAAGAAAGATTTTTCTCTGTATTTCAAGGCTATACATGGCCAGGGAAAGGTATGTAAAACACTTATAATATATATTTAATTTTCAATTTACCTTAATTTAAGGAATGGTTAGTTTTCCAACACTTAGATTTTAAAATTAAACATTTGCCTAGATAGGAAGTTTAAAATCTTTTTATTTTAATAAATATTAAACTGAAGATCAAACTAGTGCTTTGGGTATTTTACTGATACATTTAATAATGCCATTATGTGAATGGGTTGCACTTAATTATTGCACTTAATTATTATTATTTCAAGGGAAATACATGAAGTGTATTTATGATTAGACAGTAATTAGTGTAGTGAGGAAATTATATAAGATGAACAAGAAAGAAATTACGTTAAAAATTATAGAAAAAACTTGTGAAGAGGTTTAAGAATATGTAATGACAACCTTTTTCTTATATATATGAAAAATATATAAGGACAATATAAGGATAATTTCATATAAGTCATATAAGGACAATTTCTTGTGTAGTCCATGAGTGCAAGATATGAGAGCAGTGTTGGAGAAGTCAGTCAGAGGTAAACAATAGATAAGATGTTTGCAACTTTTGAATGATATGAAGTAATAAATAAACAAATAAATGTAAATATGCTATTTGAAAATAAATTAGAAATAGCATGTACTGTACTTGCAACTAGTAGATTCTTTAATGATATCACTAAATCAAAAATAGGTAAAGTTACTTGGCACTTTAAAAATCAAAAGTACCAGTAATCTATCTTAAAACTAGAGACACAGTATAACTATAAACCAAGCCATTTTATCTCTTATCTAGCCAATCTTATTTAGTGTCTCAGTAATGTAGTTAACAATTGCTTGTTTAATATTCAAGAGTTATCCAGTACTTTGTAGTTTCCTAATTAAGTGATTTTAATGGATTTTTTACTACAAATGGATATTTTACTGTAGTTATGGATATTTTTCAGACTTATATTGCAGTGGATGATATAGCATTCAAGAATTGTCGCTCAACTCGTGAATGCCAAAGTAACATAGATTTCCAGTGTGCTGATGAATCCTGTATTCCACGGCAGTATGCCTGTGATGCCAAGTATGACTGTCCAGATAAGAGTGATGAATACAGATGTGAAAATGTTCAGGTGAGTACATATCATTAAATATGTAATTGATTGCCCCCTTTTGTTTATTTAATCTGCTCCTATTATTACTATTTTGTCAACAATGTACTTTTGCATGAACCTGTAAGACTAAACTTGTATTTCTTAAGGGGAACTGCAACTTTGACAAAGAATCTTGGCTTTCTGATTGTGGATGGGAGCGCTCTGTTGATGATGACAAAGACTGGTCTCGAGGTAGCTCCTCCTCCGATCCTCTCGGTGGTCCTTCCCATGACCACACATTAGGATCTTCTGGTAAGAATTTAACCTTTCCAATAAAAATTCAGGAATTTAACTTTTATTTTAGAGTTCCAAGCATGCCCAAGCATAGTTTGTGCTTATTCAGTAGCTCGGTTAGATTAATACTAATACTTGTGATTCTCATCACTCCCCAAGAAACCTAACCTAACCTCTCGTATCTGTTTACCTCATAACTAGACTTTACATTAGAAAAATAAAAATTTTAAAATACTCTTTTTCAGAATGAAGCTTGGGGTGGCATTATTGTTGCAGAATATGTACAACTACATTCTGTACAGTACTAATGCAGGGGTCCCTGACTTACAAGCATCCAACTTACAAACATCTAATCTTACGAATGGTTTCACAAGTCCCCATTTTTACATCTAGATCTGCTGAAAAAAGCTCCATCATCCCCCCATAATACAAACAGCACTACTTGTCCATCCACATGACTATAGGGTTCTACAAAAATTTCCACATGACCCAAAGTGCCATGTGACCAACTAGCTGCCAAGTCAAAAGTATTCTTTAAAATAAAATAAAATAAAATGTTTATTCAGGTAAGGTACATACATACAAGAGATTTTACATAAATTGATCAATTTATAGATAGAGCTAGTACATACAATGCCTAAAGCCACTATTACGCAAAGCGTTTCGGGCAAGAAAAACATTAATGACTAAAACTTAATACTAATTGAGTATAAAGAATAAAATGTGTTGAGAACAAATAAAAAAAAGATAAAAAGGGGGAAAACATGGCTGAAAAAGCAGCACAAATACAATTAGGAACTATTTCAGATATTAATCAAGGGAAATACTATTAATAATAGCTGAATTAAGAGGAAGAGTGTTGGTGTATCACCATGACCAAAGAAGAGGCAACCCATTACCCGAGGTAGGAAGCTACTCTATAGACAACCACTTTGAAACACCAACACAGCCTGCACATGATCAGAGGCTGCACATGTTCAGAGCCTGCACATGTTCAGAGGCTGGGACATCTTGAGGTTATTTCTGGGCTTAACATCTCCATGGCCCAGTCCTCAACCAGACCTCCTTTTTGTTACACACCCCATGAAGCAGCCTGTAGCAGCTGTCTAGCTCTCAGATACCTATTTACTGCTAAGTGACAGGAGCCTCAGGGTGAAAGAAACTGTCCATTTGTTTACGCCTCCACCGGGGAGCAAACCCAGAACCTCAGGACTACGAATCCAAAGCGCTGTCCACTCAGTTGTCAGCCCCCCTAGGAAAAATTAGTGCTGATAAGAAAAATAAGATATTCAATATTTCTATTTAGGTTGTATTTAGGTTTCACTCAATAGTACTAATTATCATGGATAGTTCCATACACTGATTTAAAATATTCAATAATTTATTGGTTATTGATAGATAAGATGCTGTCTTTAAAATTCAGCTCAGGATGTACAGGTATTATCTATAAATGTAAATTAATTTTGCAATTGGTTGTTTTCTTTTTCTAGGATATTATCTGTTTTTATCAAGTGCAGAAGAACTACCAGGCAGAATAGCATCCATCAAAATTCAGAAGGAATACCCACCATCTACTGATATATGTTATGTCCGTTTTTGGTACTACATGCACAATAGCGACAGCACAGTTGATGTTGGCTCCCTCAGACTGTACCTTGAAGGTTGCTATCATATCAGTTTATATTTGTATTGTATTTTAATTAGTCAAATCCTGTCAAGTAATATTTTTAAATAATTTTAATTTGTATTGAAACTTGTACATTTTATTATTTGTATGTCTTCCTCGGCTGACCCTCAGTAGCTTTCCAGTGCATTGGTTCTGGCCCTGCATGAAAAAATATAGGGACATTGATAGAAAAGCAACTAGGGTGGCACCTAAGATAACTAGAAATGAGTACACCAAAATCAGGAGGGCAGCAGAGCAACAGTTTGAAAACAACATTGCAATAAAAGCAAAGGACCAACCTAAGCTATTGCATATCCATATACAGAGGAAAACAATAATATGAAACCATGAATGATCAGACTGCAGGTATAGAGAGAAATGCTATAGGAACACTATTGGCAAACAGTGAAGAACTCATCAAGAGGTTCCAAGAAGTCTTCAAATCAGAATCAGACTGGTGTCGAAGGTGAGGTAACAACAGGCTGGCAGAATCATCAATAGACAGAATTGAAATTAATGTAGAAGACATAAAAATACACTTGGAGGAACTAGAGGTAGCAAAAACATTAGACCCAGACCAAGTATCACCATGGTTACTGAAGAAAACTGTAGGGATTTTGTGTTAACCATTAACTACAGCTTTCAACCTAACACTAAGACAGGAGAGCTTCCCAAAATCTGGAAAAGGGCAAATGTAGTTCCAATATTCAAGAAAATAGACAGCTTCTGGTGGTCAAGTTCGGGCACTTCATGCTCTTTGCCAGAGGTAGAGGTTTTTTATTTTGGTCCAAAAGATCACTTTTACATTTGTAGCCTTCTTCATTTTTGGCTAAGAAGGAAACTTTAACCCTCCTGTGGAGTCTTATGGTCATTGGTTTCTCTAGCCATGAGTGCAACATATGCTCTGTCCTGTGGCCACAGTGTAGCATTATTTGCATGCTACTCACTCTGTTGTGGGTGATACATTGTTTATTAACCCCCGTTTCTCTCACTCCTTGTTTCAGAGGCCATCTCTTCCACATTATCCATGATGTGCATAAGTTTGCTGCTTTGTCAGCTTTTCTTGTCAATATGTTCATGGCCAATATCTGGAATCAGTGCTTTTGGCAGTCTAACAGGGAGTTGGCCTCCCGTTATTTATTGCATGTTCATTGGCATCGTCACACCCTTGGCATTATTCTTCTCTTATGAATTTACCTGAATTTACCTGAGGGCCACCCATACTAGTGGCTGCGACGAGGACAGGAAGTCGGTGGCTTGTCAAAGGTCACCCCATTTGCCCCTGATGATCTTTTCCAGCTTTATTTTAAAATCCAGCAGGGTTTTGGCATTTATGGCTTTGAATAAACCCAGTTAGCCTAGTTTTTCATCAACTTGCTCTCTCCTGGCCCCATTGTAAGCAAGCCAGTGGAGCTACTGGGGGCCCAGCAGAAAAAGGCATTTCACTGTATTCAGAGTTTAATTTTTTTATGTTAAGGATTATAAGCATTGTATTAAGCAACATTGAGATTCATATTAAAATATTTATTGAAATATATTCAGAGCATTTCAAAGTAACAAATGGTTTCATTCATGGCAGAGTCTTCTGGAAGGCGCAGACTACTCATGTCTCACAGTGGTAATTATGAGGCAAAGTGGCTGGAAGAAGTGTTGCTAGTCTCATCCAGTGACTCATTCTACCTCATATTTGAGGGGGAGACTGGTGATCCATTCAAAACATACATTGCTCTAGATGACATCTCTCTCACACAGGTAAGACTTTGGCTATATAGTCCTCCCGCCACCCCTTCTGTAACACCATAAATGGGTTTTGTTTAATATTTTACATACAATGAGAGTCAGTTCATTTTCCGATATGTTACACTTCCTCATAAACTTAACTTTGCTCTTTGTGAATTCACTTGGCTTGAGGTTTTACAGGAACATATTCCTTGCACAGATCAAGGTCAGAATGTATAGTATCTTTAATTTCTGTGGTATGTTGACCACACATACCAGTTCATGATATGACTTTCCTATACTGTAGTGAAATATACTTAGATACAGTATTTTAAGAACATTCTGAAAATTTGATGTTTGTATATTGTATATACATATATTAGTAGGCAAAATAAACAATATTCAGACCACTTGTAACTAATGAAGTGCATTCTCTTAAATCTTAAAAAAAAACTTCTGGTGCATTCATGTCTGTGCAAAGATTACTTGGTCACATCCTAGGCAATATCTTGCTCTTCCTAGGATACATTTATAACTCTAATCTCACCCATTTTGATATTATATCCAGCTGTAATAAAGATCTTTTCCAAGTGCCAGACCAAAGCTGGAGAAAGAGTGACAGAAGGTACATCACTCCAAGGCAGTCTTAAAATTCAAATAGACTGCCAAGTTTTACTTTCTAACAACCAATAAATAGTTGGCTGTCAGAATGCCAACTGCTATCATGTGGCAGCACCGATGGTGTAAACAAAAGCATCTGGTTTTGCAATTATAATTGCAAATTATATATTAATTTATAATATATAAATATGTATATACAGTATATATAAATTAATTATAAATTACTATACTGTATTCTAGGCTCTCCCCAAGGAACATTAGCTTAGTCGGCAAGGGCCATTTTCTTTTAGTTGTGACAGTTAATTCATCATAAGACTGTTAGTGTCATGTGCAGCAAATCTGCTATTTTGTTGACCAGACCACACACTAGAAGTTGAAGGGACGACGACGTTTCGGTCCGTCCTGGACCATTCTCAAGTCGATTGTGACTTGAGAATGTCAAGCGACTTGAGAATGGTCCAGGATGGACCGAAACGTCGTCGTCCCTTCAACTTCTAGTGTGTGGTCTGGTCAACATACTTCAGCCACGTTATTGTGACTCATCGCCTGCAATCTGCTATTTTGAACACTTCACATGTGTGTATATACACTGTCATTGCATGTTTCGGTTGGGGTTTCTCTTCTTAAGTTGCCCCTTCTTGCAGGGCATATACTGTAATTAGAAGCCTAGGCATTTTAGCTGTGCGCAAACTGTTTAGATTCACCGAGTCATGTCATCACATACTTGCTTTCATGTGTTGTTCAACCTAACAGGTTGTGCTTTTCAATGCTAGAACTTTTATTATTTATTTTTGTTTATTACTGGTGGGCCCTTGCTTATTATCTATGGTGATAGGGTTTGGTTAGGGTTTGCCGAGTACACAAGTCTTGTGATGATATCCTCTTCAGACTTGATCTGAGGAGCATTGTCCTGAGACCTAACTAGATGCTTGGAATGTTTGGTCTAGCACCTTTGTAGATATGGAACTTGATTGCTATCCTGTGAGTATCTAACTCTGAAATCTGTGTTCCTGTTTTTGTAGTCTTGATCTGTCTTATATCAGTCACTCCTACCTCATTTCTCTTCCCATTTCACACAGATGTTATCTTTATTAGGGCTATTTGTCAGAAATTTTTATATAGGGCTTCAGCCCTTAATTATTAGTAGCCAGCAAGGAATAATGATTAATAGCACACATTTTCATATTTTAAAAATGACTAATTTCAGGAATGTGTAACTGGTGTAGGTCCTCCACCTATTAACAGTACATGTGGGAGTACTGAGAAGCAGTGTGCAACAGGAGAGTGCATCCCTGCAGACTTCTTCTGTGACTGTTATGCAGATTGTGTTGATAGTTCAGATGAGCTGGATTGCTGTAAGTATTTTTTAATAATAATTCTGTCATTTCTGAAAGTAATTTTTCAATACCAATTGTTCAATACTATACTGTACTCACCTAGTTGTGCTTGTGGGGGTTGAGTTCTGGCTCTTTGGTCCAACTGTATGTGTATATAGAATATCAGGGATATGAGCAGTACTGAAAAACCAGAGGAACTAGAAAGCAAAAATTATAGATTTAACAACTTAGAACCAAATAAGTGCATTAAATATTGAATCTGCAAGAACCACTGAAACAAAATTAAGCATTGAAATGAAAGCATTAAAATCATGATAAGGAATGAAGGCTGTTCTACCTACCTGCTCAACACTGGTCAAGTACACACCTCCCAACTATTTAGGTCATGTGCTCTTTTTCTCAAGTGTGATTGAAAGATTGTTTTTTTTTTACAAGACTACAATTTGCTAGGTTTTGAGAGTTGCCTGCCTTTCGATTACAGTACCTGATTTTGAATACCAGTGAATTTCACTGGTGTATAATATACTGAATTTATTATGTAATTAAATATTTTTAATTTCTAATGATGTTTAATAATTTTTAGCTGTAACATGTCCATCGACGATCACACGACCAATGATAACTACAACGACATCTATGTCATCTACCACTCCAACCACAACTCAAGGCCCTAATGCGTGTAACGATACCCAGTTTCCATGCGGCGACAAGGACTTTACCTGCATACCCAGCATGCTCCTTTGTGATGGTATCCATGATTGCCCCAATAGTAAAGATGAACTAGAATGCCCAGGTACTTAATGACAATTAAATGTACAAGTTTACATCTTCTGTTTATAGTATATGTACAAGTTTACATTCTCTGTTTATAGTATATGTACATTTATTCTCTGCTCATAATACAGTACAGTACATGTAAATTTATTCTGTTTATAGAATATGTTTACATTTATTCTCTGTTGATTAGTATTTGTTCTGTTTATTGTGCACTTGTTGGGCACAATAAACAGAGCATATACTACTAATATATTTTCTGCAGTTGGAAGAAAACGCACACAAAGAGTGGAGGACTTGCAGCTTAGACGCAATTCTTTAGTCATATGTTTTCTTTGCACAGAAAAAACACCGCTTTTGTCAAGCAGTGTCCATATTGTATTCATTACACAAACCTAAAGACAATTTGCTCAGTAAATACTAGTAATGATATAGTCAGTGCACAGTCTTGACTTATGAAGCTCTAACTTTTTTTATCTTATGCATCATTAGTTACTTTTGTTCTGGCAAGCTTTAACTGCTCTCTCTGCACAGTTACCTGTAACAATGCAGGTATATAGTACTGTATTTAAATTTTATTGAATACCATTTTGTGTTAGCCATTTAGTTACAAGATATTCATATCGTTGAAGTAACTACAGTATTTGGCCAATAATAAGTAAATTCTCTTTCAAATGCATGATTATTGGTTTTCCCTCTTTCAGTCTGTTGCACTGCCTAAGGATAAAAAGATAAGACAATTTTCAAATATACTACTGTAACAATAATCTATAATAATGACAAACCATTTACTAGGGTCAGTGTATGAAGTTTGTGAGCACAGACAATTATAATATGATTTATGTATTTTAATAAAAATTGTCAGTCAAGTTAACATTATGAAATAAATTTAAGCTTTTGATCAGTTGCATAATTATTTGTAAAGTCATTAGATTATAGCTTTAAATGTCAAATATGCAACAGACTTTAAACTTTCTGAACATTTATATACTCTATCTGAGTTTACCCAAATTTACCTGAAATTACCAGAGGGCCACACTCTCTCTAGTGGCCTTTGTGAGGACCAGAAGCCAGCAGCTTGTCAAAGGTCCCCCATTTGTCCTAATGATTTTATCGAGTTTGATCTTGAATTTGCAGCAGTATTTTGGCATCTACTGTTTAAAGACGTTTAAGTTAATAAAAGTGTATAATATTGCATTAAATATTGTTCATATAATTATTCAACTTACTTAATGCTCTTATTTCAGAAAATACTCCATGTGACCCTGGTTACATATACTGTGGGGATCAATTCATGGCCGATCATCCCTGTTTAGAAGCAGAGAGTGTGTGTGATGGGAAAATTGACTGTAAATTATACAATGCTGATGAGTCTTTGTGTGGTGTGTGTCCATCTTATTACTGCCTAAACCAAGGTACATGCAGTGTGCCAAGTAAACAAGCACCTGTCTGCAGGTCAGTACACCAACTTTAGGTATGGTCTTGCTGGGATATATTGTTTATTCCTATTTGGTCTGTTAAAAATGCTCTCCATCCACCTGGACTGGTTGGTACCATGACACCCTCTCACATCTAGCAGGTTGATGTTTGATCCTTGTTGGTCCAAGAGGATGGGCACCATGCCCATCCTCTGTTCTAATATCCCTTCTATGTACTAAATAGTCATAGTGGCTGGGTGCTTTCTCCTGATAATTACCTTAGCTTTACTTGTTAATTATGAATTAAAACCAGTTAATGTAGCTGAATTTATTTTTAACAAAATAATTAGATGTGATTTAAGATTTACCGAGGTGATATTCTAGTGTACCAAGGCAATAGTTTAATGACTTGTTGTAAGGACAGGCACTTTATATGGGGAAAGCAACAAAGTCTCCAAATGATTACAAATGAGAACCATCAAGGTGAAATCATAAGGTAAAATGGGTTGAATCACCTTTTTGAGAAGCTGTATCATAAACTGTGTAGTGACAGCACACTCAAGATAACAAGGCCCAGAAAGAAATCCTGTGCAGGGTGAGCCAGCTGGATAGCATTCCTTCAGTCAATTTACTCGTGTATCCAGCAAGATTGTACTATAATTTGTAATTTGCATACAAAGTAATTGGTTGTGTCTGACATTAAAAACATTTAAATTGGAATTAATTATATGCTATTTTATTACAAACAGTTGCAAGAAAAACTCTGAAGGTGAACGGTGCCAGACAAAGCTCCACAAAGAATTGAGTGGTGGTGCTATTGCGGGGATTGTTATAAGCTGTTTCGTCTTCGTTGGTCTTGCTGCTTTCATTGTCTACTACATATCCAAGAAGAAAATGTAAGGTTAAATGTAGATAACTTAATTGACTAATAAAATTTAGATTAATTGAATGTTGGTATTTGTAATATTTTTAATTTGCTAAGCGATACTATTCATAATTTTGACATAGTGTTAAGATTTGGAAGGGCTATTAATTATTATATGGTGTGTCTCAGAATTAGCTGTACACACACACACATGCACACCCAGGAAGCTACTCATAGCAGCTGTCTAACTCCCAGGTACCTATTTACTGCTAGGTGAATAGAGGCATCAAGGTGAAAGAAACTCTGCCCATTTGTTTCCGCCTCCGCTGGGAATCGAACCCGGACCCTTAGGACTATCAACCCCGAATGCTATCCACTCAGCTGTTAGGCCCCAAAAATATCTATGAAATTGGACAAATCTATTTCAAACCTCCATAACATCATGTTATTACCTGTTTACCGAATTATTACCTAATCTTAATACAAAAACTGATATTTATTAATCATAAGTCAAAACTATACACTGTTGAGAACTTTCAACATGTGCTCCATCTAAATCCCTGCATATTTCAAATCCAACCTTGGTGCTACTAAACACATTTTGCATGGATCCAATTCTTTTAAATTTATTCACAAGTTCACGAATGATTTTGTCTGTAGGACCAATTTTGTGAAATTTCCTTGTAAATCTTTCTCCGATTTCATTATATTGTAATCCTTTGATATGGGATGTGACAACAAAGGTACATTTTTGTGTATTCAGTATTAGGGTTAGGTTTCTGAAACAGAGATGAAATAATTTAGAAAGTGTTACATGATAACACATCATGATAAACATCAATAAACATGAGTTTTTAAAACATTTGTTGTATTTCATAGAAATAAATAGCTAATTCTGGCAAATGCTGTATTTAAATATATTGCAATCTCCATAATGTAAAAATTCAGATATTTCAGAAGGTGAACCAATTATTCAAATTGATGCAGAACTTCATTAGCTATACAGTATTTTCATGGTTACTATGCTCCCACAAAACTGGTCAGAATCAGGAAGATGTGCTGCTTTAATTTAATATTTGAGGTTTTTTAACTGGAAAAAAATATAAATACCGATGCTCTGAGGAAAAGAACAAAAATATTATCTTTCATTTGAAATAAGTGGTTCTTTGGTGATTGGATTTGTTGCTCAAGTATAGTTTAGAACTTTGTTTCACGTTTTGTAAGGTTTTTAGTCCCAAATTGCTACATATGCATTTTTTCAATTCTAATTACAGTACACTCTGTTTAACACAGGTATCCACGAGGAAGCGTCAGTGAAACATCTCCGAAGGAAACTGATGACACAGATGGCAAATTTCAATTTGTTCAGCCAGGCACCAGTCACTCTGGTGAGAGCTACCTGCTAGAGGACCTTGATTCACCAGACTATCCAGCTAACAAGAGCAAAGACACACAGGCTTAATTTAAATAACATTGAAACCTCTGCTCAGGCCAAATACAAGCAATTGCCTCCAAAGCATAATGTGCATTTCTGTGATATAAAACTGTAAATAAATATAGAATTAATAGCATTAAATTCACAAAGGTTATCTAAATTTAACTTTTCTTTGATAGATATACAATACTTTACAATACAGTACAATATATTTATATATAAAAATATAATTAATATGTTATATGTATATTGTTTAGATATATTAAATTTAGTTACTTGTGCTGTACTGTTTATTCTATACAGTTTGTAAGCTGTATTCAGTGTGAATGTTTTGTTGATTTTTTCATTATACAGTATTCTTTTACAATAACACAAGTTTGTGTTGAACATTGTAGGAAAACAAATTCATATTCATTTAGTGTTTATTGTGTGGTTTTCTCTTGTATCTTTTTGAATCATTTATTAAAAACTGGTTTTCCTTAATATGTCAATTTTATTGGCAATGAAAAATAAAACTAAGACACTCAACACAAACAATGCGATAGTGCATATACATGACTAAGCTTTCCATCGTTGGATGGGTACAGGGTGCTTGCTATGTAAATTAAAAATTATATGTAACTAGATTAAAGCAAATGTAAATTCCTTAGCTTAAAGATTGTTTTGGTCCAGTTCGTGAACTCATTATGTTATAACAAAAAAATTAATATAGACATTACAGTATGTGACCATCTGATCAAGGGTGTAGCTTGTTTAGCTAATTTAATTTTGGGGTTCAGTTCCTGAGCCTATTATGTCCCTCTGTAATCTTTTCCATTACTACTTAAAGGATGGGTATGTGGGGTACATAATGAATTGACATAAAGAAATGTGAATGACCCAACACTTCATTTCTTAAAATACAGCTACCATGTGCAGATGAGGAGTCACAATAATGTGGCTGAAATATGTTAACCAAACCCCACACTAGAAAGTGAAGGGACGACGACATTTTGGTCGACCTGGACCATTCTCAAGTTGATTGTGAGAATGTATCACAATCGACTTGAGAATGGGTCAGGTCGGACCGAAACGTCGTCGTCCTTTCACTTTCTAGTGTGTGGTTTGGTCAACAGCTACTATGCCTTGACCCCCCAATAACCAGTATGACACATTTCCTGACTATCTATAGTAGGATCAACAATTTACCTGAGCTACTATGATGGTAACCATGGAAGACAGAGGAGGTGGTGGTGGTGGCAGTCCAATGAGGACCACAGTCACATTGGCCACCGCCTGTCCACACTGCCCAATATACATGGCAAGGGTGTAACCTAGTTATGTTAAAGATGTCATGCACCAGGGTTTTTATTTAGTTTGGTGTTCTGCACGAGAGTCATTAAGACTGTGACACTAGATTAGTAACCAAAAGGTAAGGATACTTTAACCCAGAACATATTCCAGGACTAAAGTAAACTCTCTGTATATACTCCCATAGATGGCATACTGCTATTGGTGCATATGTCAATCTCTTGAGTTATGCATAGTGCACAAAAGGGAGACACAGGCAGGAGTGACAGAAGGCAATAAAGGAGGAGCACCTTTGCAACAGAAGACAAAAAGAGTCTATGAAAGAGATGAAAGGAGACTTCAGAGTAGCTGAATGTGTCCAGTGGCATTCCACAAGGGTCAGTTCTGAGGCCAATCCTATTCCTAATCTATGTGAATGACCTACTAGAAGGAATAGATTTTTTCCTTTTAATCTTCAGTGATCTAAAGAGGGACGAGGATACATAAAGAAATGCAAAATAGAAGAGAAATAACCATTTAGAGGCATATATTACATATATTTTAAGTAAACATGTGTTGGAGTAGCATTTGGGATTTGCAGTCTAGGGACCCTCGGTTTGTAAATACACTTACAAAAACATATACCCTACAAACGGTATAGTCCCACAGGGTTATGGAACTGCCTACCTGCCGATTTTTTTTTTTATTAATACATTAGGTACATCTGCATTAGTGCAGCTACCCTAGACTATATGAAGGGAAGTACAGTGTGTCAAAAAGCTAACTACATGATGCTAAAAAATCCCCTTCACACAGGATGGTTCGGTATACAGAGGCATGTAATAAGTAGTCTGCATTGACAGACTGGGTTCATTATGAGAATATCACGAGCACAAGAGTGAATAAGGTAGCAGTGATAATAAAAGTCCCCCATCTCGCAGGATGGTTAGTCGTATATACAGGGCCATATGTTTAGTAGCCTACACTGGCAAATTTTTGGTACACTGTGAGAATATCTTCAAGAACACATGAGTGAATAAAGTAATTGCAAAGCTCCAGGTACCTTATGCCAACTGAGAAAAAAGATAGTGATAGAGGATGTGCGAATAATTTTGTTGACAGTTTACATTTGGTCAGGTCTACATCAGCAGATAATGAGAATTCCAAGAGATACCAAGGCAAATTTATTTTTGTATTTATAAATTTGGATATATTTGTATTTTTTATGCTACTACCCTACAGTACATGAAGGGTTACAGAGTTTGTGTCATGGCCTACCTGTGTGATATGAATTTTAATTAATTATCAGGGGAAAGCGCTAAGCCATTACGACTTTATAGCACTTGGAAGGGGTCAGGATAAGGATTTGGGATGGGACGGGGAAAAGGAATGGTGCCCAACCACTTGGACGGTCGGGGATTGAAGACCGACCTGCATGAAGGGAGACCGTCGCTCTACCGTCCAGCCTAAGTGGCTGGGTGTGTGATACGAATTAAGTTCCCTTACGCTTCCACTACATATAAGGGGTATAACTGGGCAACCCCTCGCAGTGTTCAATAGAAAGCTCGATAAACAACTATAAAGGATACTTGATCAACCAGGCTGTGACTCATATGTCAGGCTGCGAGCAGCCGCGTCCAACAGCCTGGTTGGCCAGTCCAGCAACAAGGAGGCCTGGGCATGACCGGAGCCGCGGGGAGGCTAAGCCTCGAAACCAATACAAGATAACCACAAGGTATCTCACATGGTGGTTTGTCATACAGGGGGTCATGTAATCACTGAACCAGTACTAGTAAAGATTAGATTATTGCGGGTCTTGTCATTTGACCCTTCAGACCTGCCGGTAGAAAGTGCCAGGAGCATTGCAATTTATCCACCCATGTGTTCCGGAGGATATCCACAAAAACACGAGTGAATACTTAAATAATTGCAAAGCTCCTGGCACCTCCTACTGGCATGTCTGAAGGGTCTAATGATTACATTTAATAATGTGTGTGAGGTCATAAAGCAGTTCTTGCTCGCAGAAATTGTTCAGAATTGGGAGATTCATCACCTGGCGCAGGTAACGCTAGCCCAATCTGATCCTGGCAACCACTATGTCACTCTCATTAAGACGTTGCGAGATGAAAATAAATATATTTAAATTATAGAGCAGTGAAACGGCATAATATACGTTCACTCTCGCCCAGGGTGAGTTTGCCTGCACACTCTTACCCATTAATTATCAGAGTTATACTTAAAAAGTAAATTACTTGCTGCAGTTTCTTGCTTGCGGATATCTCTTATGATCCTGACTGTGATTTAAATTCACGATTATATATTTTTGTGTGAGGCAACAAGCTCACCTCGTAACGGCGATGCCTAGTGGATCATCATCCTTAATATTAATATTATTGCTATTATTAAAATAATTGCTAATATAACCTGAACTTGGGCGATATATCACGAGGTTAGTAGTCCTTGGAAGCGTTTAAGGTGACAGCTTTCGCTATGAATCTTGGGCCAGCCACTACCCGGCGCCGCTACCCCAGGTTTTGCTGGCTAATGTTGCCTGTCAGGCTGCAGCCGACTATGACCCCCTTTCCCCGTGAGAGGGGCTCCAGCCGGCTGTGACCCCTCCCCCCCCCCCTTCCCCGTTAGAGGGGCTCCAGCCGGCCGTGACCCCTCTATCCCCCGCAGAGGGCGTTCCAGCCGGTTCTGACCCCTCCCAATCCCTCAGAAGAGGGGCTTCAGGCTGGTGAACCCCCATCTCCCCAAGTGAGAAGCTTCAGCCGGCTGTCACCCCCCACCACCACCACATCAATCCCTGAAGTGGAGCATCAAGCCTCGTGCGACGCCCATAACGCAGCTCAGCGACGAGCAGGTATTTAGGAGCCGGTTTTTTGTAAGAGAAGCATTACGGAACTAATTGGATTACCAGCTTTCTTATGCCGTGGGAAAACTCTGCTTTATATTTTACGTAATTGTGATAGTGTTTTCCATGATCATAATAGCAATGATGATGATATTATAGTTCTATTTCTTATTTCAACACACAGCCCCTCTGTTTAAGTCCCTTAACATGCTAAACATACACTCACTCCACACATTCTCATGTGCTATTTACATGTACAAAACCTTGCTCCTAAACGCTAATCTTGATCTGAATCTTTTCCTTGATAGGTGTAATAGAAGTCATGAGCACCACACCAGAAATAAATATCTCTTTGATATCCCCAGAGTCAAACTAAATCTGTGAAAACACTCCATACAAATGAAAGGACTTAATCTATGGAATTCACTCCCTGATGAATTAAAAAATTGTCCAATCTATACCTTATTCAAAAGTAAAACCAAAGAGTATCTAATTTCATCTTCATAGTTTCCTACCTTGTGCTCCAAACTGTATCTTGTACTACCCACTTTCCCAATATTAGTACTTAAGACATATATCTTTACCAGTGTAATCACCTGTCAATTTATATTGTAGTTATTTGCTGATATAAAACCTTGCTTCAATGTATCTTTTCATATATACCTGATATGTTACATTAAGGACCTGCTCGAAAAGCTATGCGTGTTAGTGGCTTTGCATGAATGTAAAAATACCAGTCTTATGTAATCTCACCAACCTATTTTGAACCTTCATGTGGATAAATTATTATTATTATTATAACTCATACTTCGAGTAATAATTTCATTGTATGTTAAACTAACTCTGAAAAGTATTACTGAAGAATAATATTGCCGAAAATAAATGTATTTTTTTGTGTCTACTTTAAGTTTTGCTGTTGTTAGATTACTGTGATCGTAATTGGTTTGGTAAACTCACGATGCTCCAGTATCCTCCAACCTTTTGGGACTTGAAAATTATAACGACATAGTTACGTCTCTCGCCTCCTGCACACCATAAATAAAACACAACATTTTATCTCGTATTTTCACAGGTCAGGTCAGGTTAGGTTAGATTAGGTGTGTTTAAAGATATCGATGACATAAAGAAGGTACATACTTTTTCTTGTTTTAAGCCCTACACAGATGCACTGGGTTGCCATGTTCAATAAAACAGTGCGTGATGCAGTAATAGGCGGTCTTTTGTTGAAGGATGACGCGTACCTACAGGCACGCGTACGTTAATAATACTCCATTCACGCCCTCAAGTGGAGGGGCACTAAGCAGCAGAAGGGTTAGGAGTACCTACATAGGGCAGCCTACACCTACACCTTATTCCTCGGGAGCAATTGTAAGTGGAAGAACAAACACATACATGCACATGAGCACGCGCAAGCGCGATGAGGTTGAATAAAAAAGTTGGATCTCAGAAAAAGACAAGGAGGTATTTGAAGAACTAAACAAACTATTTCAGTAAGCCGTTATAAAAGCACCAGCATGGAGACCAGAGTTAACACGTGATGACATAGTAGTATTGTAGAGGAAGTTAAGAAACACCTGGAAGATTTAGATGTAACAAAGAAAATTAGGGCCAGACTTAACATCACCATGGCCATTGAAGGAGGCTCCAGAGGTAATTGGTCATCTGCTAACTAACGTTTTCAATAAAACCAGAGACTGAAAATTCAGAATTTTCAGAAAAGGCAAATGAAGTCCCAGTATAAAAAAAAGGGAAACACGCAGGGGCCAATACTATTCCTAATCTATGTGACCGACCTACCATAGGGAATAGATTCCACTCAATGTAATCGTTGATGCAAAAATTATGAGAACAAAATACGATAGAAGACTGCAAGAAACTTTGATATTATTATTTTCTACCACAGACGTGGTCATACATTTACAGTGTTAACCATCATATGTACATTTTCTTCTGTTCGTCATGGCCAGATTTAAAAGATATGTTCGGCATCATCAAAGAGAAAATCCTTCTGACGTCGAACAGAAAAAAAAAAATTGGGATTTGATATTACACTGAACATTCACCAGAAGTCCACATCAAGTGAATATCATCAACTGCATATGAAAGGTCGGTTAATATCAGAACAGCCTTTAGGAATTTGAACAAATAGTCATTCAGCATCTTGTATATCGTTTATATCAGACCAATTATGAAATATGCGGAGCCAGCATGGAGTCCTTATCTCATTCAGCACAAAACGAAGCTGGAAAAAGTTTAGAGACATGGCATCAGACTGGTCCCAGAACTGAGAGGCATGAGTTACGAGGAGACTAAAAGAGTTAAACCTCACGTCAATGGAAGAGGGAGGAAACCAGGGAGACATGATTACCAGATAGGAAAGTTGACAGGATAGGCTATTTTGGATGGGTAGTGCTCAAACAAGGGGACTTATATGAAAACTAAGTACCCAGATGAGCCTCTGAGACATTAAATGGAATCTTTTCAGTGTCAGTTTAGTGAACAATTGGAATGCACTATAAGAAGTGAAATGGCAAAGTTAAACTCCATTGGCAACTGTAAATATAGATATGGCACAGCCCAACTCTAGGCTGTGAAAGCTGTACACCAACCAGTCGATTAAGAGGCGGGACCCAAAAACCGTAGCTCGTCATCCCCTCTCCCCCCACCCCCGCAAATACACGACTAAAGCTACATGGAGACTGGTACATGGAGGCTGGAAACTGGACGTTGTTGTTAAATTAAACTGGAGACAAAAATGAGTTACAGACATCTCAGAACTTCCTCAGTCGTAAATATATTCAATAGACTAGTATTATATCTGCTACAGTTGTATTTAATGACAAATATGTTAAGATAAACGAATGAAAAGTCTTTGCATTGAACCACTGATGATCGAAAGGCAGGGCTTAAGACCTTGAAAACACCTCTAGGTGTTTACATTAGGCTACAAATGATAAGAAATTGGAAGCTTCCTATAGAACTAAAAAGAGGTGTGCATATTTCTATAACATCCTAATTTTATGCTATATGTTCTGCCTATATCAGTGTCCCCGTTCTAATTGTAAGCTCTAAATAGGTTTTTTTTTGGTAACACTTGTTCACTCCAGCCACCATTGTGATGATTTTTGTATAAAACACAGGAAAAATAATACTCCTAAATGCAAATCCAAATTTCTCTGTATATATTGATAATATTTAAGTGGTATGATGTTATTTTGACTTTTTATTATGTAATTAATGTACTCGAATTTTTTGTTAACAGACTCAACGATATTAATTTGATTTACTAGTTTATGGAACTTTTGAGTACTTCCTGCTGTTAATGATGCGGGTTAACACATTCTCCTGCACTCTTGTACTCATAACACACTTTTAAGCTGGCAGTACTCTCAGGTCGATGGGAAGATGAAATATGGGGTGGTGGTGGGCGGGGTCTGAGGAGTGAGGGTAGAGGTGGGCGGGGTCTGAGGAGTGAGGGTAGAGGTGGGCGGGGTCTGAGGAGTGAGGGTAGAGGTGGGCGGGGTCTGAGGAGTGAGGGTAGAGGTGGGCGTGGTCTGAGGAGTGAGGGGTAGAAGTGGGCGTGGTCTGAGGAGTGAGGGGTAGAGGTGGGCGTGGTCTGAGGATTGAGGGTAAATGTGGGCGGGTCTGAGGAACAAGGTTCCGATGTGGGCGGGGATTTCTGGGGTTTGGAGGTTGGCGGGGTTGGGTGGGAATGGATGTCGGGCGGGCCGGTTACCCATCTCCCCCGTCAGTGTTGTCTGTGGCGTCGGGCGGGTTGGTCGTGTGTCGTCCCTCTCCACCACCACCACACACCTACCACCATCACCTCCACTCCTGCAACACTCCACCACCACCCTCCAACACGAATATTTCCCGATCGCATAGGTCGCCTTCCCACCCCGCCTGGCTTACCAGAAAATTCTCGAAACCTCTTCGTGTATTTGAAAAGCTACTCGAATTTAATAAATTAAATCGTTTCCGAGGAATAAATGTAATTGTAATAGTCACCCTCCAGTCTTAAGATACTCATAAGGTTATTTCTCCCACTTGTTCCCACGTTCTCCGTCTCCCTGTGCCTCATTCTCCCACCTGCTCGTTCCTCCCTCCCTCTCCGCTCTCCGTAAGTTATTTTTACCTTCTCGCAAAGTCTAGATGAGTCCCGCACCTTTGGTGGCGGCGCAGTAGTAGGTGTGGTGGGCAGCTGTGTCGCTCCTCGTGCCCAGTGCCATCCTCAAGTGCCACCGGGAAACATAACATCAAGGTCTTTCAACTCAAAGAGTGCCAGCTAGGGGCCTGCCGCGTCGCCGCCGTCGTCTTGTGATTCATCTGCTGCTTCAAGAAGGTTAGTGAGACGTGTGTGTGTAGGGGACGGCGCTCTCCGGGTGCCATGCTAGGTGTGGCCTCGTGGGGTGCCATGCTAGGTGTGACTCGTGGGGTGCCTGGCAGTGTGGCCCTCTTAGGGTGCCTGGCATTGTGGCCCTCGTGAGGTGCCTGGCAGTGTGGCCCTCGTGGGGTGCCTGGCAGTGTGGCCCTCGTGAGGTGCCTGGCAGTGTGGCCCTCGTAGGGTGCCTGGCAGTGTGGCCCTCGTGGGGTGCCTGGCAGTGTGGCCCTCGTGAGGTGCCTGGCAGTGTGGCCCTCGTGGGGTGCCTGGCAGTGTGGCCCTCGTGAGGTGCCTGGCAGTGTGGCCCTCGTGAGGTGCCTGGCAGTGTGGCCCTCGTGAGGTGCCTGGCAGTGTGGCCCTCGTGGGGTGCCTGGCAGTGTGGCCCTCGTGAGGTGCCTGGCAGTGTGGCCCTCGTAGGGTGCCTGGCAGTGTGGCCCTCGTGGGGTGCCTGGCAGTGTGGCCCTCGTAGGGTGCCTGGCAGTGTGGCCCTCGTGAGGTGCCTGGCAGTGTGGCCCTCGTAGGGTGCCTGGCAGTGTGGCCCTCGTGGGGTGCCTGGCAGTGTGGCCCTCGTAGGGTGCCTGGCAGTGTGGCCCTCGTAGGGTGCCTGGCAGTGTGGCCCTCGTAGGGTGCCTGGCAGTGTGGCCCTCGTAGGGTGCCTGGCAGTGTGGCCCTCGTAGGGTGCCTGGCAGTGTGGCCCTCGTAGGGTGCCTGGCAGTGTGGCCCTCGTAGGGTGCCTTGCAGTGTGGCCCTCGTAGGGTGCCTGGCAGTGTGGCCCTCGTAGGGTGCCTGGCAGTGTGGCCCTCGTAGGGTGCCTGGCAGTGTGGCCCTCGTAGGGTGCCTGGCAGTGTGGCCCTCGTAGGGTGCCTGGCAGTGTGGCCCTCGTAGGGTGCCTGGCAGTGTGGCCCTCGTAGGGTGCCTGGCAGTGTGGCCCTCCTTGGGTGTGCCTGTTCACCCGCCTCGAGACCTCATCAATACAATGGCCTGACAGTCTTAGCCCCCCATCTTATATTATTCATAGTTGACGCTGCAGCAAGTAACTTCATTGACCCGACTATCACCGTACCTACAAAGCCACCGTGAAGCCTAGCAATGGCTGCATGCCTGCTATGTGAAGCTGACAGGTACACAGTAGGCCTATAGGTACCACGTGCAGCGAGTATAACATTCAACTGAACCCATTTAGATAATAAGTTTGGACAAGGTTTAAATAGCGTGTAGATTGCGTACATATCACAACGTGCTCCTGCGCCGGTGTACGCGTTGGAGTGTTCGAATGTCTCAAGGCAGGTAGAGAACATCTTGTCGCATTTCATTCTAAAGGCCGAGTGCCGAACTCCTTGGATTGATATATGATTATAATAATTAATGATACAAGTGGTTATCTTATGGTTAGAAATGTGTTGAGAGGTAATAAGAGGTGAGATGGGCACGTGGCTGGTGGCTGGAGTCGTCTGGAAGCGTTGAGACGGGTCGCCGGTGCCACTATTTTGGGTGGGGTGCCAGACGCCCCTACGGTTGCCAAGCGTCACCCACGCTCGCTTCGTATATTATTAATTTTCAACCACATGATGATACTCCTGAGAAGTATTGCATTACAGACCCCCCCAATAAGGCAATCGTATTCTGAATATTTTATGGGTGTGTAAGTGTGTACACCTTGGTTCATTACTCAATTGTATCGATATTGGCAACAATTGTGTGAGTGAGAGTGGACCCTATACCCATCTTGTGAGTGAGAGTGGACCCTATACCCATCTTGTGAGTGAGAGTGGACCCTATACCCATCTTGTGAGTGAGAGTGGACCCTATACCCATCTTGTGAGTGAGAGTGGACCCTATACCCATCTTGTGAGTGAGAGTGGACCCTATACCCATCTTGTGAGTGAGAGTGGACCCTATACCCATCTTGAGAGTGAGAGTGGACCCAATACTCATCTTCTGAGTGAGAGTGGATCCAATACCCATCTTGTGAGTGAGAGTGGACCCTATACCCATCTTGTGAGAGAGAGTGGACCCTATACTCATCATGTGAGTGAGAGTGGACCCAATACTCATCTTGTGAGTGAGAGTGGATCCAATACCCATCTTGTGAGTGAGAGTGGACCCTATACTCATCTTGTGAGTGAGAGTGGATCCAATACCCATCTTGTGAGTGAGAGTGGACCCTATACTCATCTTGTGAGTGAGAGTGGACCCTATACCCATCTTGTGAGTGAGAGTGGACCCTATACTCTTCTTGTGAGTAAGAGTGGACCCAATACCCATCTTGTGAGTGGGAGTGGACCCAATACCCATCTTGTGAGTGGGAGTGGGCCCAATACCCATCTTGTGAGTGGGAGTGGACTCTAACCATAATGTGAGTGGTAGTAGAAACAGTTCCTGTGATTAGCAGTGAACCCCATATCCATCCTATGAGTGGTATTGAACCCCTCACATTTTGTGAGTGGTATTGAACCCCCTCACATTCTGTGAGTGGTAGTGAACCCTATATCAATTCTGTTAATTAGTTGTAGTGGAAAACGTTCAATGGTACATAAAAGGTTTAGGAACTGATCTCCAAAATTCTTCTAAATAACCAACTTATAGCATTGATGAACTAGGTATAAGTTTATTAGCATAAACATAAAATTAGTGTATTGATAGTTTATCAAGCAAGCATCAATGTCTTCTCAACAGGTGTATCCTCAACTAACTAAAACAAGTGAGCTTTAGTTACTTTAATTAACTTATTATAGACCTCATACCTATTCTGTGGATGAGTGGCAGTAAGGTTTCAGTGTTACATATTGGGTTTAGGTCCAGCGATGACTTAGGTAGATCGCTCAAACCTCATAGTGACGATTTTTAAAACTCGACCTGCGAACAAATCAGGGCGGGTGTTTGGTTACATATTCTATTCCAAGATTGCTTTGGTGATCGTCCGACATATTGTAAAAAATCCTGAGAGCCTTAGTTCCTTTCCTGGTCCTCACAAATCATATACACACCATTTCTGGCGATTTACCTTGCAACCAGTAACTGCGTACCGCTATCACACTACAGACCATTAGCAATGCAAAATTGAAAGAACTTTCATGAGCTGAACGAGCTTAGTGGTGATGTCCGAAACGCTACGCTTGTTAGTGGCTTTGCAAGAATGTAAAAATACCAATCTTATGTAATCTCACATACCCATTGTACCTTCTTGTAAATAATAATAATAATAATAATAATAATAATTATTATTATTATTATTATTATTATTATTATTATTATTATATAGTTTACTTGAACTATATCACCAGACACTCCACAGGTCGTGGCACTTAACTGACAACTGAATAATCTCTAGGACTTACATCTAGAGAATATTATTTTAATTGGAATTGGTTTTATAACCAGTAATGACGTAATATATTGAATTATTTAAATTTACGGCTTTAGAGCCTGTTATCCCAAATCAACATATAAAAGGTACATCTGATAAAAAAATTTAAATAAATTTATATTTCGATAAAAATCATTTAGAAGCAATTTTGTTTCTAATATTTAATAACAAAAAATTGCCAGATGTACTTGTCTGTGTGAATAGTTTATCAAAAAACATAAAATTCTAATAATTCCACATGCAGTCTCATTACTCTAATAGGTGTCAATATTATACATTCCTTTGTTTAAGTTAAGCAATTTACATTTATGGAGAGGTAGTTATATATCATTTTAATTTTACAGTCAAGCATAAATTAAACAACGCAAGCAGGAAATGGCACAAAAAAAGATACAAAGGTGGACGATGTTAAGGGTAGACCTAGGCTATATAGAACGTTACTGCGTGTACCGGAAGTTGGCATACATAATGGCCGCGCCGCACGTCGGGCAAACATCATGACCTCTTAGTGCTAGTTGAAGACTTTGCTGTTGCCCCGAGACACAGGGCAGGAGCTCACTTACAATGGTAAGTGGGTGTTGATGATACCAGTTATGCCCGTGTGTTGATGTTGGCGCGGAGGCTCCAGCTCAACTTCCTAGGATTGAATGCACTCGTTGAGTTGAACTCTACTGTTGCAGTCAGAGGCATATAACATTACGAGAAGTTGTCTTTAAGAAATATATTATCCTAAGAGACCCTGTAGGTGCCCTTCAGTGATCTTCGCCATCATACATAAGTAGAATTATTAACGACTAGGATGCATTGTCCTAGTGCATAAGACAAGATGTGGCCTCGCGTAATTTTAGAAGACTGGCTGTAATGCCTAGAGGAGACCTTGGTTATGTGGCCTATCTATTTATACAAAATGAAAACTCCGGCGTTATTCATTACCTAAACCTGGCAATATGTAAGCTTATCACAGTCACAAAATAAAGAGGTAGAGCCCGTTGGTCGTGCGCATGTCCGGGAAATGCTGTCAAGGTGATATCTGACACTGGAATTCGTTTCGAGTTTATTTACATTTGACATTACTGTGTATAAAGGCTCATTGTGTATTCCCTACACTAATTATCATTATTTGATTTGTTTATTCACTCATTCTCGACGCCTCTGGTAATGTTTGGTAAACAATGACACGTTCGTATCTGTGTTCAAATCCATTAACTGAACAAACCTCTTTATGACCCAAGCAACGGTAATGGCTACCAATGTCGAGTCACATCAAGGTATTCAACTTGAAAAATACGAAGGGACAACATGCAGTGATGTGTGACATAAGAACTATCAGAGAAGAAAGGAAGAGAGTTTATGGTCTGTGAAGGCTGGGAGAGAGAGAGGGAGGATGGAACAGGGAATTGGAACTCATTAGGAAAGTCACGTGACCCGCATATACTGCCAGGAGGGAAATAATAGTCTTGGATATGTAGCACTTGCGTCCGGGTGCCATAAGGGTCAACTAATAGCTGGTCAGGGCTAACTGACGCTCTTTCACTTGGGGTTCATTCCGCCCTCTACCATGTATACCACCAGGGGATATATTATGGATGATGTA